ATCAATATAGGTCTATGTTGTGATCCCATTCACCACAACTGACAACCTCCGGTATAAATAAGCTTCTGAATGAAAAACATGAGAAAATACTTAAAAAAAACTATAACAATTTTTTCAACGATCATATTTCTACATAATACAATGTACATGTAATGAATACTTTAGAAATAATTGATACAGTTACTAGCCGCATACAGAAAACTACAGGGTAAATTTTCTTTTATTTGGAAAGATGAGTAACAGACTCTTAAACAAGAGGCAGTATCCTTCAAACGGTTTTGATTATGTAACATCTAAATATTGTAAAGATAAACTTTATCTCTTGTCATCTGTGTTACTGTGTGTCAAACACAGGAGGCCTTGAAGCCTTGATGGTCACCTGTGGTAAGCAATATTGAATATAAAGATTATAGGGTAAATAGCTTTCAAGTATCATAAAAAAGAAGTTATGACACTAAATTAAGATTTAAGTGATATGTTTTAAGATTTAAGTGATATGTTTTAAGATTTAATTGATATGTTTTAAGATTTAAGTGATATGTTTTAAGTCCTTGGGGGTCACCAGTGACAGTATATGCATACTAACAAAACTGTCATCCTATACTAAGAATATCTAACAAGTTATTTCTGTTAGAAAATATAAAATGTTATGCTCAAAATTGCAATTTTGCTGTAAAACCAAAGTAAACCTCAACCCATCCCCAAGTGGAAATATGAGACCCTGGTGTCATGAAATAAACAATTTTTGTAAAGCACTTTTGTAAAGATGCTTTAATCCATAAGAACATCTGATTCTACCATATGTGAATGCTGGAGATGTTTAAAATCTGAATCAATTTGATCATTTTTAGCACCGCCCCTCAGGCCTCTGGGGCATGGGGACTGTGTAATTCATTCATTTAGTTCATTTTGGCCAGGAAAAAATTGAGCAAAATTTCACTGAAATTGATTCAAGTGTTATTGAAATGGAAAATGAAAATTTAAAAGTTTACGGATGCACGGCACTGGACAAAAGGAGACTTTGTCTCAGGTGACCTAATAACTACGCATATCTCAGTACTTCATTTTGTTTCAGTTTGTCCAAATCTACCATCTCAGTGTGTTCCTCTCAACATTATCCACTCCTGTGTGTTACTCTTGGTCAACATGACCAACTCATTTGTGACTGTCAACACGGCCCTTTCCTGGGTTACTGTCAACAGGGACCATTCCTGTGTTACTGTCAATATGACCCATCCCTGTGTTTTACATTCAATATAGCCCATTCTTGTGTTACTGTCAACATGACCTTTTCCTATTTTTACTAAAAATATTCCACACTCCTGTGTTACTTATTGTCAACAAAATCAATTCCAGCCCAATCCTACGTTACTGTCAACAATACCAACACCTGTGTCACTGTCAACATGACCAACATCTGTGTCACTGTCAACACAACCAACATCTGTGTTACTGTCAACATGACCAACACCTGTGTCACTGTCAACATGACCAACATCTGTGTCACTGTCAACATGACCAACACTTGTGTCACTGTCAACATGACCAACATCTGTGTCACTGTCAACATGACCAACATCTGTGTCACTGTCAACATGACCAACATCTGTGTCACTGTCAACATGACCAACACTTGTGTCACTGTCAACATGACCAACATCTGTGTCACTGTCAACATGACCAACACCTGTGTCACTGTCAACATGACCAACACCTGTGTCACTGTCAACATTACCAACACCTGTGTTACTGTCAACATGACCAACACCTGTGTCACTGTCAACATGACCAACACCTGTGTCACTGTCAACACGACCAACACCTGTGTTACCGTCAACACAACCAACATCTGTGTTACTGTCGACATGACCAACATCTGTGTCACTGTCAACATGACCAACACCTGTGTCACTGTCAACATGACCAACATCTGTGTCACTGTCAACATGACCAACATCTGTGTTACTGTCAACATGACCAACATCTGGGTCACTGTCAACATGACCAACATCTGTGTCACTGTCGACATGACCAACACCTGTGTCACTGTCGACATGACCAACATCTGTGTTACTGTCGACATGACCAACACCTGTGTCACTGTCAACATGGCCTGTTTGTTATATACAGTACATCATTACTAATTGATCTGTCCTCCAACACAAGTGTTGGCATTGCATGTGAGAAAACCATCTATAATACTCGTCCCTTGATAGATAAAAGGATGTTTCCTTTCATAGTCTATTGTACATGTGTATTCAGGAAACAGGTAGGTTGTATTGGAAACCTTGCGTGACACACATGTTCTTCCCTTTCAGCTAACCCACTTGATAACTGAATGTTAAATCATTTCTTTGTCATGTAATCTATCAAAGCAGCTTATAGATGGAACGTTTCTCAGCTTCACCTCCTTCTTCTCATGCATGATCCAACCACTTTGATATAATAAGAACATGCTACTTAAGACTGAAATAAATTTTGCTTAATTAAGACCCTTAGGGAAAAGATCCTACTCAAATATTGCCCTTCTAGAATTAGAATCGTACCACATACACAGATATCACATTAAATTAAGATGCCTTATGTACAGCAGGAGTAACACTTGAACAGTGACCACTAAACTTGACATTATAAAACACAAGAAAAGAAAGATTTCCTGTCATTAAGAGTGTCTACACTTGAAATACTTCAACCCGTGCCACTGCGATATGTTCAAATCTTCATTCAAAACTAATACAGTTTAATAAGATAATAGTACAGGATATACCCTCTCCTTTTTAAAAGATCACATTTAATTAAACATGGATTTAAGATCAAGACCAGATTGTTCTTGAACATCCAACACTGCATGACTAGTACTTTTATATCAGGCCAGACCCAACAGTTGGCCTCACAAAGGTGCCTAGTACGGCTGAGAGAGTTGATTATCATGTGTTCTAGGTACATTCAGACACCTGCTTGCCTTGTAGTAGATTAGCTGATACCATTGTAGAACAGATAAACACACTTGGTCTAGTTGTTCAATGCCTGATTTACTTCCCAACAAAATGCAAGCAAGATTTAATAAAAATGAAAACGTATATGTACTTACAAAATCATATTTTGATTTCTTCAACTAAATTTCTTAACTCAGAATAAAAGATGAATCGGTTGTCATATCAACAATAACAATCACATATTACATTTATCAATTTCTTTCTCAAAAATTAAAAAATCTTATCAATATTTCTTCAAACCTTAGTTGAGTGTTAGTATTGATTCAGCAGATCAGGATTGAAAACTTCCTAATATATGTATTATATCTTGATTTCTAAATAAAGATTATGCTTGTAAGATAAATTTGTATATGTTGTAATGGTAGGAAGAAAGAAGTGTACTGACTGAGAAAAATGTGAACTCTGTCATGAACAAGATTGATAATTTGGCTGAAGTAAGTATATGCTATAGGGGTGACTATTGAGACTGAAAAAAAATGTTTACAATTTGTATACAATGGAGTATGTTTCACAGAGATATTAGTTACATGTTATTATATTTCATAGTATTCATCTTATATAGAAACATGTTGTTCAGTAATATTTATTGTGAAACTCATGCAGAGCCAGACTCAAGACTGTACAATATCATATAAGTTTTACAATAAATCTAACAAAATTTCTTCATCATTTTAAACTTATGTTTTAAGAGGTGTTTAATTTATTAACTATGATATAAAAATTAAGTTTGATAGTAAGTCTGACACACTACATATATCGTAGGAAGAGCTGTGTTGAAAAGATATCTATAACATCTGTAAGCCTAACTAGAAAAGCTAGGATTATATACAAAGCTATTTACCACATAAAAGTGTCTGTACTTTCACAAACGGGACTTTAATTGTGATCAGTTTTGAGACACTTTGTCATTAATTTTCATGTGACCAAAATGCTGTCCTAACATTGTTTTTTGCCTTTTTATTGGGAATGACTTGTAAAATACTGCTATATTCTGCCATATTGTTTATTGTCATATCAAGGAAAAGTTTAAACCATGAACCTGGAGTTAAAGCAGTCAACGCTTTCCTTACTATGTTTTGTAGATTTAATTGGGTCATATTGGAAACAACAATATAATAAACATTAAAGATATAAACTTTTATCTATGTAACAAGTTGTACTTAAGACTCTATTCCTATCTTAAGTAGGTAATTGTGAGGTCCTTGTATTTAGCACTAACCTCAATTGAGGTCCAAAAGATGCTTTCATAAACAAATGAAGGCTAGCCTGCAGCTGACTGGCAATAACTCAGTGAAAAATCTTGCTTTTTAGTAGCATTTTTGCTTAGTTAAAATTTGTTAACAATCAATAGTTGAACAAACTACTGCAAAAGTTATTAACTTGGAAATAACCTATCAACCTATTGCTAATGAGGTCAAAGCTATCGCAATACATCAGTAAGTCGAACTATCGTTGCACCACTTATATAGAATCCACATGATTTTCGTCATTTTAACTTTCTAACCATTCATGAAAAAAACATCTTACCAAAATAACTACATTAGTTAAAAATAATCTTTATTTCATTTTGATAATCAGAGATTGCATCAGAAGGTATCTACCTTGCATTCAGGGTAATAATGACTTCTGATTAAGGGTGGGTATTGGAAACAGTTTTCGTATTGCAATATATTGTCATATATTCACAGGGATATTGTGATACATTATTGTATTGTATTTCAATATTTAGTGAACACTACATAATTTTGAAGTTATATAGCTCAACATAAGTTTAAAAACAAATCAAACTTAAATTTGTGTTTCAGTAAAAACTTTTTGTGCAAAATTATCAAAGTTCTGCATTTATAAAGTTGCTGCAATACATACTGAAACACTGAAAATCATATTTCAATATTTTTTTCATAAGATAAATATTGTGACATACTGATTATTGTAATACATATTATTGTCCAGCCCTACTTCTGACACCAATAATAAGCCGAACTAAATATAAAGTTTAATTACCGAACTCCATTTCTTCTCCCAAGTCCTTTCCATGTTTTATCATGTGCTCTCCTAAAGTTCCCTCCGGCTGGGGGTATGATGTGTTCTTGGCTTGACCTCGCATTTTTGAAAAGGAATTAGCAGCAAATATCTTTGCTCTGGAAGCTTTGAAATAAAAGAAGGATTCAAATTTATGTTTTAAAACTGTCAAATGTGCAAACTTTATAATTTCCCCCCCCAATATTTCAACAGATTTTCAACTGCACCTAAAGTAAGGGTTAAAATAATTTTTTTCTACCCAGTTAAGAAAGTGAGCTTTTAGCCTAAAGAGATCTACAGTCTTCTATCAAGTTCAACATTGATTTCCATTTCTAATATTATAATCACAAGTTCTATGGTTATGAGGTGGACAAACCTTTTAAAGATTTAGGAGAGAGGTCATGTGATACACATCTATCAGTAATTTTATCAATAACATTAACTATGTATATGAACACACCAATAGTCTGAATTCTATAATGTCTGTACTATATAAACCTTAGTTCACAATGTTGTGTCATATCTTTTCCTTTTTATCCATAAGAAATTTTAAAGATTCAAATAAAAGTGACTTGTGTATTCTTACCTGGATTTGGTTGAAGAAATTCTTGTGTTTTATTGATCAGGTCTGCAACTAATTTTTCCATCACATCAATTCTCTACAAAAGAAACACAATTGATGTGATGTTTTATCTAGTATGAACTGAGCTGGATATTTGCAAAATTTGCATCGATTATAATTGCGAAGTCTATATATTTGTGTACCCCTGCAGTATCAATCTAAAATTCATTTTCATAAGTCCTTTTCAATTTTTTTGCTAACAAGGAGCTGCAAAGCATGGCATTGTTCCCCACACCCTGTGCAGTAAAAACCCAAATATGATAAATAATATATCAGTATAACAAATTGTAACGTCACTCGATTCTGTACGACAACTATCACCTGAAAAAATAATACACTGAAAGTGCTAAAACCAAAAGTAACCACTTCTTTTGTCAATTATCTGTGAAATTTCCTTGCATCCCCTCAACTTCAATATCTCACACATATATCTTATATATCAGCCTTATAGTAAGAGTTTATATCTTAATGTAGACCTTGTGTTTGACTGTTCATATTTGAATAGAGTTTGGTATTGTCCATGAACAAATTCATGTAATACTCTATAAGCTCAGGAGTAATACAAGAAGTCACAAGAAATTGAAAAAAAATGTGATGGTAACAGAAGAAAGATAAATAATAAAATGTCCTCAATAAACAAAGGCGCAACTTTGGCACTAATCAAATATATTCATAAAGTTTTGTTTAACGGAATAGCTTCCAAGTTGTAGTCTGGAAAGGAAAGTTTACACTAATTTTGTCGTTTTTTACTGTTTCTATATAAAAAGTGAAATGTCAATAGGAAAAAGCACAACTAGGGCACTAACCTAATATATACGGCAAGTTTTGTGGAGTTGCGTGGAATGGTTTCGAAGTTGTAGTCCAAAAAGAAAGGTTAATACTAAATGGATTTGTTTCCATGGTGACACAAAAAATCATTTAAAAAAATGAAATGTTATCAATAGCAAAAGGCATAACTAGGGCACTAACTTAATATATACAGCAAGTTTTTTGAAGTTGAGTTGAATGATTTTGAATTTATAGCCCAGAAATTCCTTCGGACTGACAAACAGACGGAGGGAGCCTATTTTAATATCCCCCCCAATGCATTTCGTGGGGGATAAAAATAGTGGGTCCCACAACATGAAATTCAAGCATATACAGATATTCTGAGCCCCTTCCAAATTATATGATTACAGGATTCTGGACTCAGATGGAGATTTATTACTGCCCCTGGGATGTCTTCAAAATGTCAATAAAAATCACACATTTACAAGATTTTATCTTGATTAGTAAATATTTGTGTTAAAAAACGGATATATATATGCGCTTCCTGTTGAATGGTCGTCTAGATCTATGGAATACACATGTATATGTTGTGATACAAATAAAGGAACTAATACAGGAAATCAATAATCTGAAGTCAAACTCTGTATGATTGTCAATATCTGAAACAAGTGAACAACACTAGTTGCATGATATACTAGCTATTAGCTACAGTGTTTGTGTCATTAAAATGTAATGTACAGACTTAATTTTCACTTTGTTTTTCATCTTGTTCTTTAATTCCTTTTCATAAAAGTTAAATTTGATGAGCACATTCAAAAACTGATTCATGAAGATCTAGTATGTTAGTCTGGCTCTCTGGATCCAAAAATAACAGGTCAAAGCTTAGGTTATACAGGCAAATTTGTTACCTTACACAGAGGTCAAGTGCTCAATAAGGAAAAGAGATCATGAAACAGGAATTAAGTCATCAAGACTTTGGATGTTTGATTAAGTAATAGTGTGGCAGGTCTAAGATATATTCCCTCGATCCCTTCCGTGATAATATCATATTCCAAGTCCAGCTGTATACAGCAAAACTTGTTCCTAACAAATTCCACAGGACCAGAAGGAACAACTTGTTATAACTGAAATTTATCCATAAACATATGGCTTTCAGCATTTCTGAAAGCTATATTGGAATTGCCTCTACATGCATTTCAACATACCTGATTTCAAACATTTCCATAGCTCTAGCATAGGAACAAAAGTATGAAGACATGTAATAAAGTCTAGATGTCTTCATGGGAGAGATATGTTCTAAGTCTAGATAACTTCAGTGGGGAGATACCTTTGATGTCATAATAATATGAAGACAGGTATCAAAACATATATTCAAAGCCTGGATGTCTTTTGTGGGGAGATATATTCTACGTCTTGATACCTTAATTTGGGAGATATGTTTTGAAGTCTGAACACCAGTTCAGTGGGGAGATACATATATATTTAATTCTAGATCATTCAATGGGAATAATTTTTCAAAGTCTTGATCTTTAGTGGGGAGATATATTCAAGGTCTTGATACCTTTCTTTGGGAGGTATATATATATATTTAAAGTGTAAACAGAACTTTTAGTGGGGATAAAAATTTGTACTTTCAGTGGGGAGATATATTCCAAGTCTAGATCCTTCAGTGGGGAGATATATTCCAAGTCTAGATCCTTCAGTGGGGAGATATATTCCAAGTCTAGATCCTTCAGTTGGGAGATATATCAAAGTCAATTGCAATTCAATGAATATTTACCACCACAGAATTATGCAGTTTTACAATTTTGTATACACATATGCAAAATGATGTACATATATATTCGTGCCATGAAATAACAGTCAGGACAACTCTAGGGAATAGTATTGGCATGCACGATGCCATTCTGAGAAAGAGCAGAGATCTAGAAACTTGGAAAAATAATCAATTATATATTTACATTGACATCCTCTACTTCATGCTTATTGTTATTCACAGGAAGGACAATACTGATCATTCTCTACTACAACATTGGTGTGGGACCAATCAAATAGTTTCGTCTTCCTGTATCTGCTGATGTATAATCAATACAAGAGTTCTACATATCCTAACACTGGAAAGTACTCATGCATCAGATGATGAGTGAGCTATATCAGTCATTATACTTAGCATTCATTTGAGATACCATTCGAAATAGATCACCACCTATTCGATCTCCCCACACATGTTTACCTGTCTTATTTACAAATAACCTGTTGGGAAGAGGTACAGTGTGAAACCCTATTATAACATGTATACAATCTGATAACTGAACATGCAGCCAAATGACCTATATTTCTAGCAGCTACTGTGAATTTACACAAAATTATAATCAGTCTGTGACTTAAATCTATGATAAACCTAGATAGCCTTTATTTGTTTTCACAGATTGTGTGTATTCAATGGCACTCTGTTTATCAATCAAGTGTTATCAATGACAACAAAATTATCCTGTTACAATGAAAAAATGAAACACTTTCTATCAGCTTTATATCAAATCGTAATGTACCATACACATATGTACACTTATTGTTGTGAAATCTAGACACGGAAACTAAACTCTACCAGGAAAATATAGTGACAAATTCTATACTTACAGATGTTGATAAATGGTTCATAATATTGACAACAGGGGAGAGTGGGTGGGACAGGGTGGGAGACCTTGAGTAACTAAATTAACTTCAAATCATTCTCCATGAATCTATATAATACAAAGGCAGAGCTGCTAATAACACTTTGTTTTCAGACTAGTTTAACAAGACTTAGATTACCATAGGATTTGAAAATTATATCATTGCATGGTAATGGATGCAAAGATATGTCTCATCTGTCTAACTTCGTTGGTGTGGTAATGTTTAAGCAAAATGAAAAATACACAAAAAATTGTCCTTTATGACCAACAGATCTTAATGCAAATCTACAGTGATTTGTCGTCACAGGCAAGACGAAAACACAGTGAAAGGGGACTTATTTTTCACTAATATTTATGGAACTTGCATTTGTAATATTTCATATTCTATCCTGTCCTAACAGATTACTTTGCATCAATGAATATAAGACTGCGTATTGTATTGTGGCCATCTTTTTTTATTTAGTTCCTTCATAAAAACATGATGCATGACTTCAAAATATCTGGTTATTGATAGAAAATAGACAGTGGTATAAAGTATTACATAGAGACAGGCTACTCCATAATTAGGTGTCTCCACAGACTATTCCATAATTAGGTGTCTCCACAGACTATTCCATAATTAGGTGTCTCCACAGACTATTCCATAATTAGGTGTCTCCTCAGACTATTCCATAATTAGGTGTCTCCTCGTACTGAACACAGCCTTATAATCTGTGATACATTCGTTAGAAGTTTAGAAGTTCTCTGGTGAAATGATTTGGTATGATGTTACAAAATTTTATGAGTATGTTTAAAACAACATTTAAAACATAAGTATAAATTGTAAATGTTAACATTTTGAGCAACAATTGCTAAGCCACCTTAAAATGTTGAAAGGTTACAATCTGATTTGTTAAATAATTCATTTATACCACCAATAGATAGTTATGCTGACAAACTTTCATGTAATTATAGCCATCTTTAAAAGGTAGCTCTCCAAGAATTAATAACATGATATAATAGACACCTACATACATGTTGTGTATACTGTATGTTGTTATATAGAACTTCATAAATTTCAGTGAATTAAGTGGAAAAAAGATTGACTTATAAACATTAACATTTCTTAACTGACAGCATGTCAGGTATTAATTGGCCTATCAATTAAAACTTCATATCAGGACTTGTGCATATACTCATCACCTGCTGTGTCTCCGAAAACAATAGATACAGTAAAGGACACTAGAACACTTAATATGTACACTATGTAGGTTTACTGTAGTTCATTTGATTATTGCATGCATATCATTGAACAAAGTACAATTATGTTATTGCTATAGTACTGTCCTCGAAATCAGTTTTAACACAAAAATCATATTTATATTTTAATTGTGTTATTCTGTAAATGATAAATGATCACATGAAAAGTTATGTGGTTTGTGGAGCATTTGTACTCTGCCTAAAAATTCTTAAAATGAAGGATTTTTCCAAAGTATAAAACAAAGTGAATATTGTATTGCATCCCAGTATGTGCCAAACCCAAAGGAATAGGAAATAATACATTCTCTGTCAGTGATATTTACTAGATAAATATAGACTTATCTACATTGGTCTGAAATATTACTTATATTTTGATGTTTTAGAATGTTATATCAATATTTGGTGATATGATAATGCATGGAAAAACATCAATAAATTACCAACATCTCAACATTATCATAATCCAAACTCAAATTTAATAAAACTAGGACAAAATATGAACAAATGAAAGATTCGCATGGAGACTCTTGAATAAGTACAAGGAGAATAAGATTAGATGTTCCAGAAGGGTAAGCCTTATCTGCTTCATCGAAGACACCCACTATGTAAATCTTGGTCAGTCAAAGTTAGTAATGTCATGTACTCAAATCAGAACAAGGTATATAACAATGGAGTGAACAAACAAACTAACAAATATAAAACGTGTCCAGCTACGTACCTCACAAAGAAATGGAACATTTCTCAATGAGATTACTATAACACCATAAAACTTCTCCATAATTTTCAACAATGTGCATCTTTTGAAACCCTGTGTTGTAAGTTTGTGTATCAGTTGACAACTTCTTACATGAAAATCATGATAATGGGAACAGTCCCTTCAATATTAAAGCAACAGAGACAAATAAACACCATAGGTTGGGGATGCAGGCATGTTGATATCAAACAATGGAAAATTTACAATAGGTAAATTGAGATCATCATGCTTATCATACAGCTAGGAGGAAAACTTAAGATGTTGTTTTTGTAGTAGGAAAAGATAGAAATAACCGGTCGATCTGAAAGAGTCTGTCATATCCTTGATTTCTAATTTTGGTTGGTATATGTATACGATGAAGCTTGCTATGGCAAAGAATCGAACCAAACTAATCATGCGTGGATAAAGTGAAATTATATCCTTGAATAGGAATTTCTATGTAATATTTCAGATCTGAGTAAAATGAAGAAATTTTCCCAGACAAACAGACATTTAATGGAAGATGCCATACTGACACTTCTATTCATACAAATTACAACATGTATGTGATAACTCAGAAATGCATTCAATATCACATGATCTAGGTGTTTAAAATATCTGCACATATATATAATGAATGTTGGGCAAAAAGTAATCCATTTTTTGGGTATAGCCAACGAGATGCTGACCACTAAATTAGTTCCCAATAAATTAGAGCATCATAACATATATATAATTTTGCAAAGCATTAAAAGATTTCTCAAAACACAATCATATAATAAAACTATTCATCCTACCCTTTCCATTTCCATAAAATCATCATCAAGCTCTGTGCCTTTAGCTCCACCTATCTTCTCACTCATATACTGAAAAAAATAAAAATAAGTTCAGATTATTTATCATAGTTAATTTTATTTGCTAAAGGGTACATAGATAGATGTATGACAACAGTAAAAGTGCCAGCCTTTGTTGAATGATGTCATCTATGATTTCTCAATTATAGAGGAAGTCATCTATGATTTCTCAATTACAGGGGAAACTATTTTAAAAAGAACTTGACATCCAATGATAAATTGACCATCTGTTTCATAAATATTACACACAGGATGTAATCATTTTATTGACTGACTCAGGACAGCACTTCGGAGTAGCTTTCAGTACTTAATTACATCTGAATCAGGAAACACTGCCTTCTAAAATGGTGAACCTCAAGATTTGTATCTATGATTTAACTGACTCCTCTATGTGAGTTTAATGTTTGGGGTACACTGCACCCCTAGTTTAAATTATCAATGTGGAAATATATATCAATGTACACAGTGCTCTCATTAAATGCTGATTGTCGGAAAAAGTAGCCTGTTATTCATCAACTTTGAACCAGCTATCGAAAATAGATAGAATCGTACTACAATATGTCATAATTAGTATTTAGCTATCTAGTTTGCCAGACTATTACCTGTTTCAAATCTTAATAAAACACTGATACAGTATATTAATTCCAGGTTTACATAAAATGTGAGTGTCAAAGGTGTTTGATATTACACTGAATTTAATCACTGACTTTATTAATTTAGCATTACTTTCCAAAATTTTGAAGAATCCAATTACATAGAGAAATAGTGGGCTCTCAAAATTTGAACGAGTCCCTATGGAAAAGCATGAGTTCGGGATTCGGATATTTGAGTCTCAAAAATCAATGCATTGTACTTTTGATAATTTTATTTTTTTGTATCTAGTAGGTATCAATGGATGAATCAAATATTTTTTTCCCTGTTAACTATTCCATTTTTTCTTCTTTTTTTGAAGCAACAACCTAACCTTACACTTAACAAATTACATGCTGCATACAGTAATCAAATATTACAAAAACTCATATTAATGGACTAACATTCCACATTAATCTGACTTACAGTACTAGATGAAATGTCAGATAAAATTAATTTTGGTTACTGTTCCATTTGTAAATGTACATGTAATACCCATATAATCAACATACATAGATGATCCATTATGGAAGCTAACAATGGATTGATGCCACACTAATACTTCATTTAAAGATGAAAAAGATATTTTGAACAAACTTCCTGACAGTTGGGAAAAACAGTCTTCTATCTTCTGTACTTTATTTATCAGGAAAATAACCAAATGGGTACTGGCAATAACATTTATTACCTTGTATAAATAATCAACTTTACCCGCAGGTGTTTACAAGCCAATCGAGAAATCAACTCAACAAACTAACACAGAGCAGTGAACGTGATTTTCCCACAGTTGACCGAATACAACACAACAAAACGGAATACAAATATACAATTACAAGTATTCGATTTTTATTCCAACCACCATTGTATGTGTAAACGCGAAAATAACTCTATGCATTTTATCATCATAGTCTGGACAAAAAGGTAAACATGTGATTTCTCAATCGACTCGAACGCCGTTCATTGACAAACTGTCAAATCATGGGATCGTAATCGCTCGGTTTCTATGCAAAAATTATTTAAATCCATACGTTACCTGGTTCGCCTTGTTGAATTGTTTTTTAAGACCCGCAAGAGACATTTTGACGGGTTGCGATACTGCAATTATCGTACTAAATGAAAAGGTAGTTCTACTAGTTCGTTACTCCTGTGTCGACGTCGTCGTGATCTACTCCCACCGTGACGTTTGTCAGTGCGGCAGCAAATAAAGGGTCGCATCATAAAAATATTAAGGATTTTCCCTTTTAAAAAATATAGCATATAGAAAAACAACCTACAGACAATACACAGGTTTAAAAACATTAATTTGTTGTGTTTGTTTAAACAACAGAATCATAATATCCGTAAAGGCCATACAGTGATAGGGAAGTAATTCAGCCCGTATCATCGAGCGCCGAATATTCGCGCCAACTTCGAAGAAGGGGAAACCATAAACAGGGCAATGGCACACGTTGATTGTGTGAATAATTTTGAGAATGGTAAGAAAGATGAGCTTTGGAAGCACCAAGGACGTGTACAATGCAACAGTCAATCATAATTTAGACTAATAGCCATTGATTTTGAGTCTACTTATCCTAGTAATACTTCAATAGGCGTTCTTTGGATGTCATATTCTACTGAGATTTTTTAGGTTGTTATTTCCTTTACATTTCTTTTCTGGGTGCTGTAAATGGTGTCAGCTTGTACTTAAGTGAAAAAATTATATGATGCAATGTTTGCAGTAGCTGTTGTGTTGGATTTGATAGACGGATAGGATGTTTGCCGTTTCTAAAGACTTGCTAACTATTGAAGATTCCGAAGACGAAGTGCGCAGCTTAGCTTATAGTTGTGCTGATATTTCTTGCTTTTCATTTTTGTTATAACTACATCATCGGTTATGAGATTGTTGTAGACACCAGAGGAAAAATGATGTGACTTTGTAAAATTTGGCATTTATCTTCTCTCCAACTTTAGAATAATTGATATACAAGTAGTGCAATGTAAATATTTTGCTAGGCCAGTATGGTGCATTGAGTGTTTTTGGTTGAACCATTTAATGCTAATTATATCAATCGATGTGATAAGTGACCGCCACACTCAATGCTGATTACATTAATTAATGATTCACACATCAAATTTAAACACAATAAGATGTAATATTGCTTTGTATAATGACAAAATAGCACTCAACAATGCATATGATTATATATAATACCTTGCAAGAATTTCCCCATCAGTGACCACTTATGCATGAAATGCTTATACAATGTTTTGTTAAACATGACTTCTCAACAAAAATTATGAATGGCAGCAGTAATAGAATTTCAAAAGTCTGCTTGCTATGGGTAAGTATATGTAGTATGTATTCCAAAGTAGTTAAGCAGAAAAATAACAGCACAAAGATGGTGGTCAGGCCTGAAAATGTTAAAGAGTAGTTGCTTGAAGAGTACCTGTAAGGCCTTAATTGCCCGAGCCTAAGTGTTAAAAAATCATTAGGAATAGTAATTGCCTGAAGATTGCTGAAATGCCTGAAAGCTTGCCATATGCAATCATTTTATTGATTTTATCATTTAGTTGTTATTTTTTTTATATTTTTGTTTTCAGATCCAAAAGTTGCCCTAGGAAACAAGGATGAAAGTGAAAGTGGTCCTCCTTCGAAAAAATTACGACAAGGTTAGTGCATTTTGCATCAAATATTCCCAAAGCAACCATATGTTGGGGTTTAGATTTAGCGTAAACTAATAATAATCTGTGAGAATAATAGACCATTGTTAAAATGACATCAACAAAGGATCAGCTTTTTCCATTACTTATTAATGTCATATTTATAAATATGTATCGGAAAATGTGACAGATACAGAAGTAAAAACTTAATTTGATAAATCAAGATTTGCAGCAATGTAGCATGAAAAAAGCAAGTCTACAAAATTGGAGAATTTAACTTAACCCAGTTAAGCAAATAGGCCACTGATGGGATGTTCCCATTGCAATTCAAAATCCTATTGACAATAGGTATATAATTGATAATAATAGGATAATAAGTTGGAGAAAGTCTTAAGATAAAAAAATTGAATTTGAATATGTACTGGGATAACATGTTTTTATGTAGGTCCAAAGATGGAACTAAAATTTGCTTGATATTTCAATCATTAATATTTTGCAAAAGACGCACAAATGAATAGCACTTCTTAATAGAAGTTTAGAGTTGGATATATTAGAGTAAAACAATGATTAAACCATACAGCTGTTTTGTCCTTCTAGGACTCATCAGTGTTGCTATGGGTCCAAATTTTGAAGTTTGAATGGCACTACAAATCAAAACTGACCTCAGAGCTGTCCCTCCCAAGACCAAGAATGTATGACATGTTGCTTTCTTTTTTTTTTCTTTTTCTTTTCAATTCTCGGCATAATTCATTATCTTAATTTAGTCCTAGTCAATGGATAAAACATCACTCTTTTTAATTTACGATGTTCTCTTACTTTTCAGCTCGATTACCTTTCAAACCTTTGGAACAGAAATCCCAGATTGTTTCACCACAGGGACCGAAAAAGAGAAAACTCTCTGATGGCGAATCTCCTAGTGCCAAACTACACAAGAATCACAAACAGGAACGCCAGCCATCTGGGGAAAACAAACCACTTACTACTAACTGTATAGTTGATCATGATCCTGAGGTTAGTTCCAGCTCAGAGGCAGAAAATATTCCTGTGGGAAACTCGAGTCGCATTCGTAATACCCTGGAGCGCTTTGTGAGAAAATGTCCCCAGGAAGAGATCAGCTCTACTAATGATTGTATTGATCTTGTGGAGAAAAATGATTCAACTGGCAATGATGCTGAGGGACAGGAAAAGACTGATGATACTGAGAAAGACTTGAAGAATGATTTAGAGAAAAATCCTGCTAACCCAGAAAACCTAAACAAGTCAGATAAGGGACCCTCAAATGATGAACATAAAGATTTAATTGTAAATTCAGAGGATGCATTTGTATCTTGTACTGAAGAAAAAGAAGGTAATGAGAAAGATAGTGAGATAATTCCATTAAAAGATGATTCAGAAACACAGCCAAGGAATCAACAGAAAGTCACTGCTGATGTTTCAGCAGATAAGGAAAAATGTACTTCTCTTGATATTACAAAGGAAACCAGAGATTCTTCAATGGATGAAGAAGATGTATCTTCATCACAAGATGTAAACTTGGAGACTCCTGCCAAAATTAAGCAATCTGATGACTCTGCACCTCAGACCCCAAAAGTAAATCCAATCATTTCTGCAAGCCCAACATCTACACCAGGAGAGATAACTGCATGTCCAAAGACACCCAGTGTAGACAGTCCAAGCAGCTGCAGTGATGGAACACCCAAGTCTGGGAAAAAAGGAGTCCGATCAAAGGTATGAGTATTCAGCCATGCTTTTTATAGTGGCTTTGTTTGTTTGATCTTCAGACTGAAAAAAATAATAATATGCTGAAAATTATAGGGAAGAGGGAGTTTAGAAGATACATGATGAAGTATGGAACTAGTTTGAGTTACTGGCTATAAGGATAAAATATAAATTGCCTTGTAATATCTAAAGATTGTTTTTCCCAGCTGTCTGCAGCAAAAATGAAAGAAAAAGAAGCTCTGCGTCAAAAGATTAAAGAAGAGAAAGAAAAGAAATTAGAAGAGAAGAGACTTAAAAAAGAGGAGGAACGCCTTGAAAGAGAAGAGAAAAAGAAAGAGAGAGAAGAAGCTAAAGCCCTCAAAGAAAAACAGAGAGAAGAAGAAAAGGTTGGTGATATATCTTCAATTAATCAAAGATTTGATTATAAAAAGGCTTAAGTCCATTACTCAAATAATGAATCCTTAATTGGCCATTATTTACTAAGATGATAGACAAGGTATTTGGTTTAAGATTAATGGTATGTAAAAAGGTAACTTTAGACAAAGAAGATTTTAAAATGATAATAGATTTTAGATATTGATGCATCACCATTACATTTTTATCTATATACCACTTTAGGAAATAATATGGTGATATGCAGCATTGAAGATAAATTTTACTTATCAAATTTTTAAATACATTGTAGGAAAGGAAGGAGAAGGAAAGACAAGAAAAGTTGCTGTTGAAAGAGGAAGAAAAGAAGAAAAAACAAGAACAGACTGAGTAAGGGCTTTATCAAAATATATGTTTTATATGAATAAAAATACATAATATACAAGGGAGTCCTTTTGATTAGATTCATCACACATATTGTTTCCTTATCTGAACTGCAATTTCAAGCTATCCTTTTTATACCTTGGTCCAGTAATTATGGTAAAGATATTGACACATTTCTTATTATACAGATAAAAGTGTTTTATACCATCATTATCAAATAGTGAGCTATTCAAATTGCTCTGCGTCTATAATCTATTGTCTATTCTTCATGGAAATTTGTCATTGTTATTTCTTGAAAAGGATCAAGTGGATCTTTTTCAATTTTCATAGCTTGGCTCCTCTTAGATTCTGGTTGAATCCTTTTGATTTTAAAGCTGATAAAAATAGCAAAATGGCTGACATGTAGCCATCTTGAATTTTTATAGTGGAAATTTTTTGAAGCACTGGATGGATCTTTCTCAGATTTTCATGTTTAGTTTTCCCTTTATCTTCAGTAGTATTCTTTCAATTTTGAGACAAATCAGAAAATACATTATGACCAAAAGTTTCCTATGTTAGATTTTGACATTTGTTGGATCATTCCCAAATTTCATTTCGACCTTGTTGGTCCCTTGTGTTGTGCTATCGGTTTTTGGGACCAGTAAATGAACAGATGGCAGAATGATGGCTGTCTTGGATTTTGAAAATGAATGTTTATCACCACCATTTCTCAAGAAGTGCTAGATAGATAATTCTTAATTTTGGTCAACTTGTAAGTTGTCTATTTGGAACTTATCAGAAAAACAAAATAGCTTTTTTGACAACAACAAAAATAATTATTACAATTTCTTGAGAGATATTCTTAGATTTCATAACAGCATATAAGAAGAAAGAAAAAATTAAACGGTCTTTTGTCTTCATTTTGAAAGAATGAGTCAAATTTCAGATTTTTGGCTGCAAAAAGAGCCTATATTTATTATGTAATCTGTGAGGACAGCAATGATTACCCATTAGATAACGTTGACCTAGATACTTTGACTGCTGAAACGTCTGAATAGGATTGTTTTGATAGTGTTCTGGACAGATGGTTGGCTCCATTAGTATTTGAATATACTTCATTCATCAAAAATGGGTGTATGGCATGTATACATGCTACTCAGTGCTGCATTTGTATCAAAGTTCTCTTTCTTTTCCATATTTAAGAGCAAAATTGGAGGAAAAAAGGAAGAAAGATGAAGAACTCAAGCTCAAGAAAGAAGAGAAATTAAAAGAAGAAGAAGAAAAGGTAACTTTGTCATTCAAATTTAAATGAATTTAAACTGGTCCTTTCAAAACATTTGTTAAGGTATTAGGGGAGTCGCATGAAGAAATCTGAAATCTTTTAACTTTGAGGCATCTTTTCACAAAGTTTTAGGAGTTTGATGACAGACTCGGTTATGATTTAAAAAAAAAATTTTGAGAGAGGATATTTCTGCTCATGATGCCCTTTGTGACAATAAAAGTTAGAATTCTGTGATTTGGATTTTTATGCAAACTACAAAAAAAAATATATAGCTTACTTGATATTAATCATTACAGAAAGTTTTGAAATAGGAACATTTTAAGATTCTGCTGCACTTGTAATGTTAAATAGTGGGTGGCTGGATATAGGGAAGGTGGATGTGCATCCAGGGCTCTCACACCCCATTTTGGGACTGGGGTCCGGGGCCCTTTGAATTGGGAAAAATAATGGTGTTTTCCTTAGAATTGGGAAAACTTGGGGTCTAAATTGGGGGAAAAAGATACTATTTTGCATTGGGAATGGGGCCAAATATCAGCCCCAAATCTGGCAGATTGAGAGCCCTGGTATCACAGAAGACAAAAAGTTATAAGATATATCATCCAGGTTAAGATTGGCTACTATAACCACATGGAAGTCATCTCTTCAATTTTAATTGCCACTACCCATCCACTTAAAACAGGCTTTAAAACCTTCTCAACATGAATTTAATAGAAGCCTTATGGTCAGGAAAAAACATGATGTCAATTAAATTTGTTAACAGGTGAAGAAAGCATCGAAGACAAAGCAGGCTTTCCAGAGTTTCTTCATCAACAAACAGAGGGTCTCTCCGGTCTCAAAGGTAGGAAGCTGTCATGAAAATAATGTGATGATAGCACCATAAAAATCTAGCTGAGTGTGTGTTCAGTATCCATAGAAAATATGTAGCAGGACATTTGTGGTTGAACACTTACGATTCATGATATCTTACCAAAATAAATGGAATATTTGTTTTCTGGACAGTTTGTTGGCAAGTTACTAGTTATAGCTTTGGTCAATATATTGTGTGTATAGAACTTTAAAAGAAATAGGCGAGCTGTAGACTAGGTGCCCAGACATAGAACGTTAAGCTCTGTTTCTGAAAAGAAATATTTGCCAAAGAATTTGCAATAAGATCAATTTACAAAATGTGCTTGTAAAATTGAGGAAATATTTCATCTGATATATATTCTGTTAGTATTTGCTCACAGTTTTAAACTTTCTTTTCCTTCATTAATAGCCAGTGTTTGAGCAGTTTCATTTGCAAACTGATCCTCAGGAAATATGAAACAGTATTTAAGTAATTTATTTTACTGCTTGTAGGTAAATGAAACTAAAAGTTTGTTCATGCCATTTGAAGTCAAGAAAGACATGAAACTTGCCCCATCGTGTCCCAGGAAACAATTGGACATTGAAGCAGCAGCAACATTGGACCAGCTCTCTTTTAAACAGGTCAGTAATGTGGGTGGCGATCAGTCACAATGGACCAATAATTCAATTATAATTGATGGTAATTTAGTAGAATTGATCATTGCTCCATGAAGATTAATCTACACTCCTCAATGTCATAAAAGGTTTATGAAAACTTCAGTTACAAAAATTTGTTTAAAAAAGGGAATAAAAAGTTGGAAGCTTAAGCAGTAGCAGTAGATAACTTGTTCAGTTTTGCTTGCTATCGAAACATTCTTGTAGAGCATTTGCTATTACAATAGTCTTTAATATGGAAATTTTATTTTTTCTTGTACCCAATATTTTTAAAATATCAGTTAAAACCTGACCAAACTACATGTATAGTGATATCAGATGAATTTGCCATTACCCTTTCATGTGTTTAGATACATTACCGGGTACAAGAATTAACTTGATATATCTTGAGTGTAAGATTACAGCTAGATAATACCTGTTATAATGACCCATGTCTATAACAACCAATTTCTACTTATCTCCTTGGTGGCCACTATAGACATGTTCACTATATAAGATTGAGTTGATTATTCTGGTGTTGTTGGATTTACAGGCTTCTGACAGCCTCTTATATGTTGAGGAACTCCGAACTGGCAAATTACAGCCCAAAAAGTTCCGAGCAGTTGACAGGTAACATCCTAACCATTTCTCAATTGTCATTTTCTTTAAAATGGTCATATCTAGATTGACCCAGAGTGAAAGTCATTTCTGTGCATGTACAAGCTTTAATTTTCTATAAAGTATATGTGAGAAATGTGATTCTATGCTGTTTTTAAGAATGTGAAGTAAAGATTGGTGTCATTTTTGTTTGTTTCCAGGAAAAAAAATAAAGTTGATGATGATGTGATGCTTGTTCATGACTCAGAAGTGGTGAAAAAGGTCACATATCATTGTAAACTGCTGCAGTTCCATACAAACTACAGACCTCCTTACTATGGAACGTGGAGGAAAAAGAGTAATGTTATCAGTCCAAGGAATCCATGGAAACAAGACAAGGTATTGAAAAATCTGAATTATCAAAAAATAGATGTGTCTAAAGCTTGTTCTTGTGTTATTATATGTGTAATATCTGTCTGAAAAGTTTTAATAGTAATAGCTATAACAATGACTTTCCATGTATGGATATATTAGCTTTTCTTTGGTAATGCTGGATCAATGTATAGAAACTTTACAGCTATTTCCTATTTCTCCATACATTAACACACTAGATATAGACATTTCAAAATGTCCCCACACATTTCAAACTGGGTAAGTTGTCAATTTTCAATTTATAAGCTACCAAAGGAAATTTGCAAGGAATGCAATGTAAAGCAGTACTGGTTATAACTTATTGCTTCACGTCATTATTTTCTTGTTATGTCAAATCCAGGCAAGACGAAATTTGCTTGTCAGAAGTCTGCTACAATATATTGATGTAATTTTGTATTACAAACATGCCACGAGTCAGCTTGACTAAAAACCAACAAGAAAGCTTTCTACTGAAATTCCCAATTAAGATTTCCCGGACATTTTAGCCAAGCCATGTCGTGTATACTCCAGTTTTCCTTCCACAAAACCAGATTTTCTGTATCAAATTTACCCCTGCATTGTTTTGGAAGTTTCCAGTTTAATCAGTCACCCATATAATTGATTTTGTAATGGCACCAATCACACATAAAATACATTTTAGTGTTGTCTCAACCACCCACAACAAACCAATTCATCTGCCACCATACTCCCCCACACATTTAATTCTGAAACCACCCGTACCTGAACATTGGATAACTGTAAAAATCTGAATATCATTGAAGTATTGAACAACAGTTTTAAAGTACCACTATTGATCAAGGGTCTTGTGTTTTTCAGGATTTGTTTGACTATGAGGTAGAGAGTGATGATGAATGGGAGGAGGAGGAGCCAGGAGAAAGCTTATCTGGATCAGAGGTATTTTGATATTTTCTGATATCGGGTCAATGAAACAACAAAAGACAACAGTTTAATTGTTCCTGCAACAGAATTGCTTTCATATTTTACAAACTTCTATCGTTGGCCATGATGACAATTTTGTAACCGAAGTAAAGTATTGAGCTGTTTTGTTATGAAATTGACAGTCACTTTGAAAAGGCAAATCTTTGCTGGCAAGCATCATATTGCATGATAAGTAGGTGGTGTATATATAGCATTACAATGGCTACAGCTATGGCATAATGAAATGTGTTTATGTGATATGAGCTCGATACATTGGGGTGCCTTTAGTGCATATAAGCATCGTATGCTTCTGAGTAAACAAACTGCGGTGTCAGGTAATCCTATTGATCAATTACAAGAAAGCGTTAAGTATGGTGTACTTACAGTGGTTCAATTACACAGTGGTTGACATGTGGTTTTTCTATTCCCAGTGTGAAATTAGAATTTTAGCTCAATTATTTCCAACCTGGGTCATGCTCAGACCAGGTTACCTAGGTGTATATATTACATAACAACACTAGAAGCAAAAGCATTGATACTGTATTTATGCTCACATTACAGGGATTTGAATTTTATTTAACATGCATTTCATTCCATCCAGTTGCATATTGTTTTACAGAGAATTGCACAAGGAATTTGACTTACTGACCAAACAGATTTTAAAGCAATGCCAGAGACCTCTTATTTAGGTGAAATGAGCCCTGGTTTGTGATGCTTTGTTTCAGTATGTGTAAATTAGATCTGTTTTCTGTGTGTTTTGTCAGGGAGAAGAAGAGGAAGAAGGTGCTGATGGGGAGGAAGAAGATGACTGGATGGTTCCTCATGGTTACTTATCAGATGATGAGGGATGTCAGGCTGATGAAGATGTAAGTTCTATCTGGAGATATTTCAAATTCCTAAGCTTTGTCTCCAGATTGCTTTACTGTTGATTTGGTTGTCAAGTGTAAATGAAATGTATTTCAAGATTAACCAGATGTCTAAAATATGGAATATGTACAATGATGTCTAGTTTGATTGAACTGAGCATTATTGTAAAATCTCATAGTGGAGTCAAGTTTTCATACTGGAGTAGAGTGATAAAGATAAAGTAATTTACTGCCTTAAGTCTTGTTTGCATGTTTATGTTGACATGGATACATGGTCATAAGATTTAAATGTTTGTAATATCAGGTAGGCCCTAAAATGAGTTATATTTTTTAAATTTCTGAAATACCTTTCTAATTAACATTACCAGCAATATTTCCTATGCGAGAAGCCAATTTTATGTAGATTGACACTTCTGTGATGTCACTGGTAATCTATTTTGTTTTACTTAACATGCTATCTTTGAAGTTAACATTTCACTTAAGTGTTTTTGAATATGTTTGCTAATCACAAGACAAAACCTTGAAAGTAGGGAGGGAAAGTTTGTAAACAAAGTAAGTTTAATAAGTTTGATAGAAAAAACTGATGAATAAAGGAAAAGAGATGGGTATTGAGGGCAGTTTTGTTGGATCTTACTACGATTATTGTTTTTATTACAAAAACATACCATTTTTTGGGACAGGTAAGCATTATATAAAGCATTACAATGATATTTATGTAAAATGTATATATTTATTACATTTTAAAAGAATTCACTGAACAAAATGTTTAATTCCTTAAAATCGTGATAATCTGGATCAATAGTTCATAATTATGTATCTGTATGCGACCCTGGTAATAAGAGGTAACATATGTGTTTTATGTCTAAGTATATCTGCCATTAGAATTAAAAAAATGTTTTTTTCCCATAAAATCTGAAGGGATAGACTTCCTCAAAGAATAATCCACAAGTTTAAAATTCAGGTAAAAGCAATATATTCATATCATAGGTGAATCGTACAAGATCAAAATATTTGTATTATCAGGTTAGCCCAGAGATGATGAAGGCAGCAAGACAGGCCAAGCTTGAATCCTGGGAAAGTGAGCTGAAGCGCCAGACAAAAGCTGCACTGCCCATCATCATTGGTTGTGTTTGGGAACAAGCTTTACACAGTCTGCAGAAACAAGTTCAAGAAACAATGGACAGTTACCAGGTAATATTTAAGGCCCAGTTTCAGTAAATGACATATTCAATACTCTATTCTTTGATCAGTCGAATAAGAAGTCATTGTACCACAGTTTTGACAAACTAAATTTCATTTTTTGAATTTTACTAAGGAGGTTTGTGTAAAATTTCATTCATGGCACTGTTCATATCCTGCAAAATGTTAAATGCAGAAAGCACTTGGAGATGGAGGATGGAAAGGTACTTTTTTTGCATTGATTTATTTCAGCAAATTCAAAGTGATATAGAATGTTGACTCCATGTTCTTATTGAATATTGTGTTATTAATTAAAATTGTCTGATAAAAAAAAACTGCAGAGAATCAGATATCTGTTTGAATGGCAATTAGAGGGTATTCAAGTAATGTGGGTTCGAGGAAGTGGTGTTTTACTGTATATGCTTGATCTGCCAAGTTTTGTTTGTTAAATATGTTACTTTGTAAACTCTTAGACTATGGTCAAATATGTAATTTTCCCTTCAGGCTGTGTGTTTGAGTGCTGATCCTATACCAACCACATACAGTGGAGCTAATAACAGTAAACTGGACAGTTCACCCTCGGACAAGAATATCGGCACACCCAAAAATGGAATGAGAAAACCTGTCCCAGAGGAAGGTGAGAAAGGATAAAAAAAAAGTCATATATGCCATGTGCATTAGTATGGAATTGTTGTCATCAAATGCATTGTAATTATAATTATATGTATAATGATAATGATTGTAAGGTCTATAAATATTTTTTAAAAAATACAGGATTCTAGATAAAATCTCAACCAATTGAAAAATCACTCAAACTTTCAATTCAAAATTTTAGCAATAAAATGCATGGATGTTTCTAATGGATGAATTCCAGATGTTAAATTCGAGTGCTGTGCATGATACTGTTAGTATATGTGTTTTCGTATTAATCTTATTCTAGCACTTGTAAGTATGTGTATTGTGATGTCTGTTGGTATAGCACTGAATGTAGATGTACAGATTTGTTGTTGCACTCATTGGCCGAAATGTGATAATGCACTTGACCACAGAAAGTTAATTACTTTAGGTATGCATTAAGGTTTACTTTATCCAGTTTGTAATACATACAACAGAATTGAGATTACTGAACTTGAAATTGTTTTTATTCTTTTTTATAGCAATGCCAGATTTGATTCGTTTGGTCCATGGAAACTTGGCTGGAATCAAGAAACTGATAAAAAAGTTCCGAACTTTTTGGGGACAAAAAATATCTGGTGAAGCAATCCCATCAACACCTACTGAATCAAAGATGGAGGTCGATACTCCAGATATGAAAGATGAGGATGCTCCCAATGATAAAGCTGCCATGGATACATCGGAGATCACCGAGGATGTGAACGCATACTGTATATCAAAGCGACAGCTGGAACTTAAGATATCAGCTATAGCTGTGCGTGAGAAGCGTGCAGCATACAAGAAAGTCTGTTGGTACGTACATGACAACATTCTTGAACAGTACAAACTTACTGACCTTCCTGTGCCTAACATACATGAGAGTGACAGTGAACCACCTAAACCCAAGTGTGAAGAACAAACCACACCCACCACCTCACTCAAAACACCCAAGGTATCCATTACCCAATTTGCAAGACCAATGTCTCCATCAGAGATTGCAGCCCAGCATGCTGCTGTTGCAGCAAAACAAGCTGCAGAAGCAACTGCAAGGTTGGCAGCATTAGAAGCTGCTTCAAAACAGGCAGCGCTTGAGGCAGCAGCAAAACAGCAGGCAATGGAAGCAGCAATGCGCCAGGCAGCTGCAGTGAATGCTGCACAACTGGGCAGTATGCAGGTGATCCCAGGGACGTCATTTACTTCTCCACAGCAGAAAACTCATGCTATCTATACATCACCGTCTCATGCTAACTTCAATAAGGCCATGTCGCCAAGGGTTGTGTTACCTGGAGGTTCTCCTCTAACAGCCAAAGCCTCTCCAGAGAATCAGAGAAAGAGAATTGTTCCTACAATGTTATCTCCCCTTTCTCAGAAATCGTTGCAGAGTCCTCCTGTGGCAAAAAGTGAATCACAAATGAAGAGAGTTCCGACTATGATTTCGCCAAGTAATCCTCAAAAGAAGATGACTCCACCAGGGATACCAGGTGATAACCAACAGAAGAGGATAGTTCCTACTATGTTATCTCCACAACACTCGAAGACAGCTATGAAAACAGATTTGCCTTTCAACACAGTCAACACAATCAAACCAAGTGTAAGACCTGTAAATAAACCCAATGTTGAATCTCCGGGCCAAACAAAGCCAAATAACGCCTTATCTGCCCATTCGAAGAGCTCTGTTAGACCAATGGTGAAAATCAGATCCTCACCAGCCGGTCCTAATAAAACAAAACAAGTGTTTCGACCTGTAGTGGAAGGCCGTGATTTAGAGAACGCTATTGTCATAGATTGATATGATTTTTCCAAAATGGAATTGTGGTTTAAGGTCTTTGTGAAAATAATTTTAGTGAGGTTAAAGAGTATCAATGCCATTCTAAAACAATAGTAATTAACAAGGTTTGTTACATGTATTTTGCCTTGAAGAAGTTGGAAAATATAATGTACTCAAATATGTGATATTCAATGAAATAACCATCATGTTTGTTTCGTTAAGAAAAAGCTTATTGCAATGTGATTAAAAGCTCGTTTAAATACCAAGTGCAATATTGAGTGAGAAATTGTAGCAAGCGATTCATCCTTTATATCAGTTTTTCAAATTTTATTTTTTTTTAACTTCAAATTGAAACATATTCAGATTGTAGGGTGTAGTTCTCAGTTGAATTTTTGAAGTTTTTTATGGTAAAACTGTTTAATATTTTGTTTTCTTATTTGACAGAAACTGTGCCTCTTGGAGCTCTACTTATTAGAAGAGTTTCATACCATATACGTAGATGATTTTTCCTAGAATGGTGTGGGACGTCAAAAAGTAAATTTATTATAGTCTCTACCATGAATGGCACATCCACACTGTGGAAATCTGTGATACCAATATATGTGTAAGGCAACATTATATCATTATAATCTAAAGAAAACAAAAACACAAAAAATAGCACATCATATACATGTAACATTCATTATGTGATTCTTCTGTGTATTTTCTTCTTCTTACTTCAGCTGAAAATCAGGAGTATATGATTAGATTAATTAACACAACAGAATTGGCACCTGTTAGGATACTGTTTACAGTAGCACTAGTATGCTATGTTTTGAAAATATGTAGCCATATTAAAGTGTCTCGGCTGTAGATCTCAATCTAAAAACTAAAGTGATGAATTTGGAGACTACTGTTTTTTTGTCTTACCTTGAAAAGTTTTGGAATTGACACTGCAATGTTATTTTTCTAGTGGTATCAACATTTCACTTTCATGTTGTAGATTTAGATGTGTTCCTCCAAGTATACAAGTCTAACAATAAAAAGATTTGGTCACATCGTAAGCACCTCAACACATCCATCACTTACTAATTTCTTTCACATTTTACTGCTTGGTGACTCTGAAAATTAAGGAATCGGAGAAGCTGGAGTTAGGTGGTTAGCTCATTTTCTTACAAAGATCAAGTGCTGTTTATATATTCAAATCTCATTAAGAAATTGTAAGAAATAATTACTTTGTAGTTGTTTCTGCATTTAGTTGACATCTTTCACACATTCCTTCGTACATTTTTGTAATGTTAAAATGCCAGGAGTAAAAAGAAAAATAGTGTTTTCTTATAAACTGTTTAGGATTTAATTTGACGCTGTAAAGGGGATAAAGTTGGAATGGGGCATGAGAAAAACTTGATGTAAGAGTGAAGAAACAAATATACAGAAGATGAAAACTCCAAATAGCTTCTTCAGTTCTTGTTTAGTGTTTAGACAACACTTGGGGAAAGTAAATTTAATTATCTATCAGAAAGCTCCTACATTGCATTCATAACATTGAGCACAGATAATGACTTTTCATTGAGCTTCAGTGGATATATTTATTGAGTATCCAAAGTTCCATATTAGATAGTCACATAAAGATGAGGTATTCATCGATGGATATATATTTATTTGACCATAGCTATATGAGACTGAGTACATTAGCGCTAGGTCATTAACTTGTATGTAAGATGTACATATATCTTAGTTTTTTTTTGGTTTTTTTTCTCCATGAATATGAAATGATAGAACCTTCAGTACACATTACCTTTAATACATTGGATAAAAACATTTTCAAGATATTTATGGTTTTTTTTCATCAACAGATTACTCTTAACACTTATAGAGGATTTTTATGTTGTCTTAGATTAATTGAATTTTGTTTCTTTGAAAAATTGGTTTCTGTGTGTTTTTGCCACCTAGATATACAAATAGCTTACATTTTTACCTCTTTCTATTTTGTCCATAGTCTGGAAAAGTACCCTCAGACAAAGTCAAAAATAAAAACTGCTGTGCAGTATTTGTCAAATGAAATTGTGACACCATAAAAAATTTATTTAGATTGCTATAAAATGATAAGTAATTTTAAGAATTGAATAGCCATTTCCCAAGAACCATGTCTCATCAATGTTGGATTGTACAATCCTAAAGCAAAGAAATTAACTTTTTTGTTATACAGTATTATTACTTTTACAAATACGACAGAAAACTAACTATCATTAAATGTATTTCCTTCTCATTCCTATGCCTTTCCTATGTATTCTGTACTTGTTTGTAATATATGACTGAAATAAGAAAGGGAAATTTCCCTGCAAATAAAATAGCATGCAGATACACAAATAGCATCTTGCTCTTATTAGCATAACTGCCTCTCTTTGAAGGGATATTCTGCTTTTTTCTGTTTTCTGTTTTTATGTGGGTGATTCTTTTTTATAATAACTAACAGATCTGCTTATATTTACCATAGGAATGAACACACAATGTTTAATTTGTGGAAATTTACAACCATTATCTGGACCACGATTAACCCACATCACGTTTGCTTTTTATTAGCCCTACAGTGTGTGTAATATTTGTATATTTCAAAGTAGACGAGAAATAAGCCAAAGAAAACAATGAAATTACAGCTACAGCTGAAATGTTGAGAGGATAGTGTACAGCTCTGTATCTACCCAATACTTCACATGAAATTTATGATCCAATCAGTGAGTTTCCGATTACCCACTATATTTTGACAGTCTAATTTTATATTGGTCAAGGGTATTTCTACCAATTTTGCCCGTCCCAAATGACCTTTGGAAAAATATTTTGATGCCGACAATAGTTTTTAAATGGTAAAAAACAGCCAGAAATTTTTCAACTTGTGCAGAATATCCTTTTAAATAGACATTGTTTTTGACTTCCTTGTTCAAAAGAGCTTATACCATGGTATGATGTCAATCAACATCAGCAAAAAATTACTCTAACGTTACTGACAACATTTTGAATAATATGGATTAGGGGAAAAAAAGTCTCATTTAATGGAATAGAATTCAGATTGGCCAGCAAGATCTTATCACAATACAGCAGGATTCATTACAATTAAAGTCTCATTATGTTGTCCATTTATTACCATTGTAATGGAATGGCAGCAAGCAACTTCATATGTCTAGAAAAACCATGGAAACTTCTGCACCGTCTCTGGGGTGCATTTTTAGCCTAACATCATCATATGGGCTGTTTAAATAGCCCTTCATTGAAGATCTATTCATCCTTATTCTGGTTGTTGCTATTTCTTAAAAAGTACTGGATGGGTCATTCTCAGACTTCATAAGCAAGTTCCCCTTGGTCCCTATTCTATTCTGCGACTAACTAAAAACACAAAATGGCCTACTAGCAACCATTTTAGATTTTGACAATTCTAGTTTATTTTCATTATTTCTTGAGAAGTTTGTGATGGGTTATGCTCAACTTTCATACCCAAGTTTCCCTTGGCTCCCAGTTGTACAACTGTCTATTTTGGGACTAATTGGGAACACAAGATGATAGACAGCCATCCTGGATTTTGACTGATATAGCTTATTTTCACCATTTCTTGACAAGTGCTGGATGGATCGTTATCAAAATATATAACCACCTCTTCCTTGGCTGCTTGGATTTTGGGGTCAATCTGAAAGAAAGAAAAGGATCCAAGAAGAGTTGAAGATCAATCCATTGCAGACACTAAAATTCCACTGATCTTTCACATAAATTATACCATACAATTACTACCCAGTTGCTGAAAATATTCTTTCTGGACATTTCTACAGTTGAAGTAAGTCAGCAAGTTCTCACCTGTATTTGATGGATGGTTTCTTCAATTTCAACAAGTCACCGAGTCAGATATCAGAGAAGATATTATACCAGGATTTTATCATGAATTTTAATAAAAAGAACAAAACCTATTTTCAAAGTATTTTATTGCAACAAAACATTTTCCCAGTTTTGTATTACAGAACAAGTGGGACTATTCCATCCACAATACACCCAGCTGTTAGTATCACTTGAAACTTTTCCTGGCAAAATTGAAGGCACAAGCAAAGTAATTTGATTGGTCCAGAGCTGGTTTCGGGAGAGAAAAAATTACCAATCACAGACTCGTACACTCGTTTGAATATTACAATGGAGTGACACATACCGTTACATGACCCAAAGATTTGTTAGATGTACATCAAAGTATCGAACAAGATTTCTCTTATCCACTGCTGTCACACAAGGAACCTTCAATTTTGCCAAAAAGTTTTACAGGGGTGCAGAGAGTGATAGTGGGTGTAACCCCCAGAGTATTGAGGGCTTACTAAGGAGTTCTGATATCAAAGTGGAGAACAGCATGGACAGAACACTGCCCATCTTGTATACCAATATCCACTTACAATCATACAGTGATATACATTACAGTATCCACTTACAATCATACAATGATATACATTACAGTATCCTCTTACAATCATACAATGATATACGCACAGTATCCTCTTACAATCATACAATGATACACATTACAGTATCCACTTACAATCATACAATGATACACATTACAGTATCCACTTACAATCATACAGTGATATACATTACAGTATCCACTTACAATCATACAATGATACACATTACAGTATCCACTTACACTTCTACTTTGGACTGACCTCAAAAATAACACATGGTCAGGACCCTCTCCGGATCATATCAGGCAAGTTTGAGCTAAATCCCATTGGTGGAACTTGAGATATTTAAAATATAAAAAGTTTAAACATGACGGGCAATGCACCATTACAGCGAAACACAGTGGCTATAGGTCATCCTGACCCAACACAAAAACAGCCTTAGATGACTACCCCAGTACTTGAAGGGACCTGATGGTTTTTTTATACTCCATGTTTATCACTTGGCCTGGTATCAACTCACCTGAGATAGGTGATAGAATCACAGGTACAAAATAAAGTGTTTTCCCCTTGTAGAATTACCCAGGTGACTTCATATTCATGATGACTATTTAGTGTACTTTTGAAGTATGGGGACTGGAGTCTGTTACTGCTTAATGCACAGTAATGGGACACAAAGACTGAACTTGTCACTTTCAAGTCCTTGAATTCCACAGAGTAGTGCAGAGTGGCTTGCACGCCTTGGCAGACAGGTCTTTCATTCACCACATGAAGTTCTCACAAAACTGCTTGTTTGTCAAAGTACTTGCATGCCTTGAAATTTCCAAGTTTCTTTCCGTCTTTGTCGTAGTGAAGTGTCCTGAAGCACTGGTCACAGAAGAAAGACGGGTCATCGGGTGCATGTTCACTGCCGTAAGTCAGCCACCTGGTAAAGATGAAAAAACAATATTCAGGCAATGGGTACAGATAGACTGTTTTTCTCATCATAAGACGGCAGCAATTTTCTTTTACGATACAGGCTATATACTGAAAATGTATCGCACAAGTCTCTATGCAATTTGTTTTTTGAAATATTTAGATGGAAACAAATTTTCAAAGGTGAAATTTTGGGAAAAAATCAATTGCACCATAAAGAAATTTGGTTTTCAGTAAACTTTTAAGGACTTGTTCTGCAAACAATAATAATTACATACATTCTGTAGATAACTACTTTGTTTACACATGTTATAGGAGTGTTGATATGGTTGACTATTACACTGTTTCATAACATTATGAAATACATGTACATGCTGCAAACATAATGGTACTTATTATGTGTTTCTAATTATTCTCAAGGAGACACCAATATTCCTTATGTCTACAGAGCTTGTCATCATCAAGACCACAGTGTTCCATATATCCATGTTATCTGTTATTGGTTTAATGTTGCTTTAAATCCTATTAACAGTCGGGGTCATTTAAGGACGTGCCAGGTGTGGGCAGTAAAGGGCATCTAGAGTTCCCGGAGAAAAATCACCAACCTATGGCAAGTACTTGGCGACTCCCAGACAAAGTCTCGATCCCATTACCCAGAGGTTGAAGGCTAGTGATTAAGATGGTTAGATGCCTTAACCATTCAACCACCGCAGCCCCCATTGTCTGTTACCCTATTTTCTCTGCACTGTTAAGAGTATATTACAAAGAAACCAGCACCAACCAGAAGACGATAAACTGGTTGTATCTCTATTAAGATTCTGTTTGGTGGGAAGTAAAGGGAATTTCAGCACAGAATCCTGGTGAAATTGATCAATTGGAGTCTGATTCTTACACTTTAATTTTAAAGTTTTTATCAATGTTCTTGAAAAATCGACAGCACTTCCATGCCTTACATTCAACATTTCAATATGCTAAGCAAAGTCACTATGACATCTCTCAATTTCACAGCCTACCAACTTACCGAGAGGAGTGGATCTCACAAACACGACAGATTGAGCGTTTGTATGTTCTCTTGAATGTCAGTCTCGGGTACTCCCTACGGTCCTGGATATCATCATTGTGAAATAGACTGCCAAACGATAACAAATGTATTTAAGGTTGCATTTACCACTGAACCAAGACTTTAATCTCTATTCCAAAGAGTTCCAATGACCAAAACTTACATGAAACATTTTCTTAGCAGTAAAGTCTGTTATTGTGATAGGTAATGTGTGATCACAGATTGTGAAAACATAAATTTACAGGCACCATTAGACAAGTTCATCCTCTTGAAAACATTAATTACAAATTTAATTTGTAGAACAGATTTTACTATATATAATTGTATGATAGAAAGGCCCTGTTTTGTATGTACCGTATGTCATTGAAGATGAGGATGTGCTCGCAATTTCCCTGGTGTAGATAGAGGTATGGCTGACCGAGACGCACTTTCAGATCCAGAAAGATTGCATTGTGCATGTTCTTAGTTGTCATTGGTCCAATCCCTCGATCTTCCGCAGTCGCCCACCTCCTTATTATGCTGAAAAGATAAGTGAGTGAACAGAGACCTTTATCAAATAACATCACTTTCCTATTTACCATGAAGTAACCAGTTAGCAATAATCAGATTAAAATCCCAACAATTATGTCTGGTATTCTTTTAAACTCGGAAAAGATGTGAAAGGATAAATTGCAGCAAGCATTTCTCACATCAGTACAACAAAAAAGGTATTTTCTGTTCAATACATTATCATAGCTTCGTTACTAATGTTGTGTGAACTAAATACTATTAACAAACCTTCTGCAGTTTCCACATCATGATTAGTTCAAGGTGATCAACTTTAGTGAAACAGACTATACTGCACTATGGGTAAATTGTTATGTAGCATCTCCGCAGTTATTGATATTTGCAAATCTGTTTGTTTTGCATACAAACAAAGTTGGTTTATAGTACTGAGCTGAAGAAGTTCTATTACCATAAAGCTAGTAATTTTTAGAGGTCAAGATTTTTTGGATTTGTTTTTTAAAACAAAACAAATCAAAACATCATGATCTGCATGCAAAAATGTGTTCAATTACCAAATTATACAATGGTGAGACAACAATCATTGTGCCAGATTTAATTTTTTTATGTAAGCTTAACTGCTGTCAAATTGATATTCTTAAAAATGGTAATGATATCTGTAAAGAAACTCACCTACTGTAGTCACGACTGTCCACTTCTCTCAAATCATTATAAAATACACCCTCTATGTAGAAAAAGCCTGACTTGTACACATCCTAGATAAAACAAAATAAGCTTATATTTGGATCAGGACTATTTCTATGAGGATATATAAATAGATTTCAACCTGTCATTCTCCCCAATGTTACACAACATGAGTTATTTATATAATGGTCACAAATAACAAGATATGAAGTCAATAAATTTCTTAATTCTTGGTAGTTTTGCTTATTCAATAAAAGTACAGGATTCAACATTCTAATTTCTCGTACAATCAATAATCCTTTTACTAATTAATCATGAACATGCCTAATAAAGCATGCTATTTTTTATGCTATAAATCTATAAAACTGAAAACAAGAAGTTGAGGTAATACTAGTAATCATGGTGACAATACCTTCGCATAGAAACCAGAGTTGTCATCAGGATTCTCACTAAAATCCCCACTTATTGCAAGGTCATTGACGCAGCTAATCTTGTCTCGTAATTCTGTCAGATGCTGACTTCCAAGGACCTGGAACCTCTGATCAAGTCCCAGCTGCAGAAATGATACAGACACAAAGATTTTAATAACATACACACTTAACATTTTAAAATTTACGACCCAGATGTTTTCTAATTCACTGATTCAAATGAACCATGAACACTAAATGAAAGGCCAGTATTGTTCACCTTTGCTTGTTTATAGAGACTACATCATTTAAAGATTTAATTCTGGTAAGTATATTGTTCATCACCAACATTATACCTGTTCTTTACAGTATATAAGTTATAGATAAAATAATCATACATCTTCTTTACAGTATATAAGTTAAAGATAAAATAATCATACATCTTCTTTACAGCATATAAGTTATAGATAAACAATTATACCTCTTCTTTACAGTATATAGGTTATAGATAAACAATTATACCTTTTCCTTTAACAGTATATAAGTTAAAGATAAAATAATAAGATTCTGATGACCCCAGTGACCAAGGTTTTTTATTGAACCAATTTTTGTAGCTTTTCATGCCGACCATACTACAGGCCAAATATCATGACGTCTGGGCCTCGTAGCTTGTAGTTTGATATCCTCTGATGGCTTTTGTAATAAATGAGGACATCATTATTTCTGATAACAATATTTAGCCATACATAAATACTGTGTTATAATTAACACAAGTTAGCTTGGTTGGGAATATTGACTAGCTCCAATACATATGACAGTGTTACCTGTAGTTGGTAATATTGACTAACTCTCCTACATATAACAGTGTTACCTGTAGTTGGGAATAATGACTAGCTCCAATACATATGACAGTGTTACCTGTAGTTGGGAATATTGACTAACTCTCCAACATATGACAGTGTTACCTGTAGTTGGGAATATTGACTAACTCTCCTACATATGACAGTGTTACCTGTAGTTGGGAATATTGATTAACTCTCCTACATATGACAGTGTTACCTGTAGTTGGGAATATTGACTAACTCTCCTACATATGACAGTGTTACCTGTAATTGGGAATATTGACTAACTCTCCTACATATGACAGTGTTACCTGTAGTTGGGAATATTGACTAACTCTCCAACATATGACAGTGTTACCTGTAGTTGGGAATAATGACTAGCTCCAATACATATGACAGTGTTACCTGTAGTTGGGAATATTGACTAACTCTCCTACATATAACAGTGTTACCTGTAGTTGGGAATAATGACTAGCTCCAATACATATGACAGTGTTACCTGTAGTTGGGAATATTGACTAACTCTCCAACATATGACAGTGTTACCTGTAGTTGGGAATAATGACTAGCTCCAATACATATGACAGTGTTACCTGTAGTTGGGAATATTGATTAACTCTCCTACATATGACAGTGTTACCTGTAGTTGGGAATATTGACTAACTCTCCTGCATATGACAGTGTTACCTTTGGTTGAGTATTTTGACTAGCTCCCATACATGTAGCAGTGTGTATACTAAGCTCTATCAAAACATCGTGTCCAACTTGATTTTCACTCGGCACAGATGGCTTACATTCTAAATTGGCATTCTGTAGGTTACTGAAATTCTACAACAGAGAAACAAGTCTAGTTACTTACTTGGAAAGCAAATTCAAACAATGCAATACAGTTAAATAATGTTTGTCAATAAAGATTCTAAGTTATCAAAAACAACTGAAAATAGAAATATTAATTGCTTTTTCCATAAAATGACATATATCTGAAGTTTCACATAATGTGTAAATGTTCATTTATCAGATGCTATATTTCATTACTTTAATTTGATAACAACATACTCACACAGATTTTCTCTTGTACAGTCTTGTATTTCATTTTCTTGTTGATGAACTGTTTGTACTGTGTACTAGTATTTCTTTTCATCATTTCATGTTTTTGCATTCTACAGGAAACAAAACAATCTTTAATAATAAAAAGAAGTTCTTAACTTTTTCAACCATCAATTATATCATATGTAAATATACCATATGTTTCATATAAAACTTTGGAAACTTGAATTTTCTCTTTAATGAGAGGAAATTGGGAAAACATCATACTTTTATCTAACTAATGAAAGCTATATGACAATGTGTTCCTATTCAAACCTATTAAAGGCTTCAGCACAGGAATTGCCTCCCTTTGCCAACTTCAATTTGTTAAAAATGAATCATGAATTTTCCAGCCATAATGGAGCATTTGACTAAATTTTGATATGTTTGTTTGTTTCTTTCTTTGCTGGGTGCATTGCCCCATGAACAGTAAGGGTCACTTTGAACTGGTGCCTTACTCACTGAACAACATATGGGAGGCAAGATCCATGCCATCCTAAGTAAATGGATTCAAGTGTCTAAACTATGGACACAACCATGACAGCACAGACCAGACTGTCTTTCAGATTCCTGAGAAACACAAACCCACCGCACACAGGGAGTGTCAGGCTAAACCCCTCTGATCTTTACCTGAGCTTTCATAAGTCTACACTCTACAGACTGACCAATCTTAGCCCCTTAATTTAATAACTATGTGAAACTATATCTTCATCAGATATTGTACTTATTAAGCATAGAAAGCTTGAGGCTGTAGGTGAATTGAAAAGGAACTTTAAAGTTCTAGACATGCTTTAGTATAAAATAATTAAAATAGAAAAAAAAACTTGAACTCATACCATGCCACTATACTCTATTTCAATAGCCATTTTTTGAGACGCAGATATTTGAGTCCTGGACTCTTGATTTTCCTTTGAGACTACAACTGTATCTCCAGTTCTGAAGACCCACTGTATCTCTTAGTAATGGGACTTAACAAAAAACTTTGGAAATGGTGTTCTGGACTTGCTTGAAATTCTAGATTCACCTGAAAAAAAAATACTGCCATGTGGGCCAAACAGCACTTATCTTTCCTAAAATACACCCGTTCAGCTTTCCTAAGATACACTCATTCAGCTTTCCTATGATACACCAGTTCAGCTTTATCAAGATACACTCATTCAGCTTTCCTAAGATACACCAGTTCAGCTTTCCTCAGATACACCAGTTCAGCTTTCTTTAGATACACTCATTCAGCTTTCTTTAGATACACTCATTTAGCTTTCCTAAGAAACACTCATTCAGCTTTCCTAAGATACACCAGTTCAGCTTTCCTCAGATACACCAGTTCAGCTTTCTTTAGATACACTCATTCAGCTTTCTTTAGATACACTCATTTAGCTTTCCTAAGAAACACTCATTCAGCTTTCCTCAGATACATCAGTTCAGCTTTCCTCAGATACACCAGTTCAGCTTTCCTCAGATACACCAGTTCAGCTTTCTTTAGATACACTCATTCAGCTTTCCTAAGAAACACTCATTCAGCTTTCCTAAGATACACCAGTTCAGCTTTCCTCAGATACACCAGTTCAGCTTTCCTCAGATACATCAGTTCAGCTTTCCTCAGATACACCAGTTCAGTTTTCCTCAGATACACCAGTTCAGCTTTCCTCAGATACATCAGTTCAGCCTTCCTCAGATACACCAGTTCAGCTTTCCTAAGATACACCAGTTCAGCTTTCCTAAGATACACCAGTTCAGCTTTCCTCAGATACACCAGTTCAGCTTTCCTCAGATTCATCAGTTCAGCTTTCCTCAGATACATCAGTTCAGCTTTCCTCAGATACACCAGTTCAGCTTTCCTCAGATACACCAGTTCAGCTTTCCTAAGATACACCAGTTCAGCTTTCCTCAGATACACCAGTTCAGCTTTCCTCAGATACATCAGTTCAGCTTTCCTCAGATACACCAGTTCAGCTTTCCTAAGATACACCAGTTCAGCTTTCCTCAGATACACCAGTTCAGCTTTCCTCAGATACATCAGTTCAGCTTTCCTCAGATACACCAGTTCAGCTTTCCTCAGATACACCAGTTCAGCTTTCCTCAGATACACCAGTTCAGCTTTCCTCAGATACACCAGTTCAGCTTTCCTAAGATACACCAGTTCAGCTTTCCTCAGATACATCAGTTCAGCTTTCCTCAGATACACCAGTTCAGTTCTCCTCAGATACACCAGTTCAGCTTTCCTAAGATACACCAGTTCAGCTTTCCTCAGATACATCAGTTCAACTTTCCTAAGATACACCAGTTCAGCTTTCCTCAGATACATCAGTTCAGCTTTCCTCAGATACACCAGTTCAGCTTTCCTCAGATACACCAGTTCAGCTTTCCTCAGATACATCAGTTCAGCTTTCCTAAGATACACCAGTTCAGCTTTCCTCAGATACATCAGTTCAGCTTTCCTCAGATACATCAGTTCAGCTTTCAGTATGTATTACATATATCCTGATAAAACATAACAAGAAAAAACAACTTGTCAGTGTGTACTTACTTGACAGCCATGAGATCCACATCATCCGGGAAAGACTTAAGCAAAGTCATATCTGGTGGTTCATCACCATTCTTCAAAGTCTCCACTCTGCAATCACATTACATGTCCTGTATTTCTTTCAAATAACTGTTTTTCAAGATGTTAAAAATAAAATAAAATATTCTGATAACTAACAGAGTTTCTAGAAATGTTTGTTTTGTGAAATGACAAGTAAAAAACCTTTGAAGAAGAAGATCTTGTAGATCTACTTTGAACACCAGACAATTACCGGCAAGTGAAACAATTCAAATTTTGTGGAGCTAAATTATTCACCACTTTGTACATTAGAATTGTATAAACTTATTTTAAAAAGGCAACCAAATTTTCATGCTTAAACACATCACAAGAAAGTGTAAAGAAATCACAGTTTAAAATAATTCCTGCTGCTCTCTTCTGCAGATGCTCTAGTTTTACAGCATAGGAAGGAGTAATGAAAAACAACCTGCCAACTAATGACCGTTTGGTATCTAGCAAGACACTTTACCACTCAACTTAAAGAAAATTCCCACTACCTGAGGCTCGCAATGCAACTTGTACTCTCAATTTCTACACATGGGTCACATTAATAATCTTGGATACTAGTTCAGTACATTTAATATATGTAAGAACTTCTGTCCTATTTACAATCTTGGATATAAGTCAGAATTTCCCTTTAGTCAAGGGGCAGGTTGTAGTAAGCCTTTTAGAGTGAAAGGTCAGTAGTTTGCGTACCATTTGGGCTAAGAATGTTTTTTATTAAAGTTTATTTCTGGTTCAGGACTGTGAAAACAGTCCTCTATACCAGACTTTTATCATAACACTGTTTATAAAAGTTCTCAAAATTTCTGCTACACAATAAGTTTTGGTTTGGTACTCCGTTTGTATTTATAGAACAATTCTATATTTTTCTGAGTAATTATCTAGACAACACCTTCTGGTAAGTTATTCATATTGATGTAGTTCTTATGGGAAAAAAGCTGAATCTCTATGTGATTGCACTGCAGCACTCTTTGTCATAGTCTTTTCAATTGTTACTTTGTAAAGTTCTATAATGTCACCTCTAATTTTGCTAAAGGCTTATGTTGATAGTTTTAATTATTCCTATCTCTGACTGTTTGATACAAAATCAAAGGCCGAGCCAATGTCTGAGCTAACATTAGAAGTGTTAAGTTGGGCTGTTTCTTTGCTGGTATATGGACAACACTAGGGTATGCAGGGTGTCAACTCCAAAAATAGAAGCTATCAATCAGCAGTAGGGACTTAACACAACATATACCAGCTGCAACAAAATTGGTGGTCAATAAATTATATTACTGCCAACTGGTTTTTGGCTCATCAGGGCAGTGCAACATGCAATTTGACACCCTAAATTACATAAAAAGTTGGTGGATTTTTGTCATCCAGAAAGAATATGTACTGTACAAGGAGCTTTTTTGAGATATATATATATGTAGATGATGTATTTTTCATTTGTGTCACAGGGTAAATTGGAGTAAGTGTCTGTAACATCCTGTTTAATCTGTATTCGTTACTATCCGTGCATTTACCTGTATGTCGTTATTTGGTGTTACCTGTTAGGTAGTGTCAGTGTCTGTCCTTATATGGTGTTGTCTTGAGACGTGTACATGTCCAGGTGTGACAGGTGAGGAAGTCGTGCAAGAGTGAGTGTATAGGGTAATAAAACTAGAGATACCCCTGGGTGCTGGGCAGAATCACAGACTCGCCACGTCGTTCTGGACATCCTCGGGAGTCCAGGTGCCACATATAGCTACAGTTAAGTGACTGACATGACCCGACGGTCGGTGTAGTGATGTGATTGAGATCCGAAATCAGGGGCATTAATAAAAAAAAAACATTCAACACACAACGAATTCGAGTTGATGGTGTGACATTTGGCGCCCACGTAGGGACACCAACAGGTGAATGACGAAAAACACAGCTGAAAGACCTACTAAGCATCTCAACGACGGACCAGTCGAGAAACGTCTTGAGGAGGTTGGGAAGCCTTATGTTATGGCGAACTGCGCGCAACATGTATATTTCTTGTTCATCGTCCGCACAGTGTTAATTGTGTTATGTGTGAGCCATGGTTTTTGTTAAAAAAATGATTCTATTTGGATTTGTATAACGATATCCATAACAATGCATTCTAAGGACTCTGGTTGCTGGATACTACATGTAGTCGCGAAACGAACGCGCCGACGAGGACCAAAATAAGCATCTTGGGAACCTGGAGTTAACTGGAAACGTTCAACACACAATGAATTCGAGTTGATGGTGTGACATTTGAATCTACAGTAGAGAGGACCTTTCCTCCTTTTTGTACCCCATGAACATGGAAAATATATGAGTTAGAATGTTCATATTGATGTTTGGTATTAGATCCAATCCTCATGTATTTGCATTAATCCTCAGGCATTTTGAGTAGCAACATGAATCGCTCCGATCACACTGTAAATAACACAAATGAAAATGATCTTAATACTGAGCCCTCAGGAAGTCTTCCTTCCAATCAGGCTGTGTGCCATTAACCATTACTTTCTGTTGTTGACCATTCAAAAATGTTGTTACCCAAGACAGTATTTGGCCTGATAAGTCATAAGCATATAACTTGTTAAATAAAATGTTGTATGAAAATGTGTCAAACACCTATTTGGTAGTTCATATGTAAAAAATAATCTGCACTTTATCCAGAGCTTTCAAAACCTCTAATACCATAATTTTAATGTAGTTGACCTCCTGATATGATGCCATATTGTTCCTGTAAGAAATAATTATTTTTCTTATAAAACTTATCATTATGTAATATGTTCCTTCACGATGGATTCTAGGATTTTGGTAATAAAAGTTATCAGTTTGCATTTACATATACTATACCATGCAAACAATAATACATAGGCTCATTAGAAATATGTAAAGAAACACAACTAAAACACTGAAGAAGAAATAGTAAGCAATCCACTGTCATATCAATCTAGTAAAACAGATCTAGGTGATTGTTTTTTTCTGTAAACGAAAGCGATAGTAGAGAAACCGAAACCTTGTGTAAAGTGAAAGTAGACTATTACCGTACCCACAAACAGAGTTCAGTTCCATGACTGTATCTATAGAAACATCCATATCTTTTGCAATAGCGTCCCTTTCTGCATCCTGTGATGTCTGGTCCACTCCTAAGTATGGCATCACGGACGAATCCCATTTCTCGTAGAACTCCCTCACATCAATCACATCGGTGGCTCCCTTCAGCAAACGCATGCTCTCCATTTTGAATTTTGTATAAACCTTCATGGTTGTACAAAACGAAACAAGAAAATAAATGCCAAGAGAAATAAGCGCTCATATTTTTATCTTTAGTTTTATTATACCTTTTCGTCGGTATCTATATTTCAACTGAAAAAGTGTCATTATTTTTTTATATTGTCAACAATAAAATATTTTGTTTCGATATATATTATCTATTCCGAAAATTCAATTCAAGCTTTATTGGCGGGAAAGAAACGGAGGCTGATTTGTAAACAAAAACCGTTTGGCTCCAAACATAACAAACACTGTTCTCAAAAATCTGCATAGGAACTAACTAATAAGGTAAACACAAACTTATTAGAAAAAAAAACCAAATTGTCTGGCTGCCGACCGTCTTTGAATTGGACAGTTTAAGCAGAGACGTATGTCTCTGGTTTAAGTTATAATCACAACTGATAGGTCTATTATCAAAAAACAAAAGAGAAGTCTTTTTATCTAACTTTAACTTGTCATATTGTTTGATGAGGCAGGGGAGGAGTAATTTCTAAGTTGGTAAAGCAATCAGATTTGCTCTGGGGGTGGGGTGGGGGGCATGTGGCAGGCCTCTATTAAATCATATTGTCCAATGAGGGCTTCATCAGTTGCTACATACAAGAAGTATCTTCCTCAAAGTGACACTGTTTGTTCATTAGTTTTCATGGGATAACAAACCAAACCAAAACATTTTTTAAAGTTTTCATCCAATTTCAAAGACTGATAGCGAAAAACATACATTTTCGTCCCATTTTCAAAATTTATTGTTGACAAGTTATTTTTATTATTTTTACGTTTTTTTCCAGCTGACAGTGAAAATGGTTTGGGGAGCTTTGGCATCAGTTGGGATGAGTATGGTAATTGGGTTTTTGTGTTATTCACCATTTTCCTTGGGTAAATATTGGATGAGAGCCAACTATCCTGGACAGACATATTCACAAGTTAAAGAAGGCTTTAGTCCAGCTATAATGCCACTCGTTTTGTGCAGCAGTTCAATTCTGGTGGCAGTTCTTCATTACTTTGTTGGGTAAATATTCACTAATAAACTAAATATGACAGTACTTTTTGAGAATTACAGGGTCTGCAAATAATTTGATACAATATTAAATATTACACATTTCATAAATCAATTTTTGTTGTTGTTTTGATGACAGTTTTAAAGTATATTAGTTTACATGCTGAGATCAGGATGAAAAATGTTTCGAAATAAATATCTTATGCACATGAAAATTAGTGGATAATGTATTTTACTATTGTAAGGAATAAAAGCCAAAAACATAGGTAAAGACCCTTATGCTTGATTATACTTTGTTGTATTTCATACTACTAGGTTTAAAATTACTTTCACCATTGATACAGCTTCCTGTACAATATTCTCGTTTGGCAAACTTTCAAACATATTCCATGTAAAGAAAATCATAGTCAATGACTGAATCAATCGTCAAGATTAATGGGGCGAAAATTGTAATTTCCTTAGTATTTATTAACTGTATATATGGCTAGGTGTGGTGATTCCTTTTAGTAGTATTCTTGTGTTAATTAAAAAAAAAAAAACTTAATGCTGAGGTCAGTTTTCATGTGTAAGCTTCTTATATTTGATGTGCTGTTAATGTGTTTCAGACCCTACCTGGGAGTGACAAGTGTTCCTGCTGCCTTAAAGGTTGGGCTTGCTTTGTCTGTTGTGAACATGCTGGTGAATTTTCCACACCTGTTGTACAACAGAAGTTCCGTGGTAGCATACCTGATTGATCACTCCTACAATGCTGCTGTTGTTACAGCATCTTGTCTGTGTCTGGTGTACTTCAGTTAAGTGTCACAATGTGTACCTGGTGTACTTTAGTTAACATCATGATGTCTGCCTGGTGCACTGAGTTAACATCATGATGTCTGATGTACTTCAGCTATTTACCCACTATCATCATTTGTTCTTTTCATTTAGATTTTTTCTTCAGCATTTTATTTGTGTCTATTATGAAGCATTAATGTATATATAGCTGTGTAATAGTAAGGCTGTATCTATTTTTGATGGAAAATTCTATTGGCTGCACAATCTATGCTAAAGATTGTAATACATTGTAATATCAATAATAAGAAATTGATCTTTACAATTATCAGTATGTACTCTATATTGATAAAATTACAATCCAGTTTGGAAGTTTTCCTTTATTTAAGGTTTTGTTTAGAAACAAAAGAAATCAAAATCAAAGAAAAGTTCAAGAAAATGATTACAGTATATCACTTTATCATTGTAGTGACAGGTTTTTGTTGTTATTTCCTGAATTACTAACTGTTTATAATAATAATAATAATAACAAAATTGTCAGAATAGAAAAAAACTGTGTATGTGTAAACTCAGCTGTAGTTATTCCGTTCAGTGGCGATTTTTCCTTTTATGATGTTAGTGTTTATTTTCATGTTAATCGAACTTCAAAGTTTCAAATAGATGTTGTCTTATTGAGTTTTCAAAATAAAACTCTTATTCAGATTTTGAAAAAAATCAAATATATTCTTACCATAAGGTTAAGACTTTACATTGTTTTACTATTTTTAATTCACTAGCTGTTCAGTAAAAGACTTGTTTGCTTGTGGTGCTGTATTTGTTTATTAATTCTAGTTATCAATATTCTGTTGTCAGTTTTTATATCTACTAAAAGTGCCATTTTATAGTTTCATATTTTGATAAAAATTTATACTTTTGAACTGGTTTTATAAGCTATAATAACTGTGTATCAAACATTTAGTCAACACTAATAAACAAATGTATTCAAATGCTTGAGTTGTTATTTGTAAAAAGAAGGGCAATACCACTGTATATGGGAGAACACATTTGTCAAGGGTTATATAGTCAAATAACAGTTGTTAGTTGTACAACTTCATTTAATGATTTTTGCATAGTTTTGAATTGAATCCATCCTAAAATTTACGAATGCTTCAGTTTACCCTCATTAGCTAAAGATTCCACATGGACAGTAGTTTGTGATTTGTATTTGAACAAGACATCTTCAGAAAGCAGCAATATTTGAATACACATTTTTATTCCTATTATTTGTTTTTACTTTTGTGAAAATAACAAAATAAAAAAAACATTGGATATTGGAAATTTACTTTATACTGTCACACATATATTACATTTTCAGATATTAAAAAACAATGCACAATGAGTAGGGGGTGCATTGTAAATACATCAGACAATTCTTGAACCATCGTATGTCTCATAAAAATGCATACATTAATTTTTTTGTTTTATTAGGTTTATACATTTTACAAGTCTTTTTGATAGAAGATTAGCATAGTCATTAAAATGTCAATACAATAAGTTTATCTTGAATTCTTTAGTTAAAATACTTCATAAACATCACATGCCTGTTGCAAAATGTGTGCATTTACTACTGCATTTGATAGTGTCACCTAGAAATTGCATATAAATGTGTATAGTTACTTGTACATCTTTTCAGGAAAGTTCACTTGTATACTTCAAATCTATTACATCATTTACCTTACATATCAGTACATACCATCAGTCTTGCCCTGCTGATTTTTAGGTCACCTTAGACAAAGTCTCATGGTGACATTGCAATCACCTTTGTCCCACGTTGTGTGTCCATAAATAATTTTACACTTTTTACTTCTCAAAAAAATCCTCAATTGATTTCAATGGAATTTGGCAGAAACCTTCCCTGGCCTAAGAAGAACCAAAATAGTGAGTTATACAGTCCCCTACCCAAAAAGGAAGGGGTCAAAATGAGTCAAATTTGGAAAATCTTCTTCTCAACACACAGATATAATAGAATCAAATGCTCTTCATGTCTTGAGGTGCTTTACCAACATTGTGATTTCATGACCCAAGGGTCTCGCATTTCCCAATGGGGAGGGGGTAAAGTTTATCATAGCTTATATAGAAAAATAGATTTTTAAGCATGATTTGTTGTATTTCCATTAGGAATATTTAAAACTTGGTTAGAATTAGGAGCAAAGGATGACAGGTTTAGGGATGCCATGATTGATCCTAGCTGAAATGACGGCCAAAATGGGATCACATTGACTGAAGATTTCAAAAATCTTCTGAACACCCAGATAAGATAGATTCAAATGCTCTTCATGGATGAAAGTATCTTAAGGTGCTTGGATTATCGGAATGAGTCTCACATTTCCTGGGGAGGAGGTTAACTTTACTATAATTTTCATAGAAAAAATGCATTTTCGAGCAAAGCATTGTTTAATTCCCGTTGAAAACAACTTTGTAAGAAATATTAGTATATGATAACTGCTATACTCCTGTTAAGCAGACAAGGAAAGTGCATAAATAGCTAAATCAAATTCCGGATATTTGGTACATTTCTAAACTTACAATCTCCGCTTATCCGGATATTAGTTTTTTTGTCGTTTTGACAGTTTTGATTAGTGGGTGTCAAAGTGAATGGGAAAGCCCTAGTAGTGATGAAATGAAAGAGTATTCAATGTGCGATTTCTGTAACCGAAAAAAAACCCACAAGAAGGCAGTTGTAATGAATGCTTAATGTAACGATGATTTAGCTTATTATAGTAATCTTGCCTGTGGATAGCGTTCACGTCATAATTATGACGTCAATTTATTTCCGAATGCAGTATATTAACGTTAATTTCTTTTTTAGATATATTTTTTGGCCAAGCAGTTAGTATGACGAAAACTACTTAATCATATGTACATGTAATATGATTTCATCTTTACAAGCTATTAGCCAGGACCAGCTATTAGTCATGACCAATAGCCTAATGCGTGACGAAAAGATTAAACGACAGTGATTAGATAATCGGGCAGTGCACGTGATAATATGGTCAGACTTCCTTGTTCCTATGTGACAAACAAACTAGTTATTTGTGATCTACCTAGTGGAATTTCTGAAATCGCTCACAGATGAAAATAACTCAAGAATGTGGAAATCAGGAAACTCCTCGCTGAATCAGAAAGTTGGCAAGTATGCAAACATTGTTTAGTCAATGAAACTGAAGGTGCAAAATGAGGAGATTCCAACATTGGTTGACAACCCAATCAAGTGCTTAAGAAAGTGATCTGATCTACGAAATAACAGTAACAAGTGTTGAGGAATTGGAGAAATCAGTGAGCAGCTACATGGGAAGATGGCTAGGAGTCCAACCAGGATTTATTTCAATTGGATTGTATGGAAAGTCATGCCAACTACAATTATCAATTTCATCGGTCGTTGAGGAATTCAAAGTGGCCAAGTACCGGTTCGCCATGACGCTGAGGGACTTGTTATATTCTGGAGTCAATGAAGCAGGCATTCAGACAAGAACAGGAAGGAAATGGTCATAATCAAAGGATTGGTTAGAATATCGTTGATGGTCAGAGCAAGGGACTGGGAGCTGCATGTGGACCTTGATGGGAGACTTGTATTCCCATTTATTGTGGACACAACATACGCTCCAGCCCGACATGGTCCTCAAAAGCACTCATTGTGGCGGAGCTGATAGTGCCATAGGAAAAGGTATGGAGTGTAGTGCTGTTTCCCGTCGAGGTCGGCCCCCAGAGGTTTTCCAGCGCAGTCAGTGAGCAAGCTTTTGCAACAGCTGGGAATGTTGGGAAAGGCGAATTCGACATCCTTGTAGAAACTGGGTGAAGCAACAGAAAGAACATCATGCTGGATATGACACCGTCGGAATGACGTTTACTGGAAGCCGGGTTACGTCGAATAGTGGGTTGCCACCACTACTGACTCGCCAACTGGAGGATGAAATATCCGAGTAGAGTTGGCAACCGCCTGACGACGAAGGAAACTGGCAACAGATCACCGAGGGACAGAAGTAGCCAGGCATATTTAGAGGATGCCAAGAATATAAGCAGGATAAGATCGCCTGTAAGATAACATAGTACTTTGTTTAATAGTATATCTAATATATCTGAGGTCAATTAATTCCCACTTACAACAGAAAATAAAATATAAAAATGATACGTGAAGTACAAACCATGTATAAAAATGACAAAGAACACAACTGAAACAATTCTTGCGTATACTGATACATAAATAATGGAATGGAAATAAACATAATCAATTTGTTACTTAATAACTTTAATGGTTTTGACTGGTATCATGCATTTAATAATTAGGGGGAGTGAAAAAATGAAATTTAACGTAAACAAATATCAAAATACAAAAGGGAGCTAAACCCAAAATCAGTATGTACAATTTTGATATTTGATATATTAAAAGATATATCATATTTCATGCTTAACAAATAGTAATTGTCTGTGCATCACTGTTTCTTTGAGTGAATTAAATCTCTTGGTCAAACCCGAAAACGAAGGAGTGATTCTTTCACATGTAATGTCCTCGCGCGATTGACATATATATTATCCTGATGAGCGAATGTCGCAAAAATATATGGTTCGTGAGTATTTGTTGGTATCAGTATCAAGTATCAATGACACTATTATGAGAATTCAGACGTGGTATTGAACGTTACGGCAAATCTCGGGGACTAAAAAACGGTTAAGGGCAAAGTTTACCGACAACTCATTTCTAAGTATGTAAATAATGTTGACATTCCGGGTTACAAGACAAACCTAATGGAGTCTGGTTCAGTAGCAAAGGATATCTCTTTTCAAAGACACACAAGCGGTTAGCCCCATTTACTAGTAATAAACATTTAGAGTTAGAAAGAATGGAATCAAATGACTAATTAAATCACTGATAGTACATCATAGGGCCATATTCTATGTTGGACTCATCAGTTATTATGCTAGGGGCCTACATTATTGAATTCTTAACAAATGTTAAATATACGGTATGTACAGGCACCATTATTCAATAAACTTCATGACATGCAAAGTTTCGGCAATCTCCGGAAAGTTACGTCCACTAACATCTTTTGAAGTTGCATTAGCATTTTAGGAGGTATCAATATCACAGACGTAAAACATTTTGACAGTTGTAAAACATAATTCAGGACAAAAGTCGAGATTATGTTGGCATCAAATACACAAACGTACTTAACATTCTGTCGAAATTATCAGATATAGAGTAAATTACTAAATTTATTGAACTATGGGGCTAGTTCACCTCCCCATATGTTGACATTTCTTCGGTCACTTTGGACTTTTTGCAGTCGCCTCCTAGGCTTCAAATTTTAGACCCCTAGCACCACTGACCAGGCCTAGAAGGACGAAACATTGTTAAAGTGCAGTTTAACTCTCCTCTATTTGTATTGAGCACATATGTGTCTGTTGTATAATTTTCTACTATTTTGAGATGAAATATGTTATTGTATATAAATTTTGAGAATGAATAAAATATCCTTTAAAATCTTGAAATTTACATGAATTCTTCTACACGTCAGTAACGATCAAAATATTTTGACATATAACACTTACACGTATAAAGGCGTTTTTTAAACATTCATTCCATTTCAAACCACTGAAATTCAGAACCAGTGCTTGTCAAGATTGCAACAAAAGTTTTAGAAGACATAATTGTGAGTTCCGTGGTGAGCAGATATCAGACACCATACAAAAATGAAATATGTCTAATGATATTTCATTGTTTCCAATTACAAAGTATACTGAAGGTAAGTAACATCTACAACAATTGAATATACAAATCAGGACTGATTTTATCTACACATACGTATACTGAATCTAAGGCCACTCTGATCACTTTTAATAAGAATTTGATAAATACAAAAGAATCTTGTATAAATTGGATATCATCAGAAGACAGTAAGGATTCTTCCCAGTCCTAGAAGGATGAGTCGCTTGTATGGTGTGGTTTAATTCATTGTTTTAATTTACTGTATCATGATTTAAATTTGTATTTTTAAAAAGTGCTCTTCATTTGTTTATCTTTCGTAGAGTCGTAGAAAATGAAGAATGATTTTGATTCTCCCAGCTGCATCAGGAGACAATGACACCATGTCAAGTTACCTGATAAAGATGGAGCAAGCAACGATCTCGTCAAGCTTGCATGATGCTACTATACTGTAGGTTTATCTCCTCCCGAGAACTTGACTTAAGAAAATGGCTTAATATATACAGGTATAAAATTAAACAAACCGATAGTTATCTAAAAATAAACATTGAAGTTACGAATAAGGACAATTTGACTCGTGAAACCTGGGCTTAGATTACGTCACAAGGTATTGTTATCAGGTTGACCTATTACGGGTTCAATATCCTAGGACCCTATTGATCCTTGTCACGTGTGGGATTAAACTTATCTCGTTCAAGTAAATTGTAAGATGTAAACAACTCCAATTTTACATTGTATTGTAATACATGTACGGTTCTAAAAAGTTAAGAGACTCTGATATCTTAAATAACAATCCAACTTTAATAAAACCTCCTAGTTCACTTTCTTTTGTGGAACAACTGCAATGTGAAAGGAGACATCGGAGTTTAGCTTTTGATTGGACAAATACAAAGTATCTGAAGGATTGCACTGCCGGGATCGAATGACTATCTGAGGGAGAACTTGCAAATTTCCGCGAAATATATGAGAAATATCAACGTTACCCATGTTTTTTTCCAGCAAAAGAACAGTGCGAGCGACATGACATTTGCTCGCTAAGCTTGGTAACTCTACCGACAGTAATTACTATTAACATTTAAAAGTTGTTCAATACATAAATATGAAGTCGGTATTGCTTATCTTGTCGTTTACTTGAAATCAAGTATAAGGTTACTCCACTCTATGTTATTAGATCCTAATGTTTCATCATGGACATTTAATTAGTAAAATTGTTCATTTCATGCTTTAGTGCCCCTGAATGAATTAGTTTCTCTCCCCCATATTCCTCCTCTAGTATTTTTGTGAATACTTTCTTTTCAGAATATGTCAATCTGAATCTTTATGGAAAAAGTCCAAATTTTTATAATTCGACATTCTAGTTTATCTATGGATGTCCGTCGTCACGGTATGATCAGTTGCAGACAGGGCGATAACACGACTTTATTTGTGTAAGGACGTGAGCATGTAAAGAGATAAATTCTGTAGATACAAAGATAAAGGGTCAGGGTGCATAACAAACAAAACGTGATCCGTGATGAATGGATGAGGATTGGTCAACAGTCATTAGGATGATGCCAGATCATGTGTTTCATGGAACAGAAATTATTGGGATTATATGAGTGATTTTTTGTTATTTTTCCCGATAAATCATGATATTCAAAAGGACTAATGTGGGTGTAACTTGTTTACTAACGCTTAGTATATGTGCAAATGCGATTTAAATAGCTTTAAGTGTAAGCATCGACCATCTGGAGCTGATCACGTGAGTATCATTTTTATATTTCAGACGGCTACAAACTTAGATATTTCGAGAAACTATTCGTATTTCCACTGTGATATTGCAAGGAAGCGTTTTGAAAAACAAAATCATATTTGTGCAATTGATCTTATTTATGAAAAATGCAAAGGTATTCCGGATGACTAATGTCACATGAAACAAACATGTGATGCTTTTTTAAACACAAGAATATCATGTGCAACTATTTATAGATCAGTGCACTTATTATCAACCATATCGCAAAAATGCATGTCTACCATGTTCCTATATAATATATATTGAACAAAAATATCTATCATGCATAAGTGAAAATTCAATTAAAAACACACACAAATACAATTGTAGTGGTTTGAAACGCTAAATTAGTACATTGTGTTTTACCACAAGTATATAATTCACTATAGTAGTAAAAGTTGCATCGTTACATATTCTTTCTGTTCTGATATCACGGACTTGCTATACAAGCATGTATGTATAATAGTTATGTTTCTAATCGGAATATAACTAGAACCAGTGAGAAAAGGAGGATGAAAAGCCAAGCCATTTTCATTTCTTTTAACATCCCCATTTTAAGGCTAATTTGAAGTGAGGCTTGAAATGTTTAGAATTATATCTATTATATTTAAACTAAAAATTCAGGTGATTTAAATTTATAAGATATCAGCGCTTTTACCGCATTTATAAATACCACATAACCCTTTACTGTTTAAAATTTTGATACCTTTTCCTATCCCTAATATTCAAGCTGTTTTACGAATGTGTAAACGACTAAAATTGACAAGCACTCTAGTAGCTACAAAGGATTCTTTCATTTTGGTTTGGTGGTTGTATGGCCACGGCTGCAGACAAATATGGTTTTATATTCTATATTTTTTGCACCAAAAATTGTTTGAGAATATTATCCAATATTTGTTTCGCATAAATTTGCTGAAAGTGCTCCCATCATCCATTTTTATTATTGTAATGTTATTAACATAATCGATACACTACTAGTCAACATACTGATGTAATAAAGGTACATTTATATTATTAAGAGAAATTAAAACTTTTTTCGGTGGTGGATCTCTCTCTTTTTCGCTCTCTTTAAGGTTTTAAATCATTTCTGACCTGCAGTTCGCCATGGACACTGAAAGGGAACATCTGCTCAAGAAACCTCATGAACCGACTGAAAGTGAAAAAATTGAAAACAAACATCAAAATGGAAACGCGAAATCTAAAACCTTTGACCCTGTAAATTTTGCGGAGGCTAGTATAGAGACAACAGTTGATCCAACTGAAGATTCCGAGAGTGATTTTGCATTCTTTCAAGCGCCAAGGTCAAAGAAAATTTTATTGCTTTCATTGGGAATGGTGAACTTTTGTGCTATGGCATGCTTTTCTCTTCTTTCTCCATTTTACCCAAAAGAGGTAAGCCTTTGTTCAGTTAAACGTTGTTTAACGTCATTGGTAGCAAAGAATACACTTTTCGAGAGTATTAATTCTTCTTTGGTTAAAAGAAAATGTTAGGTAATATAATCCGAGTTCGTATCAGAATTTTATTAGAAAAGTGGTATTAATGATATTCTGTCGCGTGGAATTATCTAACCTCGCTGCTAGTTCTGATTTTACCAAATACCAGTGAACATATTTTCTAGTGCCCTGAAATTTAACTTTACATACATTTCATTGAATATATACTGTTGACCTGTCACAATATCCAGACTATTGTATGTTTGACAAAATATTCTCCAGCACTTTACAACTTCAGTTTGTTAGATTATTCAAAAGACTGTTTATGAATGCCTTATTCTGAAAACTACATCTTGGCAAATCCTCGTGCTTAATTTTAAAACCGGGTAAAGTTTCTTTACTTGAATCACACACGGATATACAATTTTAATGACGTTCTTATTTATCTTGTCCGTCTTTTCGGACAGACGTATTTGTTTTATTTTAAGATATTAATGTCTGTTGAACAGATATCATAAACCACATACAAATGAATATAAGCCTCGTTTCATCATTTCCAGGCCGAAGACAAAGATGTAACGCAGACTGTGATTGGTTTAGTCTTCGGATCCTTTGAGTTTACAATATTTCTAACAGCACCAATCTATGGAAATTTCGTATGTATTAAAAGCAAGATCTGTAATCACATGCTTTTTATTTATTTATTTGCTATATCCCCAATTTTAACTTACGAAAATCAGATTCATAATTACCTTAATTGAATGAAAAGAAGTCCATCATTATGCTTTCCTTCAAAGGGTATACCGTATAGCCGGTTATTTTCGCGAGGGTGATGTTTTCGGTATTTCGCGATACATTAACGTAACCGCGAAAATTTATTCCGTGAAGTAATGGTTCACATGTGTTTATTTGATTAAATTTAATTAGACATACACATCGCGAAATTTTGATTCGTTAAAATAGAGTTCATTCGTTTAACAAGGAAACAAAGTTTCAAGCATAAAAATTACTGACTTTACAGTAATAATTTCATGATGGTTGACAATTTTGAAGTGTGAACATGTCTTTCATTATAATTTGTATGCAGCGGTGTCGCCATGACCTTTTATTGCTATTTTCCTTTGATATAGAATAATTGTCAACGTTTCACAAATATCTGCTGGATAATTAAACAGTATGATTCTACATATGTCATCATTACCGCATCATTGTAGATAACGAAGATTGGCTCCAAGTTCATGTTTGTTTCCGGTATTTTTGTGTGTGGCGTGTGTACCATTCTATTCGGGTTAGTACTGGAGTCAGTTTAAAATGAAATGTTATACCAGCAGGTAAATATGAATTGACAATAATTAACATTGAGGACGTAAATTGCGATTATCAGTGATTAAGTTATTCGTTTTTTGTCATGGTTGTATATGTATACTGTATACATGCTATTTTTTTTTATACATATTCGCTGGTGAAATTTAGGAAATTATCAATTAAACAGAAGATAATGATATTTATCGTTCACGTGATTACATCACCAGTGATGATATAACTTTTGTAACCTTGACCAATCAGTACTTCCTAGTCATTGTATTGAATATTCAACGAGTATATATCTTGTTCGGAAGCGAAAGAAGTGAGAATTCCATCTTTGCCCCGTGTACATTTAGTATGCTCATTTACTTGGTATTTTGCGCAAGTTTTGAATACGATTCTAACCAGATAAACACATGAAATAGTAGAATATCAAGTAGGAAAACCTATTTAAAATGGTGTTATTTTGCATGACTCGTATGAACCGCATTTTTCCACTAGTGCGAAACATAGGAAATTCTGTCATACTCGTGAAATATATAATGTTGTTAAAAGGAAAACCATTAAATACCCTCTATACGCTGAATACTTGAGACCTTAGGGAACTTGCCGGGGAAAATTAATAAAATTAATCAGATTCATGAATGATTGAGCAATCATCGTTTTAACTGCTAGTTCGCTTGCCCAAAGAAATAATAAATCTCTACCCCAATTCGTGCATTTTTCTAGCCATTTTGAATCTGATCTTATATTATGTATGTCATTCTATGAAATACATAAGGAAGGGGAGGTAACTGTAATTCTACTTTCACTTTCTGATCTTATGCTGCTTTTTAAGTTGCTGATTATTTGGTGATTTAAGATTTCTGGATGCTGTGCCTGACGAAACCACCTTCGTAGTACTTTGTTTCCTGACTCGTAGTATAGAGGCCCTTGGAGCGTCCGCCTACATTACAGCTAGCTTCGCAATTATATCTCATGCCTATCCAAAACATGTATCCACTGTCATAGTAAGTTTAACCTGTTACGTCATCACAGTATAATAACAAATCACGTGACAAAAAGGTTCATATTAAAAATTCGTTTCCACCTCGTTTGCTACATTGTATATCTAGAGATTTTTAGGAAAGATACATTTCGTACCAAATCTAATATTGTTCATCTGCTTCAAAAAGTATTTGATATAGAGAGGTTTAATTAATCCATTTCCACTTCATCTCATATTCATAATGTTTGTATTTCTGAACTCAATTTCTGCAGGGAATTTTAGAGACATTCAGTGGAGTAGGTATGATGGTGGGTCCAGCAATTGGCAGTGCTTTATACGTGGTGTGTATTATATTTCATTTTTTTTCGTACTTGAAGACATTTGTTAAACTCACTGACTAAAACTTGAAAATCAAACAATTCGGGATAAATAGATATGTTTCTATCCATTACAATCTTACTTTCCCATACTGTTCTAATCGTTTTCTTGTTCTTTGTATTTGTGCCGTAGTTTGGCGGTTTCGGTATGCCGTTTTTTATTCTGGGAGGAGTTTTGATATTCTGTGGAATGCTTTGTCCTCTTGTTATGCCAATAATTGAAGGTAAGAAGGTGCAAGCTGCTAGATTATGACTTATTTTTTGTCAATATTATGTTCCTAGTAACAAAAAAAATGAAATCCTTGTGTTCGTTTATATTTTATCACACTCAGGACTGTTTACCACACTATTTGGGATAATTCGTGCTATAACAGGTCATATTACTGTTGATAATAACGATAATATAATGTTATAATTATTACGTTATAAGTAAATATACCAAGCACATAAAATGAAAGACAATAGTGGCGTTCTACCCAACACCTACTAACGAACGTTTCATAGAGCAACACAATCTGACAATAGTGACATATAGTCACACAAGGGTAAATAATTGCCCTTTACAAGATATGAATTTCATTTTGCATCGATTGTGAAATAAGATATTTTAACTTCTACGAATCACTGTTGTAAGCCCCCCACCAACACACACACAGACACACACACATACATACACCCACCCACCCTCTCACACATACACACACCCACCCACCCTCTCACACATACACACACACCCTCATATACACAAACACACACTTCATGTATATGAGTTCGGCATAGTACTCGAAGAATGTAGTTCATTGTGTTTTACATTTTTTTTCAGACAAGAAGCAAACGTTATCGAAGTCAATATTTTACCTGCTCAGGAGCCCACTGTGTGTTATTATCTGTTTTGTCACTGTCTGTGGTACGTTTGGAATAGGATTCCTGGAACCAGTGTTAGCTGAGCGACTGAATGAGGTCAGTCCAAACATTGATAATTTTGTATGATAAATGTTATATTGAAATAAATTTTATATGATCACCAGGACTTAATGTAAACTCAAGGGAAACAGTGTATCTAGTGCGATATCGGTTGACAAGAAATAAAAATAACACCAGCATTTGATAAATCAAACAAGGATTTTTACTTGGAAATGTAAATCATCATCCAATAGCACAGATATTTTGTCCTTACCTATTTCCCGTGATCTCAAGAACAACTTTTCGCATATGCTATCAGATTTCACTAACCCAGTGTTGACACTGTACATATACATTCTAATATCTGCAATGCAATATACACGTTATATTCCGGCTGAAAACATCAGTAAATATCATTAATATGTTTCAGGAATCTATCACAAAAATAACTTAAAATTTGATGATCTTCTAAGAATCGGTTTGATATTAAATAAGTTTACGATTAAATGCTATTAAATACTCAGTAAAATAGATAAGCTGTAAAACATCCTGTTTAGACGATTACAATGAATTCTTTAAACTACATAATATATATTTGTTACGTTTCTTTGGGGGAAAGACAGGGCTGCATTTCGGTACAGTAAGTGTTGTCTTAATTTGTAGCTGAATCTGTCTACAATACTGATAGGGATCATGTTCCTCATCAATTCCGCCACTTACGCCCTCGGGGCTCCGGTTTGGGGCTGGATTGGAGACACGAAGGTCAGTTACATTTTAATATTGAATAAAATCAACGAAAATCTTGACATTTGTTTTCGAAACTTATTTGAATAAGTATCAATGTTAAAGAAGTTCAAGATATGAAAAATACTAATGTTTCAATGGAGATCAAACAGAGTGAAATGGAAATTGCCATCTATTCTCTTCCAAGAGGCAGTAGCAAATGATCCCTGACATGTCGAGATAACCTCCTGTAAATTATAAATTATCCCACGAGTTTTTATCTACTAGACTAGGATTCTATTTTTTAAACAATCAACAACAAACTAATTACCATTGAATTCAGATATACAAGACAGCTGTTTTGTAGGTTGAGTACATATCTACCTATAAGTAACGTTCTCAATTGTATTCGCCCACAAAAGCGTTCCATTATGACCAATGATCAGCAAATGAAACAAAGCAGATAAAGTATATTAAATTTCATTTGGTTACTTACAGGGAGTAATAAAAGGTCTGTTAATATTTGGGAACATATCGACTGGTTTTGGATACATGTTGCTGGGGCCTGCGCCATTCATGACATTCTACCCATTGTAAGTGGTGATGAATATGTACATAATAGTACTGTATCATAAGATGACAAGTTGTATTCCTCACATCAAACCATGCCTCGCACTTTAATTGCAATTTAACTTTTAAGATACATACATAAATGGATGATATTTGTCTTTTGAAAATGAAATGCTGTTAGAAGTTAAATTTACGTATTGTCTTTCACCAAGACGATCGGAGTTTGATCGTCTGAAATATATGAAACGATGCAACGATAAATTTCACTTGTTAATTTCAGTTTTTTCCAACATAGCTACTGTAAATAATTTAAACATTCAAGAGTTGCTTGTGTGTTGCAGTGAGGTGTGGGCTCAGGTACTGGCCCTCGTGCTCTTGGGTGTTCTGTGTGGAGCGGCTATTATCCCCACTTACAATGCTTTGTTTGAGGGAGCTGTTAAGTAAGTCATACACATATTTATGTCCTAAAATCAAAATATACGAAAAAGCGTCAGTTGTTAATTATAAAGACTGATAAAATAGCAAACACAAACTCCGCTGAACTATAAAGACATCAATGTTGCGGACTGTCACAATTTTTTTCTCAAAAACTTGACAAGGCAATTGTCAGAGTTAACCCAATGACTTTATGATTGATTTTGTTTTTCAAAAGCATGCGGAAATTGTGTTCACGTATTACAAAGAAATGTAGAACAGCCAGTCTGAAATTCGACGTAATATTAAACCATTTTTTTTTCAAAATAGTCAAGAAAGCAATTATCTTATTGTCTTGCGACCTAACTATTACAATATGTTGCCGCCTTTCAGACAACTTGGAATGGAGGATGATTTTGAAACTCATGGATTAATATCAGGTCTCTATAATTCATGCTGGTCTCTGGGGTAAGTTAAAAATTGTATTTCTTCAATGATAAAACTCAAGCTTTATCGCTCATATGTGAACACGTCGCCAGAACACTGACGTTCGTCAGTGAGACGATACCCGAACACGAGTCAAGGAAACGAAAACCTGTTAAACAACCAAACAAATTCAAATGTGAAAATGGAAAAAGCATTGTGTATATGATGTATAGTATTCTGTCCGGCAACGAAACCAATTGCATGTATATACCACTCGGGCTCGAAACTGATTTTGCAACTGATAAAAAATGTATTTATATTTCATTTGATGAAACATATCTTTCTTCCGTTTTGATATTTCTAGAGCTTTTATCGGTCCGATGACAGCCGGTGCGTTGGTACAGGAGTTCGAGTTCCCTTGGTCTTGCACAGCATGCGGAGGGCTGTTTATATTTGCCGTGAGTAAAATTAGATCTGTATCATTTTTATTCACCACTGGATCCTTCAGCAACCCAATGCTGTCTGCGGCATATACGAGAGTACCTATAGTCTTTTATATTGATTTTGTTTGTAGTGTTGGTTCCTTGATGATTAGCAGTGTGATTTGTGCTGTTTCTCCCAACTAATAGTCTGTTCGATTTGATTTGTCTTCCCACGCCCACGTTCATGCTATCTTACTTGGTATCTCATCGGTTTATAGTTACATTTGCGATGCCACTCACCATATGAAGCACACCAGGAAAAATACGACTTTCATTAAGGCTGTGAAAGCTGAAGTATAATATGTGCGTAGCGATTCGGACTCCCTTTTTTAGCGGAATCCCCCTACTGACACGTCCTCGCATCACCGAGAAATAACGTCAAAATAATGCACGACAAATTTATTTTTCAAATTAAATTTTTTTTAAAAAGTACATGAAGTTTAAAAAAACTTCCTGCGTTTATTGCGTAAACAACGAAATATCATCACTTCTGTCATTAAACATAGATCATTAGGGATATCGCACTATTGGGATCCCTCAATTGTGTATGTATAGTCAAGGATAGATTCGGTGAGGTTGAAATAAGTTGAAATGATGATATACTGTGTGACAATTTACAATAGTTGGACTGGAGTTCTAACAAGTAACGTGTTCCATGGATGTAGCTTTCACTTCAGATCGTTGTTGTTAGACACACATCCGAACCAGTTCCAGCCTGCTGGCGGAGCCACAACGTGAAACTGAGCAATGAAAAAGATATTGACGATCGGGGTTTAATCTAACGGTGTATATGTTTATCTTTAATGGTTCTCCGACAATGAGAAAGTACAAAATATTCAAAAGAAATACTGCAAAAATGTGCATATTTTTTTCAAAAAGGACTATATATCTTGTTATGGTGTGCTGTGCTGACATCCACGACTGACCTCGAGCTTTGAAAGCTGTTCTTTCTGTGCTGATTTTTCTCTATATCAGATTTTTTGCTCAAAAACATCATTTATTGAAATAATAAAAAAAAACCCAATAAGGTGAAAAGTAGAAATATATAGATTAAAAGTCACTTTTTAAAACTTCCATGGCGTTAGGAAATGCCAGTTGCTACATCCTCATTTAGCATCAAGCCCTAAATGCTAAACTAGAACCATGAAAGTTTTAAAAATTACTTTCAATCCATATAAGTTTACTGTTGTATAGCCACAAGGATTTCTCTTGCCGCTTCAATTCGTTCTCCGTCATATATCTTTTCGCGATATTGATAACAACGTGGTTCGGTTGTCCTTTAACAATGTTCCTGTTGTGTTGTCCTTTGTTCTCGTTGTTGTTCAAACAACGAGTAAAATAGAACATGTTCCAGAAATAAAAGTTCACAACAACTCCATTGCATGAAAAGAACGATGGCGGCATGGTAAATGACATAATATCTACATGTTAAGGTCTTGTCATCCGAATGACCGCCGAGTTGTACCAGCTATGGCATAAGTTACGCGGGGGGTTTTGTCCTTGAAACGTTTGGGGTTTTTTTTTCTTTGAAAATTATATCTTTTTCTTTGTTTTATTACATTACATATATATTTATTTACCTGAATGTACAGCTAATCAATTTTACTTAATGATGAATACATTTTTTTATCATTGCTACCATGTTTTACTTTTAGGGTCTTGTGGTGTTAGTATACGTTATCTTAGAGAGATACACGCTCCTTTGTCCCAACAAACCACCAAAGGCTGGATATGAAAAGATGATAGACGAAACCCTTTGTGAGAGTGAACAAGTTTAAAATTTCACCAATGAGGTGTTAACACAGTCACGACAACCCAGGAAGACGAATGAGGACCCATTTCAATCTTTCGGAACATCGATTGACAAAGACCTCAGCCTATTGCCGTTAGATACATATTTTCTCTTTAATGATTCTTTGTTTCGTTTGGGGAGACACACATCTCATTCAGTAATTTGGACTTGTCAGCCAAATGCCACAATTGTTTTTTGATGGAGCATGCGTCGGTTCCGAGATGTTCTGAATCATTATGACCAAATGCAATTTAGCAGAGACAATCAGAATATGCTCTTTATCATAACATTATTTGAACCAACAGGATAACCATTTCGCACACCTACCACAGTGCTGGACAGAGCTCATTACTAATTATTACAAGAGGTAATGCTAGATATACATCATCTTTACTTCCTTGAACAAAATATCAGAGATTTCATATCCATGCATAATACTCACGGTTGTCTTACTCTGTAACATGAGATATTCGTTGTGTGGAGCCTTGCGATTTTCCTCGGCTTAAGGCAAACAACAAAAAATAAAACGCAAAAATAAGACAATGCGAGAATCACAGGTATGTGTATTGTTGTGTGATATCTACGAAAATTTGTGAAAATATGTCAATATGTTAAGTACCTATGAACAATTTTATGTTACACATAGTACGATGATGCTTTATGATAAAAATAATGTATTAATAAGTTATTAATTGTTTTAACAACTCCATATCAAAATCAGCTAAAATCTCGACAATTAGAACACGTGAAGAGAGATCACTGGTTCTGGCTCCATGTAATTTTTTCATCATGATTTTTGGTAAAAAAAAATTCCAATGTCATCCCAATTAGCAAGAAGCAAGACTGCTAAATTTATGCTGACATTAATGTGAAATTGAAAAGGAAACTTATCAAAGAATTTTGTAACATGAATAGCGTTCTACCAAGCATCGCGAGTAATTCCAAATCAACAGTGTCTTTTTATACAAATACGATAGACTTGTACAATGATATTAATTCTTACACATAGACCAGTCTTAATCATTAGATTGGTCTTCCAAATCTATTATACTTGCTACAACTCTGTCAGTCGAGTTGGATCCCCACACGTTGTCCAATCCTTGGGAATCTCAGTTTATAATGTACAACTTTAAGAAAGCATTCTTTAATTTGAAAGGACTGTTTTACGAAAAAACGTGATAGAAACTTGCTGCTGGTTAATTCTGGTATAGTCTAAACCTAGATCGTGTAGAACGACCCAGTCGGATATTGGTTTATTGTCAAACGTTTTCAATTATTCCAGATGAGTTGTTGGACGATATTAAAAATAGACTGGATTTAACTACACGACATCCTCGACTTATTTCACAAAATTATATACAGTTGAATATTAATGAAACGTTAATTCATACAAGTAAATATTAAATAATAAAAACCGCATTGTTTAACTGCTTAACATACGATTTAACCAAGTTGATCTGAATGATTTTCACTTCCAGCCCTAGCAACGATCACTAGCAAAAAATTATTGATATTTAAACTGGTATAAAATGAATATCATGCTTATATATCTGTGATGTTAAATAAAAATGTGCAATACTTTCTACCTCTGCGTTTTTGTTACTGTTGCTTACAAATACTTACCGCGCCTTCCTTACAAGAATTGTGAATAACACCTATCAAATTAAATTTAAGATTATATATACTGATTAGCAAAATAAAACCTCAACAACCGTGAAATTATGTATTTTCGTGGTGTTCAAATTTCGGGATTTTCCATATATATATATTATATTTTCATTGACAGTTAATTTCGAGACTAAAGGTAGCTCACATAATCCACATAGTAATGTAATCTTTTGATTGAGATTAAATTCGCAAACTTTATTTTAAGAACACAACGATTTTTCAAATTAATATGACTCATTATGTCACGACAACACCAGGTAAAACTAGGTACATACCAGGTAAGTTACATTACATCATTACTAGATTTTAAATCTCTTTCAATTAGCACCAATCGATGACTTGTGTTGTAAGTTTAATTGCCAGCTTTCGAGACTCTTTCACGGAAATCGTGATATTTGGAACAATTCATTGAATTTCTAATCCATATGTCCGTATGTGTTTTTGATTTGCATTTCTGTATGATGTTTAAGATGGGCATTGTCAAAACATTTGTTGTAATCTAAAAAAACATTAAGGACTTAACAAGGTAATTATCAAATGTTTTAATAAATGTATAAAAGTAGTAACATATCAGCCAAGAGAGGGACAAAGCTAAGTTAGTTAGTATGCTAATGAACTGTTCGGTAATCTTACCCTTAAAGTGAATGACAACCAGCAGTAGATTAGAGTGTGATGTTTCGATGACTACACAGTCATCTTCATCCTAGCACTGACGTACCTAGTAATCCTTTTTACACTAAGGAAACAAAAAGGTGTGTCGAGACACCAGATGGTAACATTGTACTATAGTCAATTCGGATACGCTTTGTTAAACACTTGGTCATAGATGTGCGAGAGTGTGTGCCCCCATCATTGTCAATGATATGATTTTGCTGTGTGGAATGGTCTGTAAGTGGAGACTTATTGATCTAGGACTTTTTTTCGCTCTGATCTAGTGATTTTTTGCCTTATTGGGATTCCGCGTCTTTTGGATGTTCATCGAGTCTGACCCCGGATCTCCGGTCTGTTTCTCTGATATATGATGCGTCGCAGTTCTTACATCCGATTTTGTACAATGCATTCTACGATGTTTTCTTTGTGAGGTTTCATGGCAATGCAATGCCATGACCACGGTTAATCCTCTGAATGGTTTCTAACAGGTTTGATGTCAGGGATGACAACTTGTCCTTTCGTTTTGTTCTTTTCCTTTGTGTTTCGTTTCTTAGTCTTTTTGCTAACATCAAATTCCTCTTTTTAACTTTCTGGATTGCTAATCTGGGTACCTTAGTCTTTTTGCTGACGTCAAATTCCTTTTTAACTTTCTGGATTGCTTATCTGGGTACCTTAGTCTTTTTGCTGACGTCAAATTCCTTTTTAACTTTCTGGATTGCTAATCTGGGTACCTTAGTCTTTTTGCTGACGTCAAATTCCTTTTTAACTTTCTGGATTGCTAATCCGGGTACCCACATGGCGCTACGAATGTGATTTTGTTCCTGTCTCTTGTTTTGTTACTCTGTGACAATCGTTTCACATCAGTTGGGCAAGGTTTGTACAACATCCAACTTCTGGTGTAATGGGTGGTGAGATCGGAAGTTGAGGTATTGTTCTGTGTGCATTTTTCCCTATAGACAAATACTTTGATAGTACCGTCATCTTTCTTTACCAGTAGGGTATCAAGGAATGGCATAGCACCATTAATTTCTCCCTCACAGGTGAATTTGATGCTGTTGTTGGCATCTATGGTATTGATATACTCAGTCAAATCTTTCTGTGACTCTTTTACTATCTCTGATTTTGTCTGATGAAAGTAACCGTGTAGTCATCGAAACGTCACACTCTAATCTTCTACTGGTTGTGTTATAAGACGAAAGCGATCGTGTAGTCGTCGAAACGTCACACTCTAATCTTCTTCTGGTTGTGTTATAAGGTGAAGGTAACCGTGTAGTCATTGAAATGTCACACTCTAATCTTCTACTGGTTGTGTTATAAGATGAAAGTAACCGTGTAGTCGTCGAAACGTCACACTCAAATCTTCTACTTCTATTCTATTGGCATTACCAACCTGAAAAAAACATGATCCACAATATCCTAGCTAAGTAAGGACAAGTTGTCAAAGATGTGTGTAAACATTTCATAACAATCTGAATTAGCTTTCTCAACAGTCAAGTGATGTGCCAACAAAAACAATGGCGGATGCTGTGTGAAACTGGCTACTCTGGAATAAAGTTCTGGTCCGGTGGTTTTGATTGGCTGACCAACTTCTGGCTCTGTGGTTTTGATTGGTTGACCAACTTCTGGTTCTGTGTTCTATTGGGTAATCAAACCACGACTTGAGAGTGAAATCAAGCGCTACAAACGCTAGTTATCGTCATTGTTCTGGGTGGTATAACAACTGTTGTTATTCCAATCTCAACACTATCACTCTGACAGCGCTGATGATGGCAGCTCAATGTTCTGGCATAACCTCCTACCAAATCGTATCTGTGCCCCATTGAAGATGTCTGCGATGCTGATTTGATAGATACCAAAGTGAAAATTGGCTCTTTAAAGTAAGAATTACTGTCAAATGTAAACGCTAATACGGATAGTGAATCGTTGGAGGGTATGCATAATTTCAGATGATAATCAATACACAGAATACAAATGTTGGTGGATGACAATATCTACAATATTTACTAATTTCAATTCTATTCCCTTTTATCAAGTACTGGAAATAGAGAATCGATATCAGCAGATGGAGTATTGACAACGTGAAATATAGCCAGCAATGACAGGGACGTTTATTACATGAAATTCAAGACAGTTTTAGGACCTCATCTGTTATCCTACCACACCATCATTTTGTGTAATAAAATGAATAACTTATGAAAGTAGCGATTTGTCAGAAATGTTCAACATTTGCTTACAATCACAAGCTCGGCCCCGGCTCAATAAGTGCCACCAGGAGAGACAACTGTTTATTATTATGCATTGGTGTATCATTGAGATATCCTCTTTTCTTTTTATAGTTACTACGCAAAAAGGGAAAAAAGACCTCGTTTAGAAATATTTACTTGTGTTATATGATAATGTCTGACGATGACATCATTTACAAAAAAAATGTCAACATAATCATAATCCAAGCACAAATTCAATAAAACTTGGGCAAAATATGAACAAAAGAAATAATTAAACAATCTTCTGAAAAACACAAGGAGAATAAGACCAGGTGTTCCTGAAGAGTGAGCGCCTTCTGCTTTGTCTGGGACACTTGCCATTTAAACCTTGGTCAATCCAAGAAAGTAATGTCATGATCACGAAGATCAGCTACACATTCTGTTAAGTTAATTTGATATACTACCATAGAAGACAGCCCTTCTACAGGTACGATAGAGACCATGATAAAAACACAAACAGCTGTACCCATCATCGCCATGGTGCTTGGTGGTTTAGGAACAGCATTCGTTCCAATCTCAATGGCAGCTATCAGTCTGACGTCGGAGACAATGTAAAGTCAATGTATTGGCAAAACACCTATCAAATCATCTCCGTGACCCGTTTCAGATGGCAAACATGAAGCATCAATAGAGTGTGAATATTTTCAGTTTTTTTTATTTATACTGGTATGCATGTTTTATCCTTTTAATGTGACAACATACAATGGTATAATTATTGATAGAAATAGGTATACCGTGTCATAATGGTATGTACTAGTTCTTTTTCTAATATTGCAAACAGTAGATTATAGAAACAAAAATGATGTGAGTAAACATTTTAAGAAAAAAACAGAGAACCAGCAACATGCATCAGCTTACCAAAGACTGAAACACAGTATGATACTGAATTGTTCTCAGAAATTAGAATGTTGCACAGTGATGACGTGTTGAAGTGATACTGAAAGGATGTGAGTGGTGGTGTGAGGTTAGTCAAAGACTGTCATCTGCTTCATGTGCCCAAACTCATTGTAACATCTCGAGAGATTTCTGTGTATATGTATTGAATGTTATGCAGGTAAATATGTTTTTTCTGGCTATAAATATCACATGTGAATGTTGATTTCAACAAGAATGATATCTGCTTTGTGTGTTTTATTATGTATGTTGCATGATAAATCATATGTGGCACTTTGACAGTAAACCTCATAGAATTTTGAATCAAATGACATAAATTTACATCAGAATGATTTTTTAAGTCAGCTACACAATCGGATCTCTTAATTTACTTCCCACCTCAACGTCACACATATGGCCATACTTTCACCGTAGTTGCCACGGTGACTTTCCATAAATATTATTGATTGCTTTATGTTTCATTTTAATTGGGACATATTGTGGAATAAATTCTTACTAAATACAGGAAATGTTAGAAATGAAGACAGTTGGTTTGTGTTGTATACAAATTGTGTAGAATGACTTTCAGGGTGGATTTAAGTAGCCCCACTATTTGACAAATCAATATTAGTGGGGTTACATCACCTCTTCAGTGATATTTCAGTACGTTAGTTGTACTTCATGAAAACTGTTGAATATTATATAATAATAAAAATCCTGGCAGACCACGTAAGAAGTGACTTTCACACAGGAATGTTTCCATTAAAGGAAACCAAATTGTATTTCTGTCATCATTGTTAAAGACACTTCAAACTTTCTTTTTCTTTTCAGTATTAATAAGAGTCTGTCAGTATGGATCTTCACATTCTTTTACATGAACATTTCTCTTTACATTCTTTTTCCCTATTTGGCCCTGCTCTCTGATCCAAGGGGCCCAGAGACCAGCTGTCTATACCAACTGGTTTCCTTCACCTAAGCATGTTTCAGACTTAATGTGGACAATATTCTGTAATTCCTAAAGGACAAGATAGACTTCCTCTTCCTCCAAGGATGCTTCACACCAAATTTGATTAAAATCTTGTTCATGGCTAGTTGCAATTTATAGGAAAAGTTGACAGGTGATATATGGACAAAATACACTGTTGTATCCCTTCAGCTCACCTGGCTCTTCAGGCCTGGTGAGCTAATAAATGAAATCAAAATGAGAATTGAAGGATGCCTGACAAACAAAGGATACCATGGCAAGACAAAGGCTCACATGACCTTCCAGCTGTTGAACTACTCCTAATGATTTCAGTCAATGTTTTGTCTAATCAATTTTATCTTTGTATCTCTCTTAACACAAATCTACTGTTCATAAATAACTACACTTGAATTCTTATGGATACTCCCTGTGGTTTTATTGTGATGCACTTTCAGTATAATGAACTCAGCTTAAATATATTGGATCTCTTTTAGTTTCGTGATCAGTCATTTTTTAATGGAGAAAATGTCAGCATTTTTTATGTGTACACATTAGCAACATAACATACGTAAACATCTGGGTCAATGATCGATCACAGATCTGTTTCTGAGACCTTTACTCTTCATTCCAATCAACGCAAGGCATTGCATTTTCAGTAATAAAAGAAATATATTGCACTAGACAAATTTTAGGGCTCATAAAGGTTACAAACTGCAGGTCAAGTCTTGGCTGATGCTGAATCCAACACGTGGAGCTTCCAACTGACTTCCTTATGTAAAGGAGGTGGTATCCGGATAATAGGATCTGTAAACATTAACATTATAGAGCGTGAGATGACTATAAAATGTTTGTGAGATTTGTTTTTCTATTAGATTTTCGTTGATTTTGTGGGCAATCTAATTCATGGTTTCTACAACAAAATTATAAACAGATAAAAACTGACCAGAATGTTTAGTGTTATCACAATTCTCATGTACTTTTCATTAATAAAATGTAGGTAAAAAAAACCTTAAAATTATGGAATTTGATGCCCATGAAAATATGATTTTCAGTTCATGTGGATGACACCAGGAATTTCAGTCATTCAAAACTTTAAGATCAAATCACATTCTTTATTCCATGATATATATGATGATATCAATAATATCCATTAACAATTCAAATTTTGCAATAATTTTTTTTTCCTGTAAGTCAAAGCAAGGACAATAAAAAAAACTATGATAAAATCTAATAATGTATATTTCATAACAGTAAATCTTTGATGGAGAAATAATGTATGAAAATAGCCACCATAAAAAATTATGTTTTTGTTTTTTAAACAACATCATTGTGAAGTATTAAAAAAAAACAAAAAAATCAGATTCATTCACATTTAATCACCATTTACCATCAAATCTATCGAAGTTCTAAAATAAGGTTTCCATCCAGTATTTACCTAGTTTTTCCTGGGAATTTGTCAAAGAGCGCCCTTGTTGAACAGCCTGTGCAATACTATTAGCTGTTGTTCATTAAAACAGTACTGTAAAAGGCAGGTGCTAAGCATCTGTCAAGGTCAAGGAAAAAGTTGTGATATTCACAAGAAACACACAGCCAACATGAAAGCAAACAAACAGACAAACAGACAACACAAAAACAACATGCCCCCAATCTTTCCATCCTAGAGTATAAAAATTCTAACACTATAAATCTTATCTAGCACTAACTAGTTATGCTGGTTAACAAAGTTGAATCATCTAACTTTGGATTCTGTCTAAACTGCATAATGTAATGCTAGATCTTGTGGTTAGGTCATCCTACACCACGAAAAGATTTACAGAGACTTGCCCCATCATATAATCATATTGTATAAAAATTTTGCATTAAAACTGACTGAAACTAGACTGCTGTAACAAGGACTACCTGGGATAGGTTTGGTGGGGAGTCGGAAGCTTGATACAAGCCTCTGCCTGTCTATGACTACTTCAGACTTACCGGCTGAGATTCCTGCATATCCTCGCCTTCCTGCCAGATTTCTGGGATTCCACGCTCCATCTGGGCAAGGAGACGATCATACACCTGCTGTAGGTCAGTCGCCTGTTTGTCGTGATGAAACTGTACTAAAGCCCGCAGCAAGCCATTGACTTCGTCTGAAAACATATATGTAAGGGGAAAAGTGTTGCTTTTGTATGTAAGTTTCCTACACTGTTAATCATCATATATAATATATATATATTTCATATATATATAAATATACATTAACAAGAAAAAGAATAATTTCAATCATATTGCTACTTTTTTTTCCTTGTTGACCAATTGGTCCACCTAAAACATCTGTACTTGTAAAGCATTGTATATTCCCCCAAGGTAATTTTTCACCCATGTATCATTATACACTAATTCACTTCATCTTCATTTCACCCTATATAAGCGTACCAATTTTTTGCCCACAGTTTTAATTCACCCTCCATATTCAAGGACAAAAAGGGTAAAAATTCAAAAGGGGTGAAAATTTTTGGTATTACAGTATACTGAATTCAATATCTAATATCAGACCTGAGTTAATAGTGTTCCAGAATATACATATATAAATATATATATTATTTAAAAGATAAAATCAACACTCTAGTTTGCTGATGTTTTCAGGCCTAGTACTGGAAATCTTGGCAAATTATTGTGTTGATTTTATCTTTGCAGTTATCTAACCAATGCACAACATATTTAACATGATGTTCACAAGGTGTTCCAAGCCCTGAAGCTCTGTTTACTGTTGTTAGTATGTGGGAAAGGAACTGATATAAGCTCGTTTACATAAGCTTGTTTTCCTACCCCAAAATGCAAAAATATGTCTGTTATTTTGTTGTTATATTGAATAAATATTGTTTAAACTAACATCTTTACCAGATAAATCTGGATATATCAACCACAACAGCATCAGAGAAGGTTATGCCGATTCTGAAGAAGTTCATTTAGGGTGAAACTGGTGTTGATATTGTTTTGTCTGACTTTATCCACTGATCGATCATCCTGCACACTCTCAAGTATCCAGCTGAGTAAAGAACCTTAACATCCAACCCAAGCAACACAACAGAATTGGCTCTACTACCTGTATTTCTTTAATTTTCAAACTACAGAAATACAACAATGATAAGCATTACCTCTCATATCATCCACTAATTTTATGAGTTTTGCAAGAGCAGCGATTAGTGCAAAATCTTCATACTGGCTGCCTTCCTTTAGCTTCCACTTTTTGTGTTCCGCCTTTCGTCGGTTTTTTGCTGATGATCTGCACAAATAAGATTGGTATCAAAATGTAGAGTGCAGTAAAAAATCCAGATGGGAGTTTCTTCATCAATAAAGAACTGGAACACTTTAACCTTGATGGATGATCAACTGAAAATGATCAGGTGTAGAAACTGAGGTAATGATATTGTAAAGTAAATTTGAATCAAATCTATTGAGACGCAGAACAACACTACAGAAGGTAATGCAATGGGAAGGACAGATAGACATAGGTCATGATATATGTCCCCCATCCCCCTCACCTGAATGAGGAATAAAAGTAGTTCATACTCTCGTTTCTACTATACTCTTCATAGATTTACTCACCCTGATACTCTACTGTAAAGAGATGATCGCCCTGAGCGACCAGACTCGGACGAATATCGGGATGACTGGATGCTCTCTCCTGTGGCACTACTTGTGTCAGAATATAAATCAGCATCTGCCCTGTTTCCAGTTCCTCCAGTTTCTAAAACAGAACGATCATCACAACGCCATTAAATTTAAATACTGATATTTACTGTAAAATCATATACTTTCATGAAGCTTTATTCCTGTGAGACAATTGTGGACCAGATTAACCTAAAATCCATCTGGCCATTTTGGGGAGATTGTGATAACATCTCATTAGCTTTAAAAACAGTTTCCAGTAAAAAATCAAGGCATGAAATATGAAAAACAGATGAGGAATGCTATTTCAGAGACCTCTCTGAAATAGCATTCCTCATCTGTTTTTCATATTTCATGCCTTGATTTTTTCAGTTGTTCAAGAATAAAAGTTCACATAAAAACCTTACCAAGAAATTCAAGACGGGCTTTTTCTTTCTCCTCTCTGACTACAGCTAGGCGTCGTTTGTATTTTTCAAATTCTAACTTGGAATTTTCTAGTAGCTCCATCTGCTGAGAGTAATTATCCGTGAGGGCACCGATCAAGTTTGTATCTATAAAGTCTGTTCTGCCATATTTGTACATCTGTAAATCAATATTCAGTAATTAGTATAAACAAAGCCTTCAGTAAAAAGTATAAACTCAGCCCTCAGTAAACAGTGTAAACTGAGCCCTCTGTAAACAGTGTAGACTGAGCCCTCAGTTAACAGTATGCTATCACTGGTCCAAGGTGAAAAAATCATAAGTTTTAAGTGATTCTAATTTTTGAAAAATACCTTTCTATCAAACAGTTATCTTCATAGTAAAGAAACACCTCCATGAAAATATAATACATGCTATAATTTATACAATTTTAAGTACTATATTAAATGACCTCACAGTTTTAAATAGAAATACTTGTCAAAATTTTAATAGAGATCCGAGTCTCCACAGTGGGATCAAATACATAATTTACATGTGCTACCCCAGTAACTTCATTAGCTCCAAACCAGATGGAAGTTAAACATAACACTTTCATTACAAATTTTATCTCTTTTTATTTTTTTTTTCCAAAATTTTTGTTTACCAGTCTCAGAGCTTCCTCCCACAGACAACCATCAATGAGACACACAATAGCTTCTTCAGTATCCTGAAAATGATAAAAAAAAAGTTTCAGTGTATAGTCAAATTGCAAATTCCTTTGAAAAAATTTTCTTTCAGATCAAAATGTTGGAGTCCTCTAATTGTGACATTTGATTGAGAGCAATAAACTCCATGATAAAAGTACCACCAATTGTAATTAGTATCTGGTTCAGTACAAAATGTACTAATAACATTATGTTACCAAGGCAAAATACAATAGTCACAATCTATCTCTCCGCTATAGAGACTTTCTGTAGCTGTATCTGTTGATTGTACGATTAGTAAGCTAAGCCAGAGGTTCTGGGTTCATTCCCTAGTATCCTCTGCTGCATTTCTTCATATGCTATTTTAACATAATGTAAAACCGTTAATTTTTGCGGGGAATTTATTTCTATTGTTTTTGGGGGGCACACTTGTCCATGCATTATTCATATGTCCATGAATTGTTAAAATAAGTGGAAGTAGATTTATTGAGCTATATTCAACCATAAAATCAAGTGTCCAGGAACTTTTTGGAACAACACAAAAATGGAGTTCCTCAAAAATATATCATGATTTTCAGTACATGTATATGAAAATTAAGCTGTTCTAAATGTCTATCAATTTTTCCCCAGTATTAATAAAAAAGCAGTAGATTTTGGTTCATTAGGGGCAGATATGGATGAATTTATCTTCCATTTTTACTTCCAAAATTCCCCTAATTTGCATATCAACATAAACAAGCTTTATCATAGCCATCTTATATCAGTACTGAATTAGGTCATGTGCTTAACTTCAACAAATATTTACCATGCTTTCCTTGACTAGATATAGGAGGAGGGACTTATTGTAAGATATCATTTCTGGTGCTATGTACTGAAGTGGAGGAGACACGAGGTCTAGGCTTACTATGGGATGAAAACAGGTTCATGATTACTATAACAGTAACAGACTACATTGTGTGTAAAAATCAAACTACATCATTCTATCCCATTAAAAGGGACAATATTTGAAAGTATTCAATTTAAAACAATGCTATTTTACAAAATAGAGGCTGAAGTTTTCTATAATGTCGATTGTAAAATTATACCTCTATCTATCAATGGAGTCAAATTGTAATATAGAGTAAATTACCTTTGCATATTGTTCCAAGACATGAGCTGCATCTAAATACTGCCTCTTCATCTTCAATTGTTCTGATAAATACAGCAAGAGTTCCATAAACACACATCACATGGTAAAACAAAACATGTATTTGACACCTGACTTGCATCCAGTATTTTCTGAGTATGTGATAAAAAGTCACTTAAATTTGCATCCATTTCAAATTAGATTTCACGATAGTGGTCTCAAAAATCTTATATACCGGTAAAATGGAAACTCACATAGCATCCTAAATTTACTTAATAACATTAAATAAGGGTGGAATTACTACCAGGCATGGGCTTATTTGTGGATAGATATGGTAATATATTTTTTGCGAGATGCAAGATTTAGCCATCAGTACCTGCAAGTTTGCGAGCAATATCAGTCTCTGTATCTGAGCTGTACTTGAGCCTGGCGGTCATACAGAAAACCTGGCGCCATTGTAGACATGACTGAAAGTCCTGGAGAGCCATTTCCCACTCTTCTGCTTTAACATACATAATTCCTGCCTCTAGATGGCGCCGCTTGTCAGATAAGTAGTCACCATATATTCTTGCAATGCTCTGTAAATAAGAAGAAATATGGAGAAGACTGGTATGTACCACGAATAAATAGCACACAGCTTCTAAGAATCATTGCCATAGATTTACTTCCATTAAATTTCATATCATACAAACTTTAATTTGATCAGTAACAAGAAGTTTGACTGAGTGAATAAAGTCAACAAAATATGCTAAAAAATTCAAAATTAATCTGAAAATAAGATTCATTATATGTTCTGTGAAAAACAATATTGTTTTTATACCTCATTCACAGCCATACTTTGATATCTCTGGTTCCTTTGTCTTACAAATATCCATATACAGCATACGTCTCCCTCCAGGGCTCTCGATCTGCCAGATTTGGGGCCAAATTCCCAATGCAAAATAGTATCTTTTTTTCCCAATTTAGACCCCAGGTTTCCCAATTCTAAGGAAAATGCCACTATTTTTCCCAATTCTAAGGGCCCCGGGTCCCAGTCCCAAAATGGGGTGTGAGAGCCCTGCCCTCAAAACAATATATTTATATAAACCCATGCTGCTAAACAAATGATAATTATATCACCAGTTTACAGTGATATGATACATCAATGACAAAGTACTTACCTTGTATTCATTTGAAGAAACACGAAACAGTTGTAAGGCCTCTGTATAAAGTTTGTGTTTCTGTATCAACGTCTTACAAGTCTCAAAGTGCTCTGGTCCTACAGATATAAAGTGAATGTGAAATACTCACAATGGACAAAGTGTAGATTTATCTCCCTTATTTTGGAACATTTTCTTCAGGTTTGAAATGTTAATAGAATAGAAGTTCTTATAACACAACCAGTAGAAGATTAGAGGGTGACATTTCGATGACTATACAGTCATCTTTATCACAAAATCACCAAATCTTGGTCAATCATACTGTACTTCATCTACAACTTCATAAAAGTCTTGAAAACATGAAATGTTATTTATTTTCAAGGATATTTTGTTTTTGCTTTTCTTGTGAGTACCCATAATTCAAGAATTCAAATGTACACAGACTTATCAAGTTCCAAGTATTAGCATGATGGGGATATTTTGTATGTCTTCATCCACAAATTATTTCCCCCAAAAAATAGTATTACCACAGGTATTTTGGAAAACCACAATATTTTAGCCCGACAAAAATGTCTGATTTTACAGTAACATGCTGGAGATATGTGACTTACCACATCGACTGATATGCTTCAATGCTTTGCTGTATCGTTTAAGGTGCTCGTCTATGGTGTAGAGTTGAAAGTGACCTTCAAGCTTACGAAGCTGGTTCAAGAATGGAATATATTCCTTTGGGTCCTATTGATAAAAATCAGGTTCAAAACATGACATGGTTTCCAGCTACACTAATTGTTCAGGATTTATACGATAACTGATCATAGGTGTATATAACAATGTGCACAAGAAATATCACAAACATACAAGGTGACAGAAGGGTTTTGTACATGTGTGCTCCCAAGTGTAGAAGGCAGCCAAGATTAACTTAGGTGATGCTAATTAGGTAACTGGGCATTGTACTGACATAGCAAGGCCTTGATCATGAGGCCAGCCTTATCTGTTACTGTTCCTATTTGGCAAATATAGCAAGAATATGAGGATCTCTACAGTTGGGATATTTCCCTAATTTTGATCTATATCTTTGGGAGGTGCAGCCGAGTAATGAAAAACTGGAAACTCTCGACTGAATTGGGAAAGTTAGCAGGTATGCAGAGCAATCTAAGAATTTAAAGAGACCCTATTTAAAAGAAAATTATAGTGATGCAATAGTTCTCAGCTGATTGAAACAAGGATATGGCAGTTCACAAATTACTGAAATAAAGATGTCCTAGTTTGCAGATGAATAAAACAAAGATATGGAAGATCCAAGACCACTGTAGTAAGGAAGAGAGCAACAAAGAAATGGTAAGTTCAAAGAACAGTAAAATAATAATAACAATAACGTTGTAATTCATAAAGTACAGAGGCATAAAAGAAAAGAAAATCTTAGGACAATTATCAGAGCAGAAAAAACACTAAGTACACAAAAACAAAATCATTCGTATACATTGTGTATTTAAATAAAGGAGAGACAACTGCAAAAATATAATCTGATGATAGGTTCATCAAGTATTCAGCGACTGACCTTTTGTGACTTCTCAGCAACCATCAGCACAAGGTCAAAGTCATATGTTCCTAGAGCGACATCAAACATCTCATTGACGTCTACCAGAAATACTAGATATTTCAAGACTTCCTCGGCCGACATGGTCTGCTGGTCATTTGGCTTGGCTGTGGTCCAATGGAAAATGGCAAATTAATTATATTTAAATTTCTAAAATTAGCATTTTATGACACCTGCTGTTATATAAAATGATATATGAATCCTATCAAATACTTATATAATTATGACAACTAAAACATCAAGTGTACATGACTGACCAGTTTGTAATACTGACCTCGGAGTGTCTTGACCATTAACAACGCGGCCTCCAGTTCGGGAGTTCTCTTTCTTACATAAGACGTCAGTATGGATAACAAGTACCTGGGAAACAAAGAAATTGAAAGTACTAGACCTTCCTCTGTCATTGAAGATTATGTTATCTGGTGGAAATTACAAATTCTACGCCTCGTCAGCTTCCCCTGCTTGAAATATAGCTAACAACTCCTTTTTTCACTTATATACAACTAGAAATACCTTCTTTCCTGAACAGGAATCCATTGTTTCTTGTCTGAAACAGGGATCTGGACAGGATCCACATTAGCAGGTTTCTCTCTGAACCAAACTAGTCAGCCATAACATATTTGGAATTTTTTTTCAATAAATACAAGTTTGACAAGTGATATTTCAGAATTAACAAAAAAGAAAAAAATAAATTGATTTCATAGACTCTTTACTAACAAATAATAGTGAGCAAAATTAGTTGCCATGAAATGACATTGTCTTTGTCTTATACATGTATTATCATACTTTAGTTTGCATCAGATCCAAGTCGTTTTTCACTATAAAATTTGATTTTGGTGGGATTTTGTTTCGAGAAAACCAAAAAACTAGGTGCGTCAAAGCAATGCAAATGCCCCCATCTGCTAGAGGTGTACTCTCATGACTCAGGAAATTAAAATTCAGTCATTTTGTCAGAATCAATGGTAAAAAATCTGAAACTGAATGGAAATTCTGCAGATTTCTTTTTTTTCTTTTTAAACACTCACAGGAATATATCTGAAACCTGATGCTGTGACATCTCCAGGCAAATCAAGGACCTGACATACATATCTGTAGTTGTAAATATACATGATTTTAACAATGCTTACTTATTTTCATCCACACTGACCAGTGCTTCTCTCACTACATCACATACTCTGTCCACTTTACTGGGTTGGTCAGTGCCCTCGTCTGCTACAGGAGCTGATCGGTTGTAGGCCGCAGTATACATGGTGACAGTACAATCTTCCTCTCTGTAACCCAGTAAGAATTTATATAAAACAAAATTGGTTGTTTCAAGTTTAAATACCACAACATATTTGAGCAGATTTATTTTTCTTGATTTCTAGGTACATAATCAAAATATACACAAGTGTGGGCTTTAAAATAATCTCTATCAATTAATATACATAAAAAACCCCTTTTTGACAGGTAATTCTCGAATTGTGCAAATTGGACATTTAAACTACTGGAATACACTTCTTGACAATTATTGGCAGATTCTAAAGATCAATATCCTGAATCTACTTTACCCCCTAAACAGGATCAGGGGCGCATAACAAATACATATTTTTGTCATCCAACTATATTGTTGTTTTTACGACATACCTGTAATCAATGTTGTGTTTTAGTTTGACTCAAGATCTATACTTTTGTAAATCAATGTATTCATCCTGTCACAAACCAAGGACAGAAACACACAAACCATGAGAGTAGAGAGTGGGCTTATTGAAGGACAACAAAACAGCACTTGTAAATAATTTTATGGAACAGTAATAGTCATGGGTTGGCTTATTTTACGGCATGGACTTCTTGACAGACAAAAATGGTGAAATATATAGCAGTACAATTAACCTTATCTTTATGAAAAAATAAGCTGCAGATATTTTAAACCCTTTTGTCAATTTAATTTTCCTATAACAGTCTAGTTTTCAGTACATTAAAAAATTTCGAAGTCTTCGAAAAAACTTCAAAACTTCCAAGAGACACTATTGCTTTTGCTTTCAAATGAATTTTGAGGTTGCATCATTGTATATTGTGATGGCTTTGAAGTTTTTTTTCTTGGAACCAATCAATTTACTTCGCTTATGCCTTAAGTTTTGTCATGACACGTTCCAGGGGTACAGAGAACAAAAGTGATCGTAACCGCTGGAGTATGACAGATTTCCTCGGGGTTTCTTTACCTGAGATCAGTGAGGAAAAGATTGATGTGATCGACATGCTGAACCTGTCGAACAAACGTTCGGACGTTGTCAAAGAAACTCTGAGGACAGTGATCGTGTATCAGATTCAGGTTCAGGCGGTGTTTCCTCATACACACAAAGGCTTGTCCAAACTCGAGGCTGATGGATTAAAAATACAACAAATAAAAAAACATCTCATACATTTTTTCCATAAAAAATTTGATGCATAAGAGAATTGCAAGATTGCAAAGTGGCAGAGTTACAGAGTTTTTAAAATAGGAAACATTGTCGCACAATCTATTGGCCACAATAACTAATGATAATGTGACTGTTATACATACACACATATATCTTGGGTCAACGTAGTTATATTAACTCATTCTATCATTATTATCTATTAAAGAATCTCAGGCAAACACATGATAAACTCCCCATCATATAGGACTCAATGCCAGGCCACAAGTGTCAGATAATTTGTGCCAGTGGGCAATACAATATCATAAAAATAAGAGTATCAGTGAAACTGATGAATGCTCACTGAAAATTACTTTATTGGACACAAAAGTTAATAAAAAGGCAAAAATTCGGTAATTAAGAAGTTGTAGAACCTAAATTTGGTACAATACACATTCTTTTAGTATGACCCTGAATAAACACTGGTTCCAAAAGGGCTAGTTGTGTTGATAAAATCTAAGTTTGAAAAATAAGAAAGGGCAATAACTCCATAATTATGCAAAAGGGAGATATGGGTCATGTACAGTGAAGTACATGTTAATAATAGATTTTGTGATACAGATAAAATTAGAAATTGTAAATACAAAAGCTATCTTAAATATTTTCAAGCAATAAAATTTAGAATGTGGCGTGCATATCTAAGATCCAAACAGATAAAAATTCAGAAATAGACGTAATAAGAAATTATGAAAAGGATAGACTGAAAGAGGGACAGACAGCGAGACAGACAGCGAGACAAAAGAGAGATTAGAAAGCACATAATTAATGGTAGAATAGCAGTTCTTATAACATAACCAGTAGAAGATTGAAGTGTGATGTTTCAATGACTACAAAGTCACCTTAATCAGACAAAAGACCAGTGTAGAGCGTACTAGAAGAGTTACTGCATATGTAGTGTAGGAGATGGTAAGGAATCTGCCAACTTTTTCAACTGTACTCTATAATCCTATGTACACTAAGGTCAAAAATAGTGTGATGAGATGGTAAACAGATTATTGACCAAACAATTCACAAGATAGTAACAATGTATTGTAGGTAATTCAGCTATGCTTTGTTCAACTCTTGGTCAAAGATTATAGTACAGACGAAAAAGTTGGTTAAATTCCTTACCATCTGGTACACTACGTACGTCAGAGCTAGTTGCAACAATTACTTTTCTACTGACATTACCAACCTGAAGAAAATGTTCCGAAACATCATTTATGATTGGCGGAAAAAAAAAAAAAAAAAAACCCAAGCAAATTCAAAGGCAGTAACATGCCACTGTGCTTTGTCTACACCTAATGATTACCACACCTGTGACCTTTGTGACCTTACCTGTCCAGGTATTTTCTTACGGCTGACAGCACAAGTGCTCGGGGATGGATGGTCTCCAGGTTACCTCTGGGCATCTGTAAGACCAGCTTAGTCTCATCCTGAACAACACAAACAATTCTGGACCCTCTCTCCACCCTTCGCACACTCTCATCAAATGGGTGAGCCTTTCCGTCGGCCAGTGTAGGCAGAACTAGAACACATGACACAAATAACCTTTGCAAATACATGTACCTTAAAAAAGAGCTAAAACTAGAAAACTTCAATAAATACTTTTCTGATGGCTCTATGTCCTATGAAGGAGCTATATATTTTTTTGTATTTTTTATGAGAATTGACAATCTGTATACTGATTTGTAGGGAGTTCTACAGTTTACTTTTGATAGACAGAACCAAAAAATGACAAATTAATACTGTACCTAAAATAAAAACTTAATGATAGAGATAATTATGATCGGTCTTATAATTTCTAAATTAAAAAAAAAAAAAAAACAAAATGCATTGAGCTTTTTACAAAACCATGGAGTTTTGAATAATAAAAGAAAACAACATTAAAAATAATTGTTTTAAAATCTTCCATTTATGGATCAAAATTGTATGATAATAATTTTAAAATGCAAATATCCGTAATTTGATATTTTTAACGTAATTTGGAAATTATGTGATAAATGTCATCAGATATTAATAGTGTAAACTGATCTGGCTATCGTTGCTTAGTTACATCTAGATCTAGTTTATACTGATCTGGTAATTGTTGCTTAGTAACAGTTTGACCTTACCTTGGACCTTAGTGTGTCTGCTGATACAGCGACAGGTGTGAGTGAGGGTTGTCAGAAGGAGGTATTCTCTGTGTACAGCCAGTGAAGTACAGTTGGATGCTACCTGTAAGGATTTTACTTACGAATGGACAAAGAATTCACAACGAATGCAAAATGATTTGACAAAGCAGTGATAATTATATAGATTATGACACAAAAAGAATGGACAAAAGCTCGCTTTTTATGGATGTCAATGTAAAAATAAGGGACAAAGCAACCTCGATTTTAAGATCCTTGATAATGGAACAACAGACAACAACACCTACCACTACAACACCTACCACTAGTCTAGGTAACTACCTACCACTACTCTAGGTAACTACCTACCACTAGTCTAGGTAACTACCTACCACTACTCTAGGTAACTACCTACCACTAGTCTAGGTAACTACCTACCACTAGTCTAGGTAACTACCTACCACTAGTCTAGGTAACTACCTACCACTACTCTAGGTAACTACCTACCACTAGTCTTGGTAACTACCTACCACTAGTCTAGGTAACTACCTACCACTAGTCTAGGTAACTACCTACCACTAGTCTAGGTAACTACCTACCACTAGTCTAGGTAACTACCTACCACTAGTCTAGGTAACTACCTACCACTACTCTAGGTAACTACCTACCACTACTCTAGGTAACTACCTACCACTACTCTAGGTAACTACCTACCACTACTCTAGGTAACTACCTACCACTACTCTAGGTAACTACCTACCACTACTCTAGGTAACTACCTACCACTACTCTAGGTAACTACTTACTGATAACATAATAATGTTTGTGTGATTTAAGTAAAACATATTGTTGGAGACAATTACTTGAATTAATTATTAAGATAAAAACATTTTTGATATATAATATCATGAAAACAATCAAATTAAATAATCAAATTAATAGTTTAAAGAAATGAAATGAGATGATTTAACCAGTTTAGGAGTGACTCCCAAAAATGCAGATGTTAACAACAGATAAAGTAACTTTATTGATTATGCAACTATTGAAACTGAAAATGTCAAGAGAAAAAAAATTTTTTTTCTTCCTTTGCAAATAGTTAAATAAGGTGCAGCAATGAAAATGAACTAGTGTGTAAAACAGAAATGTGTAGTACAAGACAAATTATCATCCCTTACCCAATTTCCATCCACCCATCCCAACTTCCACAATAAACCTCCTTCCACCTCCACCAATACCCTCCCATCCTCACTTCACCTCCATCAATTCAATTCCACTCCAATCTCCAACTCCATCTACATCCTCCCACCCCAACCTCCTCCTCTAACAACATCCTCCCACCACAACTTCCACCCCTAGCCTGCCTCCACCTCCACCAATTCCCTCCAACCCAAACCTCCACGTCCACCAATACCCTCCCATCCTCACTTCACCTCCATCAATTCAATTCCACTCCAATCTCCAACTCCATCTACATCCTCCCACCCCAACCTCCTCCTCTACAACATCCTCCCACCACAACTTCCACCCCTAGCCTGCCTCCACCTCCACCAATTCCCTCCAACCCAAACCTCCACGTCCACCAATACCCTCCCATCCTCACTTCACCTCCATCAATTCAATTCCATTCCAATCTCCAACTCCATCTACATCCTCCCACCCCAACCTCCTCCTCTAACAACATCCCTAGCCTGCCTCCACCTCCACCAATTCCCTCCAACCCAAACCTCCACGTCCACCAATACCCTCCCATCCTCACTTCACCTCCATCAATTCAATTCCATTCCAATCTCCAACTCCATCTACATCCTCCCACCCCAACCTCCTCCTCTAACAACATCCCTAGCCTGCCTCCACCTCCACCAATTCCCTCCAACCCAAACCTCCACGTCCAACAATACCCACCCACCTCATCCTCCATTCCCTTTTTCCCTTCACCTCCATCCACCCACCAACTCATCCCAACCTCCATCCCCATCCTCCCTCCACATCTACCAACACCCTCCCTCCACATCTCCCAATACTGTCCTACCCTAATTATCTGCCCCACCTTCTACTTACCTCCACTTCATTGACATAAAGTCGGTACCTCTCAGTCAGTCCTATGACTACTTCCTGCATAAAACACAAACACAATGGGCAGAAATCAATTACTTAACTATGTGTAAAATACTAAATCAGGACTGGTACAGTTGTGGGATTGGACAACGTTACACAATGCGCGATGTGTGCTACACGACGTATGCACAATTTTGAGTGGTTTGTTAACAAAGTGCCATACATGACCAGTCTTAGAGTATAGAGACTCATTATACAGGCAATACATGTGTAAACATTCAATGGATGTCTTTTTTCTTCTCTGCAATGAATCATCTAAAATTTCATAATCATAAGTCAGAAAGGCAATTTGATTTCTATAACTTCTGTATTACTTTTGTTTTTTTATCGTTTTGTAGATAAAAGATATATTGTTCAGGTAAATGTGTTGTGTTTGTTACGTAGGAGGCTTAGCCAATGCAAATCTGGACCAAATGTATACCCATAAACAGGAAAGCTTTGTTATACAAGGCACACCACTTGCCATTTTCAGAGGTGTAAAACTACATGCAAGAAAGCCTAATTAATGCAGGGTCAAATGTTGTTTCGATTGCTATTTAGTCATAACTAAACAAGTTTTCTGTTTAATTTTCAATCCGTAAAGTAGTCAACCATTTTTACCAAACCTAACAAGCGTGTGTCATATTTTCTATCACTTTCCGATCAAAATCACAGGGCAATGAAATAATGTGTTGAACACAATTTTACTAGCAAAGAAAAACATAACATTTATACCAACACTTTTTGTAAGGAGTACTTAAAACATCAACACCACAATAGAAAAAAAAATTTACCAGAGGAAACAAAGCTGGTAACAAAGTAATATTTACCTCTCCACCAACATCACAGACACACATATATGGACAGGGGACAGGAAAGGATAGATCCATCCCGGAACTTGTCTCCCATGGTAACACAATATCACAATCTGGAAAAATTTTAAATAAATTATTCAAAGTTGTTGTGTACTGAGTCAATATAGATGCTTTTTATTTTTGCATGTCATAAATTTTTTTTCAGACCGAAAATAACCCCTTTTAATTAGATGTTGCTATCTTTTTTTTTCTCCAAGTTTGAATAAATTATCTATTAACAGTATAAATTTTTGAATTTGTAAGAAAACGATGTATAATTAGCATCAAAATGCTACATCACTAAATCACTTTTAATTAGAACTAATTATGAACGCCAGTAAGATACAGTACATGAAACACATTTCTAGGTGTTTGATATAAGAACTATATAATCAGATACCTGGATCAAACTTGAGAACAGAACCATTACACAGTTGTAAGGCTACAGAACCAGTCTCTGCATTGATGGCCATCTTGAATACAAAACTCTCGATGTCAATGCTGTTTCTAGAAAAAAAGAAATCCAGTGGTTAGTGATCATCAAAAATTTAATTGCTGTATGCTATCAAGATGAGATAATGAGGCCTTGTGTTGTGCCTTTCATGATAAGGCACCATTTGACCTTTCAGCATGATAACACTGGACCACTCTAGAGTTTGTAGGGATTTTCTTTCAGTCCAGAAACATGGTCCCTATCAATTGGCCTCCATATAGCCTCGAGTTGCTCCCACTTGAACACTTGTAGGGTAAATTAGCCAAAAGAGTTCCGAATCAAGCAAACATCCCAAATAACCAATTTGCCAACACACTTACTGAGGAAGGGAATAACATTCCTCTACAGACAGTCTAAGTCCTTATGAAATCCATTTCATGGTGAATTAGAGATGCCACAGCTGTTTAGGTAGGACACATGATATTAGGGATCAGTTTGAGAAATGCTGTTACTTCAACTTTGTGTACATTTAGGTACCCTAATTCATTGTTGCCAAATGGAGTCCTCATTTGTTAAGAATCTCAGAAAGTTTGAAGACGTATGGTCCAATATTTGAAGTTTAATATTGCATTTCACACTTAGGAATATTGCTGATAAATATTATTTTAATAAACCATAAAGTTGAAGTTGTGTATATTTTTCCTCTTAGTGTACATCAAATTTAAAACAAAGATGAAAACTTACTTGACCAGCAGCTGAGGATTATCAGTGTCAAGCTTAAGCTCAGCGCAATGAAGAACTGAGTTCTGGGAATGACTCAAATCCTGGGCACAGAATAGTATGAGTTCAGAGGTCAACCAAACAAAGTGATGCATGGTTATAGGTGCTTTCTGCATGTCTGATGGCAGACCTTCAATACTGATGGAATACATGAAAAAGGAAAATTACAAATTTTCATATTTTCTGAAATAAGTTAAAAGATATCACAACTATTCATTTCAGTGAAGTTTGTAGGTATACACAAGATGAGCTAGAACGACTGACAAACTATGCATAATGCTCTGAGTGACATTAAAATAATTGCATCAGACCTTTAACGTACATATATATGTATTTATTAAACATATCATAATCACCAGGAGATTCTCTGCAGACATGGTGTTTGACAACACAATGACAACTCCTCACCTAATGACTTACCTGTAGATTCCCTGAAGACGTGGCGTTTGACAACACAAGGTAAACCCCTCACCTAATGTGACATCAAACTTTACTGTACTATCCTTCTGCAAGTCCTGACCAGCAGGTTCAACATCTAATAAGGGAAGACAGATCAACACATGCTTTATCACAAATTCATATTTGTAGAATTTATTCTGGCATGATTTTTTGCTTCAATGTATTAAATAAAAACTGAAAGAAAAATTATTTATCATATAAAAGATTTCAAAAAGTGTTTTATAAAATCACTTTGATTTAATGGAAGTAGCCAAGTTATAAACAAGCTTATAAACAAGTCCTCTGCCTAATGGGTCAGAGTTAGGGATAAAGATCAATGGATTCATTATATAGCTGATGACAACTGTTGATATATCCAAGGTTTGTTTGTTGTATTGCTGGGTTTATTGCTCCTAAACAAGGTTATTTTGAGGCAGGGTCACCTTCTCAAAATTTTGGGGCTACCTTATTGAACCTCAGGACTGTATTTTGTTTATTGATTTGACCAGTTGGATTAAAGTTACTTTTCCATGAAATAAAAGCAGACCTACTGATTTTATTTTGCTTTCTGATGAGCTCTAAGCCTTTTGAGACCTGTATTGATATTTTTAAGTCTGTCCCGATTTATGCCTGAAATGTTACATTAGAAATCTACATAACGAACGTCCTTAAGTTCCTGTTGTCTGCTATTCTGACCCATCACGGGCAGTCCTTGATCTCATCTTCCTGAGAAACACAAACTGCCCTGGTTAGGGATCATGGTAGATGTAAAGGAATGTTTAGTATTTGGATGTACACAAACATTTACATGCTCGTGTGACTAAATCACAGGCTGCTTTCACATCATCCAGTTCAAATGGTTCAGGCAGCACAGAATAAATGATTGCTATAATGCCTGATTACAGAAATATAAAAACTCAAAATGCACACTTTCTGTACTGAATATTGTTTTATTTTCATAAATATTTGTGTGCAACAGCCCTGTTTTATGCATTAAGTCTGATTAATAATATTCAGCCAGTTTGTGTGGACAGATATGGTTGGTCCCCTCAAACTGCATGTGAAAAATATTCTGCACTCCAGCATTGGTCTCAATTTCTGCCTGGTGTTGCTCTTGCAGTTTCGAGCAGCCCAACCATTTCAATCATGTGAAAGCGACTATACTTGCTGGTCAAATGGGAATCAAATTGAACCTCAGAAATATTACATCTTAAGCACCAATAGACATACCAAACGTGTAAATACACACTCTGCCGTCCACTAATATCAATGCCATGTTATTAGGGTTTCCCTGGACACAGAAAGCCACCTGGTTGATAGGACTTGGGAGTTGTAGATAGTAGGCTGACATGGGAGGTGGAGTTACCATATCTCTCATTGGGGTCAGCAATAGTCGATCTGTAAAATAGCAGGAGATGCTGGAACTTTAATGTGAACAATTTTTTCTGGTACGATGCACAATTATTTGTGCTTAAGTATCTTCAGGGTTTATTCCTTACTGTACATTTAAATAATTTCCTGCCTTTTTTTGCAATTTGATAAAGTAATAATGTGATGTTTTCACCTTTAGGAGATTTTACTGCCATATCAACAACAATAAAAAAACCAAAACAAAAAAAACAAAACAAAAGCAAAAAACAACATTCAACGACAATCATTTACCAAGAACTTGATCTAAATATGAAGTCCAATGAAAATGAGACTGACAGTCAGAGGTATACACTTACCACTTATCTATTTAGTGTACGATTTATTTTCACGTTAGCGTCATATTTATTTTCACGTTATCATCAGATTTATTTTTAGTCTTGAAGAGTGTATGTCTACTACAGCTCATCACTCATGAATTTAACGCCATTTCTAGATCACCATAGACAAAATCATGCATTCATAAATATGTCTGAAGATGTAAGTTCTTGAAATAAAGTTTTCACAAAGCCAAAGTGATTTACAGTCAGTACATTTTGTTCTGTTATCAGAAAAAAAATAAGAATACAGACTTTGAGTAAATATGTCATTTTTCTACCACAAGAAACCCAGGGGGCTATAATACAAGTATCATCAGAGTCTGCAGAAGGATTTATTGCAGTGCAAGAAAATTGACATTTAACATATTTGATACCAGACATGATTTTACTGCTGTATATATATACTGTAATGAAGAAACATTGTCTCTACCTCCATCAATCACAGCCACTAATGCTTGGTTGTCCTTGGAAATCCCTGAACTGAAGTGGGTGGCCCAGGACCATGTATACTGTAGATATTTCCCTCCAAAACACATTATATGGAGACGATATGCATGTTCTGGGTCCCAAACAACTGATACTATTTTATCATCTTCTGTGGCATCGAAGTGTAGACTTTGCTTCAAGTACCAATGATAATTATTCATCGTCCATAACTGCACTGTTAATGAAAATGTTAATTATATATAATTATATACAATGACTACAGTATAACTATGACATAGACAGAACAGTGTGAAGAGAAACATCCTCAATACTCAAGGGGTTACAATCACTTTCACTCTCTGCATCCCTGGGACATGTCATGGCAAAACTGAATGTTCAAAAGTAATTTCAAAGACAGATTCTATTATAATGCATTACATAAACCTTACATAAGCTAGTGAAAGAAATAGAATATTGATATATAAAATACCTTATTTCTAAGTTTAAAGCAACAAAGATGGCTTTGTCTTATGAATTTCCATTCATTAGATATTTCTTCAGGAAAACAAACAAAAGTAACAAAAATATTACAAGTGTTTAAAATTCACAACATATTTTTCATTATGTATGTTAATAAAAGTATTTCCACAAACAGATCCATCCTCTTTTTATCATTGAACATGGCATTGTAATAATGCATGATTTTATAAAAACGGAAATAGAAGTTTATGTTAAAATTGAAAAGAGAATTGTCAAGATCATACCATATGTCCGGGGTATAACATCACCACTCGTGTTTGATACCAGTTCCTTCAGTTTCAGCATTAGTACTGATGAGTCGAGGTTCCAGCATAGCTCTGTCACCTGTCCAATCACAACAGACAAATTTTAGTCACACCTTCAGAATTATAATTGGAAAGGACAGAATAAATCTCACGGTGAAAACCTAAAAAAATAGTGAAAAAACTATAACCATAACTGATACTGTATTCTTACAAACTCACCACACCAGTGAAATAAACTTTATTTCACAACAATTAAATTTTTATCATTCTCAAATATTTAAACTTGTAAATATTAATGATAAAATCTCATAACTCTGTATGGCGAGATCCCTATGCAATTTCTAGATATTAACATCGTAAATAAACGATGGTTTCATTGAGGGTGAGGATACTTCAATGAATTATTTCAGTTAGATATCTATCGGTATGTCGTTTACCTGTATCTACCTGCATACCTCATGAATGAGGATCCCCCTTGTGTGTCCAGATTAAGAAGGGAATGTGGTACCTATGTTACAGGAAAGTCTGTACCAAAGGCTACCCCTGTTACCTTTATATCTACCTTTTGGGATAAAATAGCCATGATCTTAGTTACCTGTGTTTACAGATAAGCCTACAATGATGAACATCTCTAGTATCATTATATCTACCTGCTGGTATGAATAAGCCATGATCCTAGGTACATGTATTTACAGGTAAGCCTTCACTAATAACCATCCCTAGTATCATTATATCTACCTGCTGGTATGAATTAGCCAGGATCCTTTGTACATGTATTTACAGGTAAGCCTTCACTAATAGCCATCCCTAGTATCGTTATATCTACCTGCTGGTATGAATTAGCCATGATCCTTTGTACATGTATTTACTAATAAGCGTTTCTTGTATCAGTATATCTACCTGTATGTCATTGACACCAAAAGGAAGCGTGAATTCACCATGTCTCAATCCATTCTTTTCAAAAAAGATCACTTCATGTTTATTTGGTCGTCTCATTGTACTTGCAATCAGATTACCTGAAGGCCTGAAACATTGACGTGAAACCAGAATCTTAAGTATTGGTCAGTGATATTTTACCTGTATAAACTAAAACTGAAAAATAAAGATCTGTGTTGATGAATTCTTTTGGGAAATTCTTTACAATGTATTTCATTCATCGCATTTTTAAAATCTGTGTACCAAAATTAGCCTTCTGCGGGGATTATTGGATTAAAAAACTGTTGAAACTTTACCAACAGTGACCTTGACCTCTGAATTATAAAACATGATTTTATCTTCCTAAGTTAAGCTCTCATAAATGAAATAAAAGATGAAAGTACTAGGATGAATAAACACTGATTCAGGACCAGATGGAATGTGATGGAACTCAAATTGACTTATCTTGGCAACACTATTTGCTGTCCATAAAATGGCTTGGGTATAAAATCTATGTGAAAAACAATACATGATAAAACAAGTGGGTGATCAGATGGCACAGTGGTAACACACTCGCTTTTAACCTAGCCATTTGTGTTTCAATTCCTTGAATGAATGTGCAAAGGTATAGGTCACCTGCCCAACCACATGGGTTTTCCTAAGGTATTCCAGTTTCCCCCCACAGTAAGACCCCTTGTGCCCTTCCATCCAGGCCAACAAGACTTATTACCCTATACCTGTACTGTAAGCTGATAGCTTGTTTCACAATTGTTGTCAAATTTCAAAAGTTTACACAGTATATTTAAAACAATTGGCCAAAATGATCAGATCAGATACCTCCATGCCAATGCTTGCTCTACTCCATCTACGTTTTCACTGGTCGACTGGTGCTCACATTCTCTGTTCCAAACTCGTAATTTGCGTGCTCCTAGATTACATCAACAAAGTAATGTTAACTAATATTTACCACATAACATCATCAATATAATTCAAATCTTCAGTTTGAAAACAGCATTATCAACATCGATTTTTATCTTACTTACACTATGTGTATTTCTATATAACCTACAGAGTTAGATTTCTGACGACAAAAATCAAAACAGTATTTCTATAATGATATATATACACAACAGAAAGTTATTTATATCAAATTTTCTTTCCCCACAGATCTCTATAAAAAGTCAAGTACACATTCCAAGCTAAGGTTAATCTATGATATCTAACCTGTGTCTGGGCTGATGGTGCTTATCACAAAAAGCTGACCGTCCCCTCGCCAACTGACCCTTGGCAACTGGTCATCCCATTGCAATGCAGGCTTCACCTCCTGTACATTTACATTGTAAAGATCAGAAAGGTAATTTAATATAATATACATATACAATGTGTATAATTGCTATTAGGTTGCATTGTCTTTATAGCAGTAAGTTGCAAAGACTTGTCTGATATTCTTGGCAATGAAATTTATCCTCAGTTTTTGTCGATATATAGACAAGAGACAAGAGAATTAGTAGAACCAATGGATGTTCCCTGAATAAACACTAGTTCCAACAGACCTAGTTTTGACAAAATTTAAGTATGAAAAATAACAAAGGGCAATAACTCCAAAATTATGCAAAAGGAAGTTATAGTTTTATCTACCTATAAAGATTCATGTAGATACCTCTTATAGTTTTTGTGATATGCTCTGGACAAAATTATGATGGACGGGCAAAGTGGTGACAATAGGCTCTCTCTTCAGTAGTAAATGTAATGAAAATGAAAGTAGAATGATGTGATCGATATCTGAATCTGTAAATAAATCAATCAATCCTCAAGTACAGAACCATTTGACTTACCTCTGCTTTTTGTTTAGCAGCTTCCTTGCCCGCTGATCCGTGAAATTGTGTCTCCTTTTTACCCCATCCCACCGTTACAAACTGGGCTGTCAATGACAGAAACAATACCAGATGTTTCCATGTGGAATCACAGCTGCCAGATGAAGATTTCTCATGATTCAGTACTTAAAGACCTATCAATCACTTGATGTAGTATGGATGGAATTTTTTCATTTCTATTTCACTATTTTTCACTGTTAATCTGAGGTTCTATCAAATTGTATATATCGCTCCAGGCAGATACAAAATAGTCAGTACTACATTTACATGAGAACGTTTCAAACAATTTTTCAAGATGTGATCTCATTATGCCGAAAATAAAACCTACACTATATGTCAAAGTTTCCTATCAGAGTTTTCTGCAAAAACACACAATTATATTGCTACATAAACAAAGTACAGAAATTTCAGCACAATATTTTCAGAGCAAGTGCAAATAAGTACATTTACATTACCTTTGTCTGAGAAAACCAATATACATTGCTAGCTATTTTGACACAAATTTGTATTTATCAATAAATTATGATACATTACATGAATATATATGATCGTAATTAATCTATTTCAATTAATGAATTTTCTATCAAACTGGTTTACCTTCACCAAAATTCTCTGGATGGAGAGAATTTTCTGTGATAGGGTCAAACTCTCTGGTCATCATTATGAAGGTATTTTGCCCTGTTGATAAAGAATACATGAATGACTTATTTTTATATTTAGAAATTAATAAATATGGAATTTTCTCTCAACTGTAAAACCAGTTAAGCAGATGACAAGGCAGGTAGTAGTATTTTGTATTGTAAGAATCATTAGATCACAGATTTATTTATAGTAAAAACAAGGTAAGCTATAAATGCACTGTAACATCTATTTAAACTTTTATCTACTTGGAGTATTCTCCCCTGACAGTGAGACTTTATTTGCATGCACTTTTGCATAAACAGTTAAAAGAGATTTGACCATTTGAACCTGCAAGAAAAAAGCCAGATACTGATTGGAACACAGGCTGGACTGTGGAATATTTGGCATGTGCAGTTTGAGGCATCCAGCAATACTTGTCAAAAACTAACATGCTCAATATCACTAGTTTTCAGAATTTTAGCATAAAAAGTAGAGTTGGTGCACTCACATATTTCTGGGAGCATTGTGCTATAAATATGAGTGATATTGATGGTATCTTGATTTTAGTTAACTGTTTTATGCCTGATAAGACATTAGGAAACTGTGCATTTTGAGCATATGTCAGGTCCAACATCCAGTACATGTGTGTTCCTGTACAGTGGAATAATTCCAGACCACATGAACCGTTTCAACCAGGTTACATAAAAGCAGCCCAATTGTCTCATGCCTTATCAGTTTGTAGTCTCCAGGTGATGGAACCAATTATGATTAACTGCTTCCCATGGCCACATTCCAAGAGAAACAGTTAATTGGGTTGGACCCAACATCGAAGGGAAATCGGTCTGACTGATGACTAACATTAAAGGCATGAAACGACTGTTTTCTTACCAGAATAACCCAAAATAATCTGATATATGCCATTAAAACTGAGAAATTAATGAAAGTGTTTGTCTAGACATATGTATGACATACTGAGAATTTACACTGATAAACATAAATAGAAATATGGTTCACTGTAATCATTTGAATACTTTGAATGTTCTATGCCAGACAACAATCAAAGCTATCAACCTGGTTGTTATGGCATTTCAGCAATTTTCCAGGAAATTAGTCCAAAATGTGTAATTTGCAATTATATAGGGAGTCAGGTAACACTTAATACATACAAGGTAGTATAAAGATTACAATTACCTAATACATTTTTGTATTTTAACCGTATGTAAGCAGTATGGAAAGGTCTGTCTTACACAAGTTACATTATACAAATCAATTTATACAGTGGAATTAGTAGCTTATGTTGACTATCATCATCACAATAGGTTACCTGTTGTGAGAATGAGAAGTTCAAGGTCAGGACTCCAGGTCATAGAGGTCAAACCAGAATCTACAGATCCCACACATTCCAGCTGTGATAAAATGTTTACTATTATCACACAAACAAAGAACTGCAAGTACGAAACCAAGATAAACTCAAATGAATACTATTTCTTATACCTATACTTTTTTCTGAAGATTGCTGTTTGTTGATTTTTTGAACGTTACTTGAAAATCAAACAATTTCTACGCAGAATAGTCAACAAATGATGGCACTCCATTGCCGGATTACTTCACATATTTTCACTCAGCCTTTGAACCAGTTATGAAATTAACTGGTACCGATATCATGCAACCTTATCAAAGATATTCCTTACTGTACTGGTGGCTATGAATGACTACCTGTCCCATGGTGACATGCCACAACACCAGATTGCCAGTATTGGTAGCAACACATACAGCCTGCTGGTCAGCCAGATACTGTATACCCACAATACAACCACTGCCATCTGCTGGTACAAATGCCTCATCAACAAGAGAGACAACCCCTGTCAACTGAAAAAAATTAATACATAAAATTAATAAAGTGACATGAAACATTTGAGCGTTAATAACTATCTTGAAATAGTTGAAAAAGGAAAAACCGAATAAAAGACCCTTGCGGGGGAAAATTTATCTTTTCTTATCTTCATCCTTTTTTAGCAACCATTTCTGGGGTATTCTCTGAATGCCAACATTTTTTAAAAACAATATGAAGGTGGTGTTTTAGGAAACAATGGAAAGTCAATTATACATCTTTTCATATAACTATAAGCTGTCTTTTTCCACCTGGATTTTTACCTGAGATTCACCTGTACAGATATTAAAAATGTTGGCATTTTGAGATATACCCTTATTTCTATATGAACCAGCTGAATCTATCAAAATTCCATCAAATAAAATGGAACATATACTATCATTGGAACATTGTTTTATGTTTGACAGAAAATTCTGAAGCTGTGCACTTTTAGTATATATAACATTTATCAATATCTGTAACAGGTGTGTTCATTTATCATGGAATACTTCTGTGCCAACTGGATGTTTGGAGTCAGGCTACGCAAAAGTGGCCTTAGTTTCTGGAACACCCCTGTAGCAGTTCCTGGGAAATAGTGATTACTAATGAACAGACAAACAGACAAAACTTAATTTGAAGGTACCTGTCCATTATTTGGGTCTAGTCCAACCAAATGTGTGGATGTTGCACAATAAACAGTTCCTGTGTCGCAGTCTATGCTTGAACAGTGTGTTCCACATAATTCACTCAAGGGAGACAACTTGATCAGGTTCAACAATTCCAGATTCCTCATCTTTTTACCTGTGAAGGGAATGTGTGCATATACAAATTTACAAAAGATCTTTTCACAACTGTAAATGTGAGGTGCTAATAAATTCGCCAGTGAGTTTAATTTCATTTGAATCCTTTTGAACTAATAATTGGATTTAAACTTTTCCAAACATTTGGTTGATATTCATATCGGCAATTAACAATGCTCATTCTTCTCCCTCCTCCTCTTCCTCACCTGATTGGAGCTATGTATATATAAGTAATGTCACCTTTCATCATTGAAATAAAATTTTGATATTGCATTTTTGATACAGATACATTTTCTTGCATATCATGTAAAGTGGCTTCAAATGAAATTAATTTTTTAACTTTCATAAATATTTTGCACTGAAGCTAACAATGGTGCCACTTTTCTATTTTTGATACCACCTTATATACAACACGGTTCCTGAGCAATATAAGAAAATCTAACACCTTAGTATTTAAAATATTGACAACTATATATAGTGATACAGTCAAAATGGCAGTCATGATGTGTATTATCGTTTCTAGTAGTTGTTACAAACAGAGACCTATACCTACTTCGGCCTAACTATCTAAAATTGATACATCCTGGGAAATATAGTACAGAGGGGTAAGGAACTGTCAAAATCTCTTTGTAAAGCTATAGAGAAGAAATTGTAATTATCTTTGTTGTGTATATAAACCAGTTTTCTGAAAAGTAAATTACTATTTTTGAAAATAAATAAAACTAGAAAGCTAAACAATTTAAAATCTGTTGTGCCAACTTTTGAGACAAATAGATTATTTAGTCTTTGATATCATCTGGATACATTATGTAACTTGTCACGACGTGTCTCGTACACAAATTTCCAGTAAACATACATCATTTTCTGGTGAGTACAGTCCAGCATCTGGGTTATAAACATAAGTCATCATACACACCTGTATAATCTTCACAACCTCCTCCTTTATAACACACAATTCAACCAGTTATTGTGTTCCAACCCTAGTAATCGTCAGAAGGTAATTCCACGAATATGTAACACTAACAGCATATTTCACACAAGATGCGTGGTTTTCATCATGGAGGCGGCCACATTACTATTCCGCGCAAAATATTTCTAAATTTAACCGCATTAAATTCATTTATACAGATTATAGCATTTTATGGCTAAAATAAGTAATGATTTTCCCATTGCTAATTGATCTTTGTTTTTATTTGATAGACAACAGAAAAATAGAATTTATCTTGCTGCTGAACCGGAAGTTCCTACGACCAGTGCTCAAGCGAAGACGATGATAAGAAAGCAAACAAAAATTTTGTAAGCAGACGTTTAATTCCCATATCTACGGTGATGTAAGTTTAACGTGTGCTTGCTTCCTTGAACGAACAATTTCAAATTGTATGCTTGATGTTAAGTGGTGTTACAGACAATGTGTGATCGTCTACTCTCTCCAGCTGACGCTTGCAGATCGTAGACAAAATATACGTTCATAGGACCTACCAACAACAAAGGTGATAATAACAGATTTTCCTCTTTTATCATTTTGTTGGTGCACAATTCAGTTTTTAGTCGTCACAAAATGTGTTACTTTGTTTCAATATCGCTTAAAGCTGTCATGGATTACCCTCAATAAAGATGGAGCATTGGACATTTTTTTTGGCCTACATCTGTTGACATTAGCTCGCCTAATGAAGCGTAACGGTTAATTATATATAGCCCATTTGGACTCATAATCTGTAGCTGTTGTTTGTAGCAGATGCTTTGTAGATACCTGGCACTACGATTTACCTAAACACCCATAAATACCATCATAGCTGGTGTTAGCAGCAGATGCTTACTAGATACTTGTCACTCCGATTTACCTAAAACACCCATAAATACCATCATAGCTGGTGTTAGCAGCAGATGCTTACTAGATACTTGTCACTCCGATTTACCTAAAACACCCGTAAATACCATCATAGCTGGTGGTAGTAGCAGATGCTTACTAGATCATGGCACTACGATTTACCTAAAACACCCATAAATACCATCAAACACACCAAAACACACCCAAAAGCACATTGAATCATTGATTGGATAAGTGAGGAATATATAAAGTTGGACCAATGTAATAAATTTAGTGAATATGAAGTACATGATCATTTGAGGGGGAGAATATTTGTGTGAAATCATTGGAAGGCTTTAGCATGGTTATAGATGCATCACAAAATACTAAAATGATGGTTTATAACAATTCAATAATTGCTCTCATCTGCAACAAATAAGTATAATAATGCTACAAGATGCCACAACTCGCCTAGTGTTTTTAGGTTTGGATGAGTTCACTTTCATTTGACATCTTTTGGAAGTAGAATTTATCATATATAGATTTTAAATATCTCCTCTTTACCTCAATGCTGAATGTTCTTAAACACAAGTAGCTAATGACTGATAAGTAGGGTGTTGACCCCAGTTACATGTGCAATGAGAAAACTTTCAAATGTCATAAGATGTATATAAGCATTTTCTCTTTAGATTTGAATAATTTATCCCTCGGCAATAAAAATTGATTCACAATAGGGGTTTGACATAACAGGAATTTGAAGTTTGATATTATTGAATAATGATCTAAATCAAAGCTATAACCTGCTTTATTTCAATTTTAATTCTATGACCATGTCTTTTGCAACTCTGATTAAGAAAAACTGAATGTGGTGTATTTTGTAGCTAAATGCTGCTGTTTATTATCTTTGTTATATATCACATGTTATGTAACAGTCATATAGAAATAGAAGGTTTGGTTATTCTGACAATTAAAGAATTCTCATTGGAGTACTTCTTTAATAGGTAATACATATGCATGCTTGTGTAGATGTATTTTATATAAATTGCCTCATTTCTTTGCAATGCAGATCATAAAAAGATACCTGTAAGATGTCTGCCCTGAAATAAACACCCCTGCTCTTTGTGAAATCGAAGTATGTATCGTGGTAATGTTATATTATCAAATGGATCTGTGGCTTCCCCCTATGGCATTGTACCTGGACAGCAACAGCAGCAACAACGACCTGTCATACTGAATTCTATGTACCGATTTGGTCAACAGTCTCAACAAGCCACATACAGGTGATTATGGAGTTGCTTTTTCTTTCAAAAACTTCGGTTTTTCGGATTGGTATATCCACTTTGTAGTTGACTTTTTTAATTGCATATTATATTTAAATTGGTATCTAAACTGGTAATTCATTGATTTTCAGGACGCGAATACCCCCTCAAGCTGTTTCTGGACAGCCACTGCGCATGCCTGCTGTTCCTACAGGTTACGGTTCCTTGCCATACACAGTAAAGCCTGCCCCTCTAGTTCCGACAGTCTCAGTTAGGAGTCAGACTCAGTCCCAGCAATATAGTTCCACAGTCATTGGTGGCAGTGGCCAAGCTCAGCATTATTCTGCTGTTAGGAGTCAAACACAACAGTTTTCTACAGGACCAAAACCTACCCCAAATGTACCAATCTGTGTGAATATTTTGAACAACAATGTTGCTACTGGTGCCCCTTTGCAGCAAGCTCCTGTTGAGAATGAACAAATCCGCAGAGTGATTCTTCAAAAAGCAAACATTCATCAGAGTCCTGGAAGTAAGACAGTCGTTACCAATAAAACTATTGTCTCAAACAACACGATAATTAGAAATGATACTCATGATACAGTTGTAAGGAATAATACAATTGTTGCTAATAAGACTCTAGTGGCTAACAACACGCTTGTATCAAATAGTACACTGGTAAAAAATATCAATCTGGTGAATAATTCTCAAATTGCTGTTGCAAATCTTGCAAGCAGAACTCCAAACCTTCCACAGCAAATCAGGTATGCTAACCAGTATAATTCAGAAATTCTCAAGCAGATTGATGCGAAAAGAAATCAGTTGATAGCCCAGCGATATTACAACAGACACAGGTTTAGTCCAGCTGCAGAGAGCACCAATCAAAAGGAAAACGTAAATTTTGCCCGTCTCCAAACTGAGAAATTTCAAGGTAGTGACATTAGGGCTATTGAGGGCAGAATTTCACCTGCTAATTTGGACAGAAGTGTTTCACCGCATGGTAGTGAAAGGAGTGCTTCACCCTCAGATCCAGATCAGAATAATTCACCTAAACAAGACGACCCAAGAAGTGATTCTCCAAGTGACCCAGAACCAAGCTGTTCGTCTACTGCTATTAATAGAAGCATTTCTCCTTGTGAATTTGAAAAAGGTATAGTGTCGACAGACGAAACTGAAGAAGAGATTTCAGACATGGCATCAAAGGATTATGAAAGGCCACAAAGCAGAAACTCAAGACCAAGTTCAAGAAACTCAGATTCAAATCAGAATCGAACTTCTGGTAGTGGAAAGTAAGTTTTCTTTGTTTCCATCACAATGAACTATAAAAAGTTTGTCAAAAACTTCCAAAAATACTGTTCGTCAATCAGTTGTAATTATATATATAAAAATTCTGTATATATAAATCTGGATATGCATTCCTATTCAATGTAATGTGTAGTGGCATATTTTTGTAAATCAAGATTTTTATAACTTTGACATAAGAGAATATGTAAGTTGTGTAAATATTGCTCCCGGATGTCAAATTTCAAATGTGTGATTGCTGATTTGTTAGTTAAACACCAGTTTGAAATAAAATATATTTGATCTTTCTAAATGCTAGTATTGATTCTGTATCATGAAACAAGTAATCTGTATCCCATATCATTCTATTGTAATCGTTGAAATACCGTTGGATAATTGATGATGGCCAAGTCATCTAGTGATAGTATTGATATGATACCAGTCTTTGTTACTGGTTGATCTGCTTGTCGGTCTATACGTTGTTTGATGATAAGCTGTTGTACAAGATATCTTATGAAGACTTGATTTAGATGTAGATTAGGGATATAACTAATAGAGCATTGTCTTTTGCTGTAGAGCATATACAGTGACCAAGAAATTCATACTCTTCCTAAGTTTGAGTGAGGATTTATCTTAACCAACTCTGTGATACATTATTATGGAAAATTGCTTATTCAAACATTCAATATTGGAGATTGATCTGTTGGATAATGTACCAATACAACTTTGCATTTGCAGAAGGCGGGCAGAGTCCCCACATGGGGATGATACAAAGCGAGTTCGAGGCCTGCAGTGGGGACAGGGTGTGGATAATGATGTTGCTCATTACCAAAATCCTGCCTATGCTGGCACTACCAAGGTATTGACGTAGATATTTCTATATCTTGGCCAAGTTGTTGAATGCTTGTTGAATTGAAATTAAGACTTTGAGTAAAAAGGTCCTTCTTTGCTATCGGACATCATAGAACTTATCTTTGAAAAAAAGTATTTGTTTTATTGTTTATTCAAACACTCTTTAAAAAGTCTCTTTAATAACATTTATATATTTTGAATTGCATTGATTTTTTAATGAGTCTGAGAAATTGTATCAGTATTCCAAATATTTTAAAATTTCATCAGCAATCATAACAGGAAATTCTGAATTCATAAATAAATTACTGCTAGCCTGGAAATCCAATTTAAGGAATCCTAAGTAAAATAGCAGACTGCAAACTCTTGTTTATTTCTTTGTAAACAACAGTAGTCGGAGCTGCAGTATTTAAGAGTTATGATAATATGATGTATTCTTCACTCTAGGCAAGTCAAGATATGTTGGATTACTTCCTGAAGAATCACCAGACAGAATCAGCATTACAGAAGAAGATGGAGTTGAGAGATGCACTACTGGCAATAATTACTGCTGCTTTTCCTTGTAAGTCCGTACAGATCAATATCTATCATGATAATGCGCTGTGCCAGTCTTTGGTAAGAAGTTATATCCTTTCTTGAGAAAGGGAAGTGTTATTTACATATTACAAGCCATAGTTTATAAAGTCCAGTCTCATTATCTGGAAGACCTTGTATAATATGAAGTGTTTTGTTGGTCCCGACCAAACTTAACACTAAACATTCTCTATTATATAAATTTTAAAGGTGCAAGTATGTTATGATTTTGATTACATTTTAAATACTTTCTGATGTAACTTGTGATGTTTGTTAGAAAGTCAGATGAGAAAATTAGAGAAAATGATATTATTTATTGAACATGAAAGTATAAAATTTTGAATATGAAGTGATTATTCTGTCAATTACTCTTTATATACTGGTGCCTTCATTTATGTGAGTGTTGTAAAGATCACTCCATACTTATTGGAAATGAAATGAATATCTGATCTTGTCCCTAGATTGTGAGTTGATTTGTGTGAACATATGATATTGCTGTTTTTCAACATCAAGTGCTGGTCACAGGTCAGTGTTTTTAGGTCATCTGACCCAAAGGGTCATGGTGACCTTTAGCCATCATGCTTCATCCATTGTCTGCTGTCCACGTCCACCATGCATAAACTTTTGATATTTGAATTTCTTCTCAAGTTCCACCAATGCAATTGAGCTCAAACTTGCATAAAATGATTCTGAGTTGGTCCTGACCAAGTGTTGTTATTTTTCGGGTATGTCTGAAATCAAGGATGGCCACCATCTTGAAAAAAAAAACAATTTAGATTTCTTCTCCAGTTCCAATGGTGTCATTGACTTAAACTTGGTTGGAATGTTAAGGAAAGGTAGCCAACAAAGTGTTAATATTTTCCAACCTTGTCAAAACTTCGATAAGGCAGTCAGGAAGGCCTTTTTGTAACATGATTGCACAATCACGGTTTCCTGTGAAACACCTTCAAACTTCTTAAGTTGCACCAGTTGGATTGAGCTCCAACTGTACTGTTAAAAAAAAGTTAACACTTGTTACACACTTACCTACTCCTCACCAAAAATTAGTAAGATTTCACTCAAAGTAGAAAAAATAACCCTTCTCCCTGCTGAAAGTTTTTGTAGTCAGATAACTGTTAAGGCCTATGGGCCTCTTGTTTTCTCCTGGAACTCAGGCTTTCTTCCACCGCCTCCAAACCTGGCATGTCCTTAAATGACCCTGGCTGTTGATAGGACATGAAGCAACGAGAAATCCAAAATTTTACAACCAAACTTTTTAATTTGACAGATTGCAGTCTGTATATTGTTGGGTCCTCCATGAGTGGATTTGGAACCATGTCCAGCGACATGGACCTCTGTCTAAGTATCAGTGACCAACACGTAAGTGACATTGTATTACTGATATTTATTTCATTCATTCAAAATCAGTTTATAAAGGATTATTTACACAATTTTATATCTCAAACTGAAGAGACTGTAAAATCATGCATTTTAGTGGGAATAAAATTTTGTTAGAAAATATATATTTTTTGTGGGCATTTGATTTCTTTGTTTAACAGTATCCACTTAATGTCCTGTTCAGTAGTTTGTGAGTGTACACATGAAATCAACCAAAATTAAAACCCCACAAAAATTTATAATCTTACTGTATATGTTAACAGCTTGACTTATCAGTAACTGCTACTTTAATTTAATTTCTTAAAATAATGAACAGTATTTTTAAATATAAAATATTTCTTTGAGTCCAGGAATCTTTTTAATTTGTATTTGTTTTTATTTTCGCTTTTATATACATACTATCTATCATGCATTGATATGTTCATCATTTTTGTGTAGTAAGTTTAGTTATGCTTAGAGACACCAAATGGAAATCCTTACATTTCTTTGTACATATTGACCAAATCCTCACATTTCTTTGTACATATTGACCAAATCCTCACATTTCTTTGTACATATTGACCAAATCCTCACATTTATTTTTGTACATATTGACCAAATCCTTACATTTCTTTGTACATATTGACCAAATCCTTACATTTATTTGTACAGATTGACCAAATCCTTACATTTATTTGTACATATTGACCAAATCCTCACATTTATTTGTACAGATTGACCAAATCCTCACATTTATTTGTACATATTGACCAAATCCTCACATTTATTTGTACATATTGACCAAATCCTCACATTTATTTTTGTACATATTGACCAAATCCTTACATTTCTTTGTACATATTGACCAAATCCTTACATTTATTTGTACAGATTGACCAAATCCTCACATTTATTTGTACATATTGACCAAATCCTCACATTTATTTTTGTACATATTGACCAAATCCTTACATTTCTTTGTACATATTGACCAAATCCTCACATCCTTACATTTCTTTGTACATATTGACCAAATCCTTACATTTATTTGTACATATTGACCAAATCCTCACATTTATTTGTACAGATTGACCAAATCCTCACATTTATTTGTACATATTGACCAAATCCTCACATTTATTTGTACAGATTGACCAAATCCTCACATTTATTTGTACATATTGACCAAATCCTTACATTTATTTGTACATATTGACCAAATCCTTACATTTATTTGTACATATTGACCAAATCCTTACATTTATTTGTACATATTGACCAAATCCTCACATTTATTTGTACATATTGACCAAATCCTCACATTTATTTGTACAGATTGACCAAATCCTCACATTTATTTGTACATATTGACCAAATCCTTACATTTCTTTGTACAGATTGACCAAACAAAGGAAGCACCAGAGATACTGTACCACATTAAAAAGGCCCTGGCCAGCTGTAGTAAGATGTCTTCCTTCCTTTTGTAATGCTGACAATGCCTTCAATATGAACAAATTTAATGTTGTGGTGTTTTACACCGCTCCTTTCACGATGATGTCAGGGAAAATATATAGATTTGGTTTCCTTTTACACGAGAAACACAAATTCTGGAATATAGAATCCTCAGTCCATCATATTTATGGTCACTATTATGTTCTGAAATTGTCAACATGTTTCTGAACATAGCTAATAATTCATGAAAAAACTGAATTACATCAAAAAGTTTAATTTGTAAATATGTTTGTTGTAGTATAGGAATAAAATATAGGACCAGACCAAATCTTTGATGAATTGAGAAATTTAAATCTTCAAATTTCAATTCATAGAAGTTTGTATATTTTTTGCTTGAAGACTTATTACATGAAATTATGAATTATGAATTATATTTGTATATTAAATTGTGTGATCACTGTAATTCTGATATATAAAAATATTCAAAAGTAGTTGATATGATAAGATTTGGAAAAAACAAAGTAATCTTCCAAAATGAGTTGTAGGAATCCAGGTTCAATTTTGTTAGATGACAGTAAAATATTTGTAATTAGCTGAATATTTTTAGACGTTCCAGGCTTACTCAGTATCTCAGATATAATTTTTTTTCTGTATTTACAGCCTTTCTTAAAGATGTTGTAGTCATCAAAGCCAAGGTTCCCATCCTCCGGTTCACTGATAAAATCAGGTAAGAGTTATATCATGAATATGTGGAGGTTTTTGTGTGTACTACTCTGGAATGGAGGACTTTTTTAATGTACTGATTACTAAATAACTATGACATTTCCTTCCTATATTTAATGATATACTGTGTTTATCTTGCAACAAACTCATGCCTGGTTATAAGTATTTCATGAGCTTTTTCCAGTGCTGCAGCTTAAAACTGGCTGATTCCCCTTTTGTCCAAAAGGAAGTAAAATTGGTAATACCTTTCAAATTTTAAATATTATTATATTTTTCCAATTTACACAGACACAGGCTGCTGTAAAATTCAGGTAGAAAAAACACTGAATATTACTCATGCAGTAAAAGTACATCATGATATTTTATTGTACTTTAATGTGTTGGGCCCTCTGACTTACAAGATTTCTACAATAGTGTTTTATCCAAGCTGGTAAGACTCACCAAACTTAAATTGTCTTTTTCTCAGATATAATCTGTATATGTACATATATTGTCTATATAAACTGCGCTATAAAAAGGAAACTTGTGTATACCTACCAGACATAGACGATCAAATAAAGATGATTACAAACATTACTTTACAGTGAGGTGGAGTGCGATGTGAATGTAAACAACATTGTTGGGATCAGGAACACCCACCTACTGCGCTACTACTCACAAGGTAAGTCAGTAGAAACCATTAATATTATTTAGTGTCCTGTTGTATACAATATTGTAGAAGGATTAGCAGAATATACACTGTTGTTTTCCTGATATTTTACACATGGCAATCTCTGAATCTTATGTATCTAATATCTAATTTTATGTGACATATACTTTCCATTTAGTGAAAACAGAACTGTTCGAAATCCAACCTCTCTACAAAACAAACTCTGGAGTCATATTAACAAAGACTTGAAACAAATCATTGATAATGCATCTTACATGGTGTATTGAACATAACAATACTAATGATGTTTTTTTAACAGTTGACTGGCGGGTTCGACCTATGGTGCTGTTTGCTAAGAAATGGGCCCGTTTCCATGATATCAATGACGCCTCCAAAGCCACCATCTCCAGCTATTCCCTAAGTCTGATGATAATCCACTACCTGCAATGTAAGTGTCATTAACTCTATCTCAGGTTATTTAAGGACATATGTCTCATTACATATTAGAATGATCCCCCTTTGTTGTTAACAGGATATGGGTGCCTACACATGGTTCACTGTGGTTGAAATGCTTCAGATGGTCTGTGTATACCTGATATATGTAAAGCTCAAAATGCACATTTTCAGAATTTCCTGTCCAGCATTACACAATTAGATAAAATTAAGATACCATCCATTTCACTCATACTTTATAGTGTTCCTGGAAATATGTGATGGAGGTGATGAGCCACTTTTGTCTTTCTGTCAAGAGCCAAAATGCAGCTTATATTTTAAGACACTGACCGTGTATTTTATTTATCCTGCAACATTGATTGAAAATCAAATGGTCAATACTTCAACAGTTTTGTTGTTCAGCCTTTGTTTACCTGACATTGACATCAAAATAATTAATGTACATGCTAATATACATGTGGCAGGTGTATTTTTGACTATGGCAGTGCCAGTTGCAGGAGAAACATGTAGATGTGATAGAAAAACATACAGCTTGTAATTTGAAAAAAAGTCACATAAATATACTGAGTCTTGATGATATTTCTGAACAATGTTAACAGTCTGAGATGATATGTAAAACAGTTCGTAACATAAGCAAATCAGATGATGGGTTATTTATCCTGTAGAGCTTTTGTTTGAACATTTTGTCTGATTTCAGGTGGATGTAGTCCGCCAGTTCTACCGTCCCTACAGAAACTTCACCCAGTGAGTATTCAGATGATTAACACAAATAATTTTATCTCTGAAAGGACAACAACTTTAGCAACCAAACATGCTGAATAGCTAGATCATATACAATTTTGTAGGCATTGGGGATGTTTTTACATGGGAAATATTGCCATGATTTTATAATCTGTTGTGATGGAGGGGAGATAACTTGGGGCACAAACAATGGACAGTTAAATGGTATTGTGCCAATGTATATCTTTATTGCATTGTAATTTACTCTGTTGTTTAGTCACTTATTTGTCAACATTGTGTTACTTTCAAAATCTCTGAATCCTAGTGGGCTAATAATTTTAGACAAATATATCTTGTGTCTTTTAACAGAATAGAAGTTTGGAATACACTTGATGCACTTCTTTAGTGAAAAACATTATCTAACATCAGTTCAGGTAATGTTACCTTGTTATAGCTGAATTTTAGTTGCACTCTTTAACATAATAATGTTTTCTTTCATCAGAATTTGTTTGCAAAAAACATTGACATTCGAAACCTAAAAATGAACCATCAAATGGACTTCAAGGTGCAGAACCGGCAACCCCTTGGTGACCTGTTTGAAGGATTTCTGGAATACTTTACCTACAAATTCAAGTTTGTATCATTACTGACATAATATTGTATGATATAATTCAATTCTGCTGTCAAAGAAAGATGATCTTAGGGAATATTGTATAGAGAAAATTGATTTCTTTTCTTACTTTTCAACATGCTTGTTTTAAAAAAATGATTCAATCCTAATGGTAGTGTGCAATAAATGTACCTGCTGCTCCCATTGTCTGATTGTATGAGGCAACTAAACTTAGAACCTCCATGTTTTTCTCTTTCCCACAGATCTTTGTTTTTCTAATTTCTTCCTTAACACTGACTCAGTTTTGTCCTTCAGTTCATTGATTGCCCGTTTTAGGAAGGCCTTCAGTTCTCTCGTCTGGCCCCCTTAAATGAACTTTTGTGATTAAACAAAAACTAACATGATCTCAAGGGTGTCATGGGTGGACATGGTTTAAAGTGTCATGGATTGACATGATCTAGGGGATGTCATGGGTGGGCATGATGTTATGGCTGTCATGGGTGGGCATGATGTTGCGGCTGTCATGGGTGGGCATGATGTTACAGGTGTCATGGGTGGGCATGATCTCTAGAGTGTCTTGGGTGGGCATGGTTTAAGATGTCATGGATGGGCATGATCTAGGAGATGTCATGGGTGGGCATGATGTTGCGGCTGTCATGGGTGGGCATGATGTTGCGGCTGTCATGGGTGGGCATGAGGCTGTGTGGGCATGACAGAGTGTGGGTATGATGTCATGGATGGGTGTCTCAAGGATGAGAGGATGATCTTGATCTAGAGGGTGTCTCAAGTGAGAGGATGATCTTGACGATGTCACTTGTGGTCGGTCCTCAGGTCATGATTATTTATAGAATACATATTATTTTTTTGTGTTTCATACTTTATGAATAGAAATAAGTCATTTGTACTCAAGAATTAGGAAAATATGATAGAAAAAAAAATTGGTTGGCTGTTGAATATATGAGATGTTTTATCTGTATTTTTTCCTTTTGTTTTTAGCTATGACCGCGATGTTATTAGTGTAAGATTAGGTGCTTGTATGACAAAGAGTCTGGCTGTTTGTCAAACCGGGGATGATAAAAGCTGGAAACATCTGAAGATTGAAGGTAAATATGGGTTGTTTCCTCTCATTTACTTGTCTTATGTTGTAAGTACATGTAATTTTATGACTCTTCACTTGGATGAAAACTGACATAGCCCATAGATTATGTTGGATTGGAATAATTGATGTCATGAATTACCAAACATACACATTGTATTTTCATTTTGTCCTGCTCTTGTAAATGTACATTTAATGTTCTGCTAATGTAAATGGCATGAACAAAATTAAAGCTCTGTTCAGTTAAATGTTAGATTGGTTGTAAATGATATGTGGTCTTTTTTGTGACAGAGCCATTTGACTTTACCAACACTGCAAGGTCTTGTTATGATGCGAACATCTTTGAAAGAGTGAAAAGAGTCATCCACGTAAGTCATCGAAAGCTGAAGCAGACTGGGAAGATGGCATCACTTTTTGAACATCCGTTTTGATCCTGGAGATAAAACTGAAGAATTATTCTCATTTATAAGCAAAATGGACCAACTTGTGTTCAAATTTCTGCTCTGAAACTCTATAAGTCATCATTACTGATTGTAGAGAAATCTAGAAGTTAAGGTCAGAAATGATTAGGAGAGGAAAATTGAGAAACTTGTGGTCTAGACTTATGAGGGGGAGGGGGGAACCCGTAAATGAAGAAATGAATGTCAACTTTGCTTTGTATGCTGTAATAAGTCTCTGTTGCCCAGGGAAGGATAAAGCAAACATTGTGTTTTTGAAAGTGAAGAGTGCTTTAAATAATTGGGCTTGTTTTGGGAAGCTTAAGTGAACCTTTATTTTCGCTTAAAATGAATTATGGAATGTGATAGAAGCTGAAGCTTAACTTTACCCTAAAAAAGGATGAGCTCTTTGAGCAAATTCAGCCCCACCTTCATCTGACAGTGATAAGCATTCTGTCGGGAACAGAATAGTCTTCAGTGCAGCCAATGTGTGATGACCTAGTCTAACTGACTCTAGTATATCCATACCAAGCATGGATATGATGCTGAGAATAAGTTTGTGGTTTCAGTGATCATATTGTGTATAAATTTCTGAACTGAACCAGTTGCACTAGATTTGTTAATACGACAAAACTGATTCAGGCAACTTCAGAGTTACACACCCAAGTGTAAGCTAGATGTATGACCGAGGAACTGTAAGAAGAGGGGACAATAAAACCCCACATAAATACTATACATCGACGTCATCTTCCAATGTTTCAAGTTGCGCAGGTGACACAAGCTAATTTTTGCTTCAACTTTCCCAGAAATATTTAATTTTGAACATTTGTAATGCAAAGTGTTTTCTCAGTTTACAGTACAGTGTTGTTTTCTGTGATGGTACCTGGAACTCCGTTGGATATTGGTATGATAAAATAAAGTTTGAATTATCAATGTAATACATGTACCCCGTTTTGAAGTAATGTTTCCTTAACAAAGTGTTATTGTACATTTACTTGGATGATTGACTGTCTTGATTTTATTGGTGTGTTGGATAACTTGTGATCTGGTGTCCGCAGTTTTTATCAGTCAATAATATCGATATGTGGTATTGGGGATACAGGTACATATAGGTAAGGACATAGATACATAGAGAATACAGGTACATGTTGGTGACGCAACAGGTACATAGTGAAATACAGGTACATGTTGGTGATGATACAGGTACATAGTGAAATACAGGTACATGTTGGTGATGATACAGGTACATAGTGAAATACAGGTACATGTTGGTGATGAAACAGGTACATAGTGAAATACAGGTACATGTTGGTGATGAAACAGGTACATAGTGAAATACAGGTACATGTTGGTGATGATACAGGTACATAGAAAATACAGGTACATGTTGGTGATGCTTGTATAAACCTGTTCCTACATGTATGACCAATAGAAAAGGGACGCAAAGATATATGTACATTTTGATGAATGGTACGATGTAAAACTTAGACTCTTTTTTTCAATAGAGAAATCAGACAATAGGTACTACTCGAAGCTATTTATAATGGTGCAAGGATATATACATATAGAATGAATATTTTTATGTAGTAGAGAAGTTTACTATTAGTAACCCTAAGTATTACTGTACAGAGTGTTGTATGATAATTTATAGATGCCATTGATTTAGTGTTAAGATAGAGAAAAGTGAATAAAGTTGTATGTTAGATGTTTATAAAACTTACCAGTATATTGATGTTTATGAGAGTATGAATCCCACTTTCTGTTGAACCTTACTATACAATAAGTAAGGATAACATGGCATTTATTTGACAATTTCATTCCTTACTTATGCACAGTCCTGCATTTTCCAGGCATACTCAACCGCTGTCGTTTTGAGAAAAAAATTTCATTAAAATTTCATTCAGATTTTTAAGTGGAAGTTCTCTGTTTCCATGTTTGCTTTCATGTGTTCAATATTGATACTATGTGTATTTTGTGTTAAGACAGGATGTTGTGTTGGAGTATTCTGTCGTAGAGTGAGAATACATACTAGAAAAGCCAATCATGTATACAAGTTTATAAAGTTTTTCAGTTGTAGAGTGAAACACTTTTGTCTATGTAAAACTTCTGTAGAAACTGCATTTGATATTTCATCACATTTCTGTTTTTAATCTTTTTAAAATGTATGTAATCTGTAAATGATAAGATTTTCTGTTGTACATTTGATTTCAGAAAGATGGGTAACATATACAAATACCACCTCTAGTGTATGATAAAAATGTAGATTTACTGTTAATACAGGTACCAGGGGTACATCATGATCATTTGTTTTGAGATAGTGTTGTTATTCGTTGTCATGTTGAGTTTGCCAAGCCAGTTGACCATGGAAATGACAAATACCTTAAGTCTTTATGAGGTAAACATTTAGTAATACTGTTTGTCTACATTTAGATATTTTTAATTACCCGACACTTGTTTCTTTCATTATCTGGCGCATACGATATGTGTATGAACTTTTCTACTGAAATTTGCTTGATTGCTGGACAAGTAGTGTAGTTATGGCTGGTCCAGACTTTACCTTTCGGGTAATTATAAGAAAAGAAGTAGCGTATGATTTAAGAATAGCAGAATTTGTTGAGGTAAAGGCTTGAAGAAAAAGTATCAAGCATGATGTTAGAAGCTGTGTGTGAATACTGGTCCATTCAAAGTAGTCATCAGTATCAATATAGTCGATATGAAAGGGAAATCTTGTCTGGATGATAAACACGTCTCATTGACAAAATAAATTTGTCAAGGTGTATCGTTAACATACAGCAGTGTTATCTACATGTGCTCTGTAATCAATAAGGTCACTGTAATCTACATCTCAATGCCTGAAATTTTGGATGATACATAAAAGATTATCGGACAAATATTTGACAAGGAAGATTTTTGTGTGCATTATTTTTTACTGAAGTCAGTTTAATTTATTCTCATAAAAGATAGGTGAAGAAAGTAAACAAAAAATTCTGTTGTATACTATCTAAACAAATTCATTTCAATGTGATGAGATAATTTAGGAATGTGACAGAAATCAATTGTTTGATCATTTTTGAATGAAGTTTATGTGTCCAAGTTACTCCTTAGTGTACACTCTTTCTGCCCAAAGTTTTATCACCAAATTTACAAGGCTATGATCAATGGACAAGATTGATTGATTTAAACTACTTTAATTACATCAAAGATTGCCATGCCGAAGGCATAGATAAAGAGTAGTCTAGAGTGTTTATTTTTGTTCATATTTAAAAATTCTCGTTCAAGTTGTTAAAATTAACTGTTTATTTTTCTTTTTCTTTACTGTTAGTACATGCATTGATAAAACTGAATTAATTATGCACACTTTACTCCTAAAATTACATTGGAATTGATTGAAAATAGTTCTTAGATCTTTTCAGGTTGTAATTACGAGGAATGAGAATTTACAGTCTTTTTTATCATTACGTCTATATTTCCTATAACAGTTTGAAGTGAGGATGACTTGTTTCAGTTTGAATCTGGTTATGAATGTTGCAAAAAAAAAAAAAAATATCATTCACCTATGATTATTTAAGCAGACCGAAGGTCTAAAAAGTATATATTAGTGTTGTGAATGTGTTGTATGTCAAAACTGTAATGCAAGTAGTTTGTAATGTGTACATTATCCCATTACATGTGCTCCAAAAATATCTATTCATTTACAATTTTCTTTTATTCGATTAATTGTAGTTTTATTTATAGTTAAGTGTATTCTGTACTTGTGTTAAAAACTGGGGCTGATTTTGTTTCTGATCATGGCAAGTATTCATGAGACCATTCTCATGCTTAAAGATGGATTCAAGTGAAAGTCATTTAATCTGTAAAGAGGTTGATTACATAAACCAAATGCCGACTTAATTTCTTCTTACTGTTTTTATTCTCGGAAAACATTTCTAATAAAAGAAAACTGAAGCTAAAATAAAATCCATATTGTGTCAGATTGTAATATGGTAAATAAACTGGATACTTAATTGATGGTGTTTCCACTGGATACTTAATTGATGGAGTTTCCACTGAATACTTAATTGATGGTGTTTCCACTGGATACTTAATTGATGGTGTTTCCACTGGATACTTAATTGATGGTGTTTCCACTGGATACTTAATTGATGGCGTTTCCACTGGATACTTAATTGATGGCGTTTCCACTGGATACTTAATTGATGGTGTTTCCACTGGATACTTAATTGATGGTGTTTCCACTGGACACTCAATTGATGGTGTTTCCACATACAACAATATTTCTGTCAGATCAATGATTGAAATTACCACTTAATTTTTTTTCAGTAATTAAGACTTACAACTTAAAGACTTCATATTTTGATTGTCACATGATTTTAATTAGTTGTAAGGAATCAAGTTCAAAATCCATGTTTGAGAATGAGAATGATTTTAAAAATACAGGTTGATTTCAGTCTCACTAATGTGTTATGATCATGGGCTCATGTTTTGAATTACAAATTTATTGTTTTCAAACTTAAAGTTAAAATGAAAACATTCTTTTCCATGGAGGTATAGATCAACTCAACTCAGTTCTAATTGTTGATACTGCCAAGAAGAAAATCTTTCCAAGTTTCTACTTTTTAACAATAACAAAAACAAACAAACAAAAAATTAGGAAACCTATGAAGATTTTTCCTTCAATTTTGTTTTCGTTTTATGAGGCAGGAGTGAGTCAATGATTATATTTTATTAAGAGTGGTCAAAGTAGATTGTACTGATATGGTACTCCAAATATATATTAATAAATGCTCTCTAGATTTTATTTGTAATGAATTTAGATATCTAAACCAGAAACTGCATACAATATTATACAGGAAAGAAAAATATTTAGATTCAGGAAGTTCTGTTTATTGGTACTGAAACTCAACTTCAGTTTGTGTCCCAGCTGCCCAAATTCACCTACTACCAAACAGCAATAACATCAAAATATCTTATGATTATTACACGAGAAACTCGCTAAAGTTAGTGATGTTAGGACAAAGTACTGACCAATAGGATCATCAATTTTCCTTCAGGCTTTCCTCCACCTGGCACGTCCTTAAATGTCTCTAGCTGTTAAAAGGATGTAAAGCAATAGTAAGCTAATCTAAACTGGGTTGTATTTTCAAACAGTCCTTGTGAGGATAAGTTCAAGAACAGTGCTTTGAAAGCCTAGGTAACATTGGTTGTCTAGTCTGATGATGGTGGGCTATTCAAATTGCTCTGCGTCTATGGTCCGTTTGTCCATAAACAATTTTTGTTATCGCTATTTCTTGAGAAGTATTGGATGACTCTTTCTCAGATTGCATATGTAGGTTTCCCTTGGACCCTTGTTGTGCCCATTGGATTTTGGGTCTGATCAGAAAAACAAAATGGCCAAAAGGTGGCCATCTTGGATTTTTTCAATGAAGTTTGTTATTACTATTTCTTGAAGTACATGATGGATCTTTCTTAAATTTCATATGTAGGTTCCCCTTGGTCCCCTTGAGAACTACATAGACCTTTCTCAAATTTCTTGTATAGGTTCCTTTAGGTCCCTAGTTGTGCCTGTTTGAGTTTGGGACTGATATAAAAAAAACAAAATGGCCGAAGGCAGCCATCTCTCAAATTTCATATGTATGTTCCCTTTGGTCTCTCCTTGTGCTCGTTTGATTTTGGAACTGATCAGAAGAAACAAAATGGCTTCCAGGTGGCCAGTTTGGATTTGGCAGGTGAAGATTATCATTGCTATACCTGCAAAGGAATGTTTGAATGTCTTACCATTAAGAGCAAAAACAGAGAAGAGAAAAGAAGGGAAAAGATCCAACTTTCAAAGAGCATATACCTGATAAAGATCAAACAATGGTTGGTACCAAGATCCCTCTTGGATCTTTTGTTACAATAAATAACAACAGACACCAAGTTTTAACTGCATGTAACCCCATTTCCAGTATAGTGTTATTTTGTTGTTTGATTTTCACAGTAAACAACAATAGACACCACAAGTCTTTGATCATGTTTGACCCTATTACTAGTATAGTGTTGTTTTGTTGTTTAGTTTTTACAGTAAACAATAGACAACAGCAGTCTTTAATCACATTTGACCCTGTTACCTAAATAGTACTGTTTGTTGTCATAAATTTCACAGTAAACAACAATAGACAACAGCAGTCTTTAATCACATTTGACACTGTGACCTTTATAGTGCTGTCTTATTTTCCTAGTAAACGACAGATACTACCATTTTTTTTTTATTACATTTTACTCTGTTACCAGTATAGTGCAATTGAATTTTCCCACTAAACAACAGACACAATCAATCTTTGATCACATTTAACCCTGTAACCTGTTTAGTGCTATCCATCACCCAGCACCTTAATTCAACAAGTCTGTTTATTTCTCTTTCTTTTTTCTTAGTTTCAAAAACACAAATTCAGAAATATTAAACCTACCTTCAAACTTTTTTTCTTCCTTTTAAAAATTTGTGGAAACAATTTCTTTATGATACATCGAACCCAATATTTGGAAAGTTATTTATATATGCATACATAATCAGTGACTTTTATCATTTCCCTACCCACATCCTAAATTGGATACAGGTTCAGATATCCAGATTTTCAGACAATTTATTTGAAAGGGAAAAATTCCCTCAGATGAGATAGCCTTTTACGGAGTTTTGTTTACTCTCTATAATTTGCGATGTGGTTTGTCTGGCATGAGAAATGATTGAAGTTGTCGTGTTGACTTATGTAGTCTGTATGTAGTTAAACATGGTGTATTTCATCCTGAAAATGTCTGTATACCTCATATCAGGCAATTGTATTATCTGCAGTGATAAACTCATTGGAAATAAATATTTTTTGTTACTTTTGAATCCAGTTATTTGTTGACCTATGTAAAAAAGCATTCATTGAAGTAAGACTTCAATCTTGAGATATTTTCCAAAATGTAACAAGTTAAATGAAAACAATGAAGTATTTTCTGAATGTTTACTGGATATAATTGAGTGGGACCTTTTGGCAAATCCTTTAAAACCAACAAGGAAGATTTGCCAGAGAGGTATCTCACTAATATAAAGACTATAAGTATATTCAGAAGATACTTATATATTGAAATTACCAATGTCATTTTGGGCGATATCAATCAGGCGAAATCTTGTCAATCCGGTGATGCTACAGACTCATGGAACGATTCCTACACCCTAATAACGTCACAGGACCAGTTGTAATTATAGTTTCATTATTACATTGTTTGTCTATCGCTGGAAGAATTGACAATGGCAGGCAAATGCAAATACGTTGGCTTCATGTTAACAGCTCAGTAATCTAGTAGATAATTTATTTCGCTGGCTATCTCTTACTTTTAACATTCTGTACAACTGATACTTAATTGTGTATGAACCATGCTGGATTATTTGTACTTGTCCAGTATAACAATGTTTGATTTCTGTACTTTGTCTTTTCCATGCTGTTTACCAAAGTCATCTGAGACAAAGAACCAAGTGACCTATTTGACCACAGGATCATAACACATTCTCAGGGACGTGTTAGGAAAACCATGTTACCAAAAGTCATTAATCAGCAAGTAGCTAAATAAGGTAGAGACTTTGTATGTACAGTGCATGTTCCACTTCTGAACCAACTTCCATGTTAATGAATGGTTTTGAGTGAAAAAATAAACCTGATATTGAACCAAACATTCCACTGGGATTCTTGCTCTCTAAACCCTTTTCAGATGACTATAGAGCCCAAGTTGCATGGAATTTATGAGGTCACAGTGGAAACAATGAGCTCCTTCAAAGTTTTCCAATTTACAGTCACAGGGGTCCAATATTTTAGTTGGAATGGACCAAGGAAGGTTGTCCTGTGACACAATGGTAGAGATGATAAAAGATATTAACAGTAAATGATGGGACAAAGGAATGAACTATAAAGTTTCTGTTTCTTAACAAACAGTAACTATACATAAGATAAGATGAAGAACACAAACCTCAGGTTATGTTAGCTTGATAAGATAGAAGAAAACATAATGAAACCCGTCATATTCAACCAGCTAAAATGAAAAATAACTGGCTGAAAGTCAATTTCATTTTCTAGTAGATTTCTCATTAGTTTAACACATTTATCCTTGGGCAACTCATTCAGTGACCTTGTAGACATGGGTCTATAACTACTTTATATGAATTTTCTTATCATTTTACATATAACCTGGTCAATGTCACATACAGAGGTTTTTTTTCCCTCAAATGTCTTATTTACGTAGGAAAATCAAACAGAAGAAAGAGAACATTTTTTTTTTCAAAATATTCACGATGTGAAAAGTTTTTAATATTCAGTTTTGGCACAACGTTTTACAATGAGGGTAACATTACTTTGCATTAAAATCCTCATAAAAAGTGATACCATCTTCAAAAACGCGACAGAAATATACTGAGTTTCCAATATTGTATGTTTTCAGTGGTAAATATGAAATACCAAGGCACTGTCTCATGATTCACAAATTGACAACATGTATTTTCACAGAATATCATTTAGCTTGCCACCACATACAAAATGTATTACACACATTCAGTTTAATAAACGCTCAGAAAAACTGCAGAGTATATATCGATGAGAAAATTTATGCCATTAACTAAGTGTATCATTCTATTTCTATAAACGATGAAAACTACTTGTGTTGAAGTTGATAAAAAAATTTGGGCATAATAGGATTGTTTTTTGAGCAGTTAAAAATCTATCTATAATCTGACTCGCTATTCAATTTCAATTAATTAAAACTTTATAAAAAAAAATGCCTTTTTTAAAAAGTGGTTGATTTGTCCTGGAAATTCTGTAATATGATGCATAAAAAATAATTTGAATAAAAAGCCATGAAATTAGTGTTGAAAAGCTACCAACAAAATTTAACTTTTTGTGGATTTTAAACATTAAAAGTTAAAAAGATATCAAAAAAGTTATAGTGCATATTTAATATACATTGTACATTAAAATAATTAGAATAAAACATATATACATCAGGAATTTTCAACTAGCACTGATCATACACAACATTTAACATCTCAACATACCCACAAAATAATTACTTTAACAGGTACCTCAAGCATTTAACCACAATTTTTAGACCAATATCATGCAAGAAAACCAATCGATTGTTGCTTTCAAGGTTCCAGCTTGATAGAGTTATTACACTGAAATCAAGGTCCAAAATAGCATTCAAAGGAAGGCAAGCCTACCCTCAGACATAAGCATTTGATATAGCCATCTTCATATACAGCTGGGCAAAGGAGAACATTCAATATTAATGTCCGTTCTGTTTACTTTTTAATGCATAACAATGTTCAGTAAAAACAATGTGGAATAAATTTCATCATTAAAGAAATCAAGATACCCAATCATTAAAACAATTTATCACATAAAGCTGTTTGACGGAATCCACATACAGGTTGTTGAAAATGTTGGCCTCAATTTGTAGTTGCACAAGTTATTTTCACGCCCTAAAAACTTGTAATCATTCACAAAATTTCATGGATTTTTTACAGTGCTGAATTTTTAAAAACAAATTCATGAGTAATAGTTGTTACACCAGTATTTAAAGGCTACATCAAAATAAGAAATTATTTATCATTCTATAAAACCGCCTTTAAAAATAGATCAATACATGACTCACTTCATAACTGGTAAAAATGATAAACAGTATATACCGGTATGTCAATTGATAAGAGAGTGGGGAAAAACATTTCAATTTTCACCAGCCTGAGAGATAAAAGTAATATTGCACATTAACTATACCATTTTGAAACAGTTTAAAATACTTTCTTCCATGGAAAAAGACACAGACATTTTAGTTAAAACATATCTTAACCTCACTAATCACATTCTGTAAACATGGACTTCAGCAGGATATGCCCAGGGCATATCTTAACCTCACCAATGATGTGGCCACACTAACTTTCTGTAGGTATGGACCTCAGTAGGATACATCCAAGGCATATGTAAACCTCACTGGTCAGATTTTTAGGTGGGGACTTTTGTATGAAATTCTTAGCTTGTGCATTAACCTCACCAGTCACATTCTGTATGCGTGGACCTCAATATGATATAACATAGTCCTTAGTCTGTAAATGGTGACACATACAGTTATATGTCAAAACAATCACTGAGGCATTTTCCAGGAAACTTTCCTCTCAATAATTGTTTTTCATACATTTACATATGAATTAAGGATTTTTCCACTGAAGATCTAAAATGTGATTTGCCCAATTTTCTACTTATGAACATAGTCATATCTGTATCTTGGGTGACCATCGTATGCCATTAGCTGTCCATTAATGAGTGACTGTATCATCCACTCAGTCGATACCACTGGTAATCCAAGCTGCTTGGTGCGACGTAGGACTGCGTTCGAGCATGTGTTGTCCGTCAGAATAACATTAACTGAAACAAAATATGATGATAACGTGAAACTTAAAACAGGTTCACCAGATAAGTCAAGTAGTAATACAATGTTAGTGTGGATTCAGCAATGCAGGCCTAAAAGGTTCTGCTTTGTGACTTTATATGTGCATAGAATATATTTTCAATAAATATGACACAAATGATTAAAATCAAGAAATACCTTCCAAAGATTTGGAATAAATGTTCAACAAGGGGCCAAAACTAAGGTCAAAAACATACATCATTCTAAAATACTATCCATTCTATTTAATGAAAACTTAGATTAACAAGATGTGTTTATGACACACAATGCCCCTGCTTGAAAGAAAACAAAGGTATAGTCACAAGGAACACATGCCAAATATGAAAGCCCTACCTCTTACGGTGCAATATTTATGGCCAATATTAAAATTGTACAAATGTAGGTCAAAGGTCACTGTCTAGGTTAAAAGGTCAAAAATTTTAGTACCATGGAAAGGACTTGTCACAAGGAACACACATGTCAAATAGGAAAGCCCTACATCTAATTGTGCAATAGTTATAGGTAAGGTTAAAGTTGACAACAGACAGCACAAAATTAATATGCCCCAATCTTTCGTTCTGGGTGCATAAAAAACAGATATAACACATGTAATTTATGAAAACAAAATGTAACATACAGAAAGATGTCGTTCATTTCGTTTTTCTGATCACAAACAAAATCAAACTGTCACATCTAGGGACAAAGGGAAACCTTCAAATGAAATTTTAGAAAGATCCATCCGGTACTTCTGAAGAAATAGCTATAACAAACTTTGAAAGTCAAAATCAAAGACGGCTGCCTATCGGCCATTTTGTTATTTTGATCAGTCCCAAAATAACATGGGCACAACCAAGAGACTAATGGGAACCTACATATGAAATTTAAGAGATCCATCTCTTATTTTTCAAGAAATAGCGATAACAAAATTGTTTACGGATAGACTCCGGACGTAGAGCGAATTGAAAAGCTCAACATCTGATGATTACCAAGGATTTCAAAACTAGTAATGGTGACCTTGACCTTGTGTGTGTTAAATACTTATTATGTGCACATGTATTTGTTCTAGGTATCCATCCAGTATACCTCTGTGATCACGATTCTGTATTTTAGTTTCGACTTCTCCTCCAGCTATTCTGACAATGGTTGACCATTCCTCCCTGAACCGTGTGCTCTGAGATTCCACCAGGAACCTCATGTTGACTAATAGATTACCCGTTGGTTTCCTGGCAATACAATCAGAACACTGCACAGAAAACTTATCAATAAAATAGATACATATGACAGGCAGTGTTGCCAACTCATCAGGTCAACCTCAAACTAGCTATATTATGACCTTCTGAAAACAAGGAAAATGCTAGAATCATCTATATGTTTTGCTAATGATCAGTATTATCAATCTGAAGATCAAAATATAATATAACATCAAACATCATCTAAATATATACAGATGTGATAACTAAGTATACAAGTCAATTGCAACAGGTTCGGATAAGTTGATTTTTTATTAGTGTGAAATGTCTACCGGTTTCGCCCGAACAGTGGGCTTCTTCAGGACCTGAAGTAGCCCACTGTTCGGGCGAAACCGGTAGACGTTTCATTCTAATAAAAAACCAACTTATCCTGAACCTGTTGCGATTGACTTATATACTTAGTTTCCGCTATTCTTCAATCGCCCTGCATACCGGGTGGTATCCGGGCAAGGGATATGAAGAACCAACGGAACCTCAATAAGAATTTACGGTGTTGGCTCTACCCCTGGATTTCTATACAGATTTTGTGATAACTATACAAAGTCATTTTCCTTGATGAACTTTTGATGCAACCTTCCTTTCATCCTAGATTTTTAAAGAGCTATGATCAGATATTATATGCTTTGAGGTTGACTACACTGACATGTATCAATAAAACTTTCGTTTGGTAACAATGAATTGTAAACAAGATATCTTCAGATAAAAACAAAAAGGTTCAATGGTCAGCTTCCTTGTCTAAAGCTGATCTGGATAAGATTATATCTAAGATTTGTGAAATCATTTGTCAGCTGGAGACAGGGTACGAATTAAATGGCAAGAAAGAGAAGAAATGGTAAGCCTTGATTTGTCAACTCAAATTTGTTCAAATCACCCTTTCTCATTCCAAAAGAGGATGATAAGAGTTAATTAATCTCACCCAAAGAGGATGACAGAGTCTATTTAATCATAAATTATTTTCTTTACCATTCTATCAGTTGTCTCTTCTCTAAACTGACACCAGCTGGTAGTATGTAGGCCTTGTGGTCCAGTAGTTTGTCCTGTTAAAACAATGGTACCTGATGTCAAACTGTTGCAGATTTAACCTGGTTTCAGTTAAGTTTATTTCATTATTCTGTCCAAATTTAAGTTTTCTACAAAAGGGTCCTTCAGTGAATTAAAATCACCCAATGACACACCACCTCACCAAGGTAAACACATGCCCCAAGTATGAATTTCCAGTGACAAGTAGTATAGAAAATAGAGCCAAGATAATCTTTCTCTTAGATGTAGGTCAAAGGTCAAATTGTTTATCAGTGACCTTGTTATGATACATATCACATCGCCTCACCAAGGTGAAGCCATTCGTAGGCCATGAAATAATTGATTTTCTCTCACAGGTTCATTTTTAAGGTATCGATTTGAAGCAACTATTTCAATCCTTATATTCTAGGTTGTTTTTAATGTCAATTTCATTCTTTCACTGACAGAAAAAAACAACTAGACAATTATGATGGGTTTACATGACATTTGCATTATGTGAAAGAACATGTCGAAAAATTGGTAAATTCTAGTTCCTACTACTGACACTAGAGGGAGGTACGAGAAAACTGTCATATAATCCACCAATCAGAAAGCAGTATGAAACAGCAAGGTCATAGCATAATGCAGAGAATTTAAAATCAAATGTCAAATGTCTTTGCATGAAAAGTTGTAAAAGTAAACTCAGCCAGCATCAATTATAATGAAAATGTCAAACAAATTATAGGTAGGAGGCTGTTGGTTTCTATAGAATCCAGGAAACTTGTATTAACCTTATCACAAAATTAACATTTTAGTGTTGAAAGTGTGAAATAGATGTCTAGCAAAGGCTACTACAGAGCTTTTCAGTTTTCTACAAAAATATCTATCCCGAATAATGATTGTTTACTTCTGAATAGCAACCATTTGCCTCTAATGTTTACCTCTGATTTACAACCATTTAAACCTGAATAACAATCAATTTTTTCTGAATAACTATCATATACCCTTAAATAACACTCATTTACCTCTCAATAACAACCACTTATACCCGAATAACAAACACTTACCTCGTAATAGCAATCATATATCCAAACATGTGACAGACACGGAAGTCCTGCTGCCAAACACTGGAAATACTTGACAGTTCTCTGATAGGTATCTGACAGTAATATACACTGACGAGCTGATGACACCTGTTAACATGTGATGAAAGGACTAATTTGTCAAGTTTGAAATTTAATCAATTTTTCAGAACCATAGGATACTACAAACAAGCTTATTTAAGCACAATCAAATTTTTTCCACAATATACAGTTTAAATAAATAATTGCAATGATTGATTTGCACATTCACATTAAATGCTATATGAACAATAAACAGAAATTGCAATTAGTAACAAATAAATCTTGAAATTAGTAACAATATGATATTGAAATTAGTAACAAACAGAAAATTGAAATTAGTGCAATCATGTCGCATGAAAAAGCACTATTATACTGTAATATCATCAATTTTTTTTTATTTTCATTGGTTTTGTAGATAGTGTTAATCCACACATTTACATATCCCTGAACTGTTAAATTTACTGATAAAATCAAGAGTCCATGAAATAGGATTTTTTAAAACAAGAGGCCCATGGGCCTTAGTGGTCATCTGACATGAAATACAAGATTTCAAATTTTGAACTTGAGAAGAAGTCGTAAATGTGTTTTCAAGATGGTGGCCATGTTGGATTTCGGACCAACCCGAAAAGAACAAACTTTGGTCAGGATCATGTCACGATTATTTCAGGTAAGTTTCAGCTCAATGAGACATGTAGAACTTGTGAAGAAGTTGAAAATGTTTACAATGGACAACGTAGGCCGAACAACCGACCTAAAAATCAAGAAAATTGAGCCCCATAAGAATATATGAATTAGTAAGATAACCAATAAAATATGTGCAATCACAGTAATCAAATTTATCTAGACTCGGCAAAGTCATTAATCAATGCAAAGCCGACATGGTAAGTCTTTCTTCACAAAGACTTCCTTATTCTAATATTTTATAAGGTTGGTTGACAGATTTCTGTCACTTTGACAACCCTCGTGTCTGGTTATCATCTCACAGACAAGCATCAATGTTCTGGCGACCTTATTTAATAAAAAAATTCCATAGGCTTGCATTTACTCTATATGAGCATATCCAGTACACTGTTTGATACAAAGGATTTCAAAAACATCATGGCTTGATGTAATTAATCAATAGATTTCATATCTATCTGACTGTCAACAGAAATTAATTCTTGTTTATTTAAAGAATGAAAATAATAAAATTAGAAGGCCCATTTTCATATGTTTGTTTGCATGATTTATTGGCCCAGTTAGGGTCACTGTGATGTGAAGTCTCCTTGTATTAGCTGAAACTACCTCATTAAACAACTAGGTGGCGACTATTTGCTTTCCCCCACCCCCAAATTTTTGGGGAGCACAACAACATATCAGAGGCCTGTCACATGTCATTCAGAACAAAATTGGGGTCAAATGTCATGCCCAGGTACTTGAGTATAGCAGCACAGATAAGTCTGTTACTCAGCTTCCTGAGAACAAAAACCGCCATGAATAGAGAGCATTCAACCATGTGCCTTGGCCCTTCATCTGAGATTACCCAAGCCAACACTCTACCATCTGAGCTATCATGGCCCCTATTTTCATGTTTTTAATGAATATTTACATACTGTGTTACACTACAAAACAATCAATTACACGGCACCAATTTAAAATCCTCTGTTTTACACATCAGTTATTAGGCAATGGAAATACTCCTTATATTGGTTGTGAACATATTAAACACTACATGTTAATTTATACCTCAGATTCACTGTACTTTTCCAATACTATCCCACCTCCATTTTCTATCTGGGTCTTAAGCTGGTTTTTGTCAAATGGTATTGCCGGCTCATCTGTAAAGTGATGTGTTTATAAAATGTACTTAAATTAATTAAAAAAGCGTTTTTTCTTTAGATATATGGAGAAAATAAAAAAAAATTTGAAAAATAAATTCAACATTTATGTACACATGATAATATTAAGGAAGTTAGGAGAACTTGCTGCATATTCTCTGTACTTTGTATTCTTTTGTATCTAAAGTAATTTTTATGATTAAGAATTCTGGATGTTTTGACTCAATAGAGTTATGTTTGAAAATGTACTGTTTTTGATAACCAATTTTGAAACCACTAATAAAACATTGATTTGAATAGATATACTACAACCATGTGAAACTTTTGTACTTTGTAACATAACTTAGTCCTGACCATTTGAGCTACTTTCATCAGTAGAAACATCAAGCGAGTCCTCTAGTAGCATCTTCTCTTCTTCCTTCTGTTCTGACTTCTTGCCAACGTGAGTCAACATGAACACCATCCCCTTGAATAATGATGTCTTTAGTCGTAACCTGGCTTCCCTGTCACTGTGAAACAGACCTGGAAACCAAAGTACAATGTCATGGTGAACAGATTTTCAGTCAAATGAAGCGCAATGTTGTCACAGTCAATAGGTGTCCAGTCAATATCGTACATACTTACGAAGGAAACTGGCAAATGAAAAGACAGACAAAAATTGTAACTACAATTCAAATCAGAGACAATACCAGTAATTATTTTCCAGCTTATTCATAAAAGCTAGCTAAACTGCTCCCACAGAAAACAGGAAATATAATTCACTTAATTTTAAAGATATTTTGTCTGTAATTTGTGTCATCTACTATCTGTGGCCATTTACCTGAGATAACTTACCAATTCTTGCTTTTCTGGGAGATCGCCTTGGTGTCACAGGAGAACTGACTGCAGCACCTACAGGGCTGGCATCTAAACCTACAACTGAAGAAAGCAAACACCATGATGGCAATAACATCAAAACAGCCTTCTGTACAATATAATTTCAATTTTATTCAATATATACATGGCAATAGTGTAAATCAAAACTAAAATATATCCACTATGCAAACATGTTCATGGTTTTCTGCAAATAGTAACCTTTACATTGGAACTCTGAAACACAAACTTATTCAATATGTTTGATCACAGATAACATTTGTTTAAAGATGTTGAACCTGTTTGATGACCATAAAGAAAAGAAGTTGAAAAAGTGATTACATGAATTCAGAGACCACAAAGAACCGTAACTCTGTTTAAAATAAAGAGTATATATATCATTAAGTAATGTACATGATAACAATAATAATTTAATAATAAACTAAAATGTTGAATTTTATGAAATGCATGCAAAAAAAGACAAAATTGCTGAATTGACAGAAGAATTTTTTATATTTATATATCATAATATACATATATATTTACTATTGTAAACATTGAATAAAAGGAAACAAACAATCCATTTTAAGTTCAATTGGAATTTAATGTTAATTTTGCAACTATTTCACATAAATGAACACATGGACGTATTTGTAACAACATGAAGTCACTATAAAGTCTTTCAACACTTCATTTTTCACTTAAATTTGCAAACACTCATGGAGACAATAGGTGCATTCTTAAGTTTGATATATTACCTGTAGTCCTCAACCTGTTCACAGAGACTTTAGCTGGAGTATAAAGACTGGTACATTACCTGTAGTCCTCAACCTGTTCACAGAGACTTTAGCTGGAGTATAAAGACTGGTACATTACCTGTAGTCCTCAACCTGTTCACAGAGAGTAAAGCTGGAGTATAAAGACTGTTATATTACCTGTAGTCCTCAACCTGTTCACAGAGACTTTAGCTGGAGTATAAAGATTGGTACATTACCTGTAGTCCTCAACCTGTTCACAGAGACTTTAGCTGGAGTATAAAGATTGGTACATTACCTGTAGTCCTCAACCTGCTCACAGAGACTTTAGCTGGAGTATAAGGATTGGTACATTACCTGTAGTCCTCAACCTGTCCACAGAGACTTTAGCTGGATTATAAAGATTGGTACATTACCTGTAGCCCTCAACCTGCTCACAGAGACTTTAGCTGGAGTATAAAGATTGGTAATTTACCTGTACCCCTCAACCTGCTCACAGAGACTTTAGCTGGAGTATAAAGATTGGTACATTACCGGTAGTCCTCAACCTGTCCACAGAGACTTTAGCTGGATTATAAAGATTGGTACATTACCTGTAGTCCTCAACCTGTCCACAGAGACTTTAGCTGGATTATAAAGATTGGTACATTACCTGTAGCCCTCAACCTGCTCACAGAGACTTTAGGTGGAGTATAAAGATTGGTACATTACCTGTAGTCCTCAACCTGTTCACAGAGACTTTAGCTGGAGTATAAAGATTGGTACATTACCTGTAGCCCTCAACCTGCTCACAGAGACTTTAGCTGGAGTCGGAGTACTTGTGGCTACGGGATTGGTTGTTACTCTGCCACCACGTTTCCGTTTCGCGGAGGACAACTGGGATGTGGATGCTATTGGAGCATCTATTGTGGATTTTGATGTGGATGGGTTAATCCTCTTATCTCTGTTGTCCTTTTGTTCATATCGACTGGTCACTCTTCTTTTACTGTCCATCAGGTTATCTGATAAAGGCCGACATAGAAGGAGAGAAAATATTGAAAATTCCATTATATTTAATAGTGAAAAATAACCATAAAGTGAAAATTAACCCTAGATATTTCTCTATATCTCACTGGCAAAAATGTTATTAATTGTGTTATTATTATTAAAAAGTATCTCAAATTATCTAATGACATGGACCATAAACAATGGAAGGAGCCTACCAGTGAATGGTATCACAGTGATGTGAAAATATCTGACACTGTTTTATAATTTCCAAGACTAAATGGAGGCTATTGTGAATGGACCTATAGTAACAAAATATTAAATGGACACCATTATTTAATTACCAAGACTGACGTCTGCTGTTTTAGGAGTTGTGGGGGGTGGACCTACAGGTGACGTGTGGATGTTGCACCCAATGTCGATGACGAGACACCGAGCTTGATCATCACTCAGTATAACTTGACTACAACGGAACCTGTATTTCAACAAAACAGCATATCTGCAATGTCACTGCATTACGTAAATATTGTTTATAAAAATATCTTATATGCACCTCCTTGAATGAAAATGGAATTAAAACATGAAGTCTTACCAAGCATAAGCCTTCTGTCATTTTACAGTACATTTACATATATCAACAGTTAATTACATGGCCATGCCACTAGCTTAAGAAAAAAGCTACTTCACTTATCAGGCACATTTACTTAATCAATCTCAGTTATTCAATGCCTATGCTTACATATTTTCATACTTACTGAGCACTTTTTCCATTATCCTTCTCAACAACATAGTTACAAGGACTGGTTTTTGACTGAGATTTGTGGTCAGTAATGATTCCTGGCTCAAAAAATCCATCGTTACTTTGCACAAAGACCGACTGACCGACAGGCAGGCGCTCAATCAGAAGGAGGTCACTCACCTTCACGAACCTCACATCTCCGTCATCAAATCTCACCTGATACCTAACGACAGAAAATCTCATATCTCAAACATCAAATCTCACCTGATACCTAACGACAGAAAATCTCATATCTCAAACATCAAATCTCACCTGGTACCTAACGACAGAAAATCTCATATCTCAAACATCAAATCTCACCTGATACCTAACGACAGAAAATCTCATATCTCAAACATCAAATCTCACCTGATACCTAACGACAGAAAATCTCATATCTCAAACATCAAATCTCACCTGGTACCTAACGACAGAAAATCTCATATCTCAAACATCAAATCTCACCTGGTACCTAACGACAGAAAATCTCATATCTCAAACATCAAATCTCACCTGATACCTAACGACAGAAAATCTCATACCTCAAACATCAAATCTCACCTGATACCTAACGACAGAAAATCTCATACCTCAAACATCAAATCTCACCTGGTACCTAACGACAGAAAACCTCTCATAACGAACATCAAATCTCACTTGGTACCTGAAGACAGAAAACCTCTCATAATGAACATCAAATCTCACCTGATACCTAACAACAGAAAATCTCATATCTCAAACATCAAATCTCACCTGGTACCTAACAACAGAAAATCTCATATCTCAAACATCAAATCTCACCTGGTACCTAACAACAGAAAATCTCATATCTCAAACATCAAATCTCACCTGGTACCTAACAACAGAAAATCTCATATCTCAAACATCGAATCTCTCCTTACCTGAAGACAGAAAACCTCTCATAACGAACATCAAATCTCACCTGATACCTAACAACAGAAAACCTCATATCTCAAACATCAAATCTCACCTGGTACCTAACGACAGAAAACCTCACATCTCCGTCATCAAATCTCACCTGGTACGTGAAGACAGAAAACCTCACATCTCCGTCATCAAATCTACCTGGTACCTAACGACAGAAAACCTCACATCACCATCATCAAATCTCACCTGGTACCTAACAACAGAAAATCTCATATCTCAAACATCAAATCCCACCTGGTACCTAACAACAGAAAACCTCACATCTCCATCATCAAATCTCACCTGGTACCTAACAACAGAAAAACCTCACATTTCCATCATCAAATCTCACCTGGTACCTAATGACAGAAAATCTCATATCTCCATTATTAAATTTGTCAGTAAATCTTCAGGTGAGTGACATATCAAATTATTACCCAGTTTTATCAAATTTCATAAAATATGGACCCAAGTGTAAGATTCTATTTATCAATTATAATACCTTTGCTTTAAAGTAAGACAGACTTATTTCAACTCAAAAGATATGTTTTTCACTATAATCATGTAACATCATCATAAAGAAGTATCCAATTAAGGACTCACAATACTGTTATTATAAAGGTGTCTATACTGTTGACCTGGCCCTATTATATGACACAATATGCCAGTTATCAGATATATTGTCCTTTGTCAAGCAAAATGTTTAGGGCTCGACATTAACACCTGTCTGTACCGACTATGTCGGACACGTATGTGAAAAAATGCAATTGTCTGACCAGACAAATGAGTTTTAGCCGTAAAAAGTTGTTGTAAAGGTTTTTTAAAATGTCAAATAAATAAATAAACTATATCATTCAAATTTTCATATCACCAATTTCGTAGATATTTTTTTTAAATCAATGTCCTCTTTTTGGCTACAATGAAGATTAACCTATCAATGAACAAGAAACTAAATGTTGATTTTCCAGGGTAAGTACAGGTGTTCCGAATATAATCTGGATCTTAGCTTTACTTGCTTTCAAGTGCAGTTGTTCAGTGAAAACATTTTGTGAATTGAATACTGCCGACTGCTACATTGTTTATGTTGAAAGCTGTCAGACGATGGGTTTAACTTAGTTTGGTTTTTAGCATGGGAGGAACAAAAAACTGAAAATGTTGATGATAAGATAAAAGAAGCCAAAAAGGGGTATGAGAAGAAGAGAGTTAGGGCATTTCAAATCACGTTCATTATTTATTGTAAATGAAATATTATTCTAGTTTAAATGTTTTGACAAATGCACTTAACAGTCAGACAAGTGTTTTTTTAAATCCACATGTAAGTGAGAAAAAAGTTAATGACGAACTTTAAGCTCTTGTTTTATGAAGATATTTTGCTTTACATTCACCTAAGGTTTTGCTTTACATTCAACCTGAGGTTTTGGTTTTCATTAAAGATTTTCAACCTAAGGATCAGGTTTTCAGTAAAGATTTTCAACCTAAGGTTCAAGTTTTCAGTAAAGATATTTTACAATACTTTTTGAATTACCATTTTGCTTTGTGAAATAAATCAACATCATAAAGCATTTAATGCAAAAACTATCATAAGGCCTATATCATCAAAAATTTGTTATGTTTAATTTAATATTTTTCAAAGCTTAAATCACTTTTTTCTTCAAATCATTGTAGTACTGTACTGACTTGGATTTAAGTATTTGTGATATGGCTCCTGGGTAGTAGAAGCCATCTTTCCACCTGGCTAAAACTCTTGCACCTGTGAAAAAGAAATGTAAATTAGTAATTCATTTTTTTCCAAATGTTCTGTAATTTAAAGTTATTACATATTGTTTGTAAACAATTAACTGCTTAATGAAACTACCTTAAACAAATTATACTGACCGAGTCTTTTGGAAGTGAGGAAGATTCTTAAAGCTTTATTTGCTGTAAACAATTGATCTTATAAGTAGTCAACAGATAGCTCTTTGTGACTTTAAAAGTAGATTAAGGTCAACAGTGGGAAACTTCTTGAATTAAAGAGGAAGCACAGACAGATGGATGAATGGACAATGGATGACAGATGATGAATCCTACTAGTTTCAAAGGCCCCTGCTTCCACATAGGCTAATTAAATACAAAAAGATGTAAACAAAGTTAACAAATTAAATATACATCGCATCCCAACTCTTACCCTCAAGATTATACAAATCAACCATTGAGGTTTGTTATTACTTTTGTTCAATGGATATGACCAATATTTCACTCCCCCCACCCCCTACCCCTACCTTCTCCACTAAATTAACATGATTTAAACAAGATATATACTGTTTTGACACCTGATCAATTGAGAGTACCAAGTAGCTGTCTAAACTCTTACTAAAATCCAGAATACCTGGCATCTTCCATACTCACCCACAACAGTTTCACTTTTGATGGCACTCCCTCTGGTGGGCGGAGTACACATTAGGGAGCGATCAGGCCTAACGAGGGTAGGATCCTGGTATGATATCTGGGGACTAAAAGAACAAAGTCTTACAGTCACACCGAGGAATCAGAGCAGATAAGAAGAGGTGATAATCATAAGTATATACAGGGGAGTCCTGAGGTTGTTGGGAATCATAAATCCTGGAAATTTGAAGTGGTAAATACAAAATAATGGGAAATTGATTATCTTAACCTTTATAGTGATTTACTCTAAAAATTCAGAGTCGATACAGTTAAGTAATATAAATACATAATTCTGTCAATAGCTATGGTTACCTGATCTCTGAGCTCCTACTACCGCTGGTTTCTGACCGTTTTTTCCTCTTTGGTGACCGCAGATCAGCATTAGTAGTAGCAACAGTTGCTACAACAAAAATAACATTTGTCTTAAGTATAGTTTTATAACTCAATTTTCTGCTTGAACACAAACAAAGGTTAATAATAATATTGATTCCACACAAATGTAGACACTGTAAAGGCTGTCTTTTTCAATAATATTTTACTGATTTTCAAAAGCTTGATATAACAGCAGTGTTTTTCACATCCTCAATACTCTAGGGGTTACGATCACTTTCGCTCTCTGCACACTGGAACATATAGCAAAATTGAAGGCACAAGCCAAGTAATTTGATTGGTTCCAGGAAAAATAAAATTACCAATCATAGACTGATATGCTCCTTTTGAAGATTACGAAAGAACAACACCCAACTTCAAAGCTATTACAATATACCGTTATGCAACCGGAGATTTGTTTGATGTCCATCAAAGGATCAAACTGGTATTTTTGTCTTGTCCACAAGGTGTCACTCTTAGAACCTTCAATTTTGCATGTCAGACATGTTCCAAGGGTGCAGGAAGCGAAAGCAACTGTTACCCCTGGAGTATTGAGGATGTGTTTTTCAGGGAACTCATACACTTGACAACTAAATCCTTATTCAATTCTTCTTGAAAAGTACGTATTTTTTGTTCTTTCATTCCATCCTTGAAAATCAATTCTGGAGTATCTTCAACAGCTTACTAATTCAATTATCATAAGTCATATCTATTTTACAATTGGACAAATCTTCCTTTTTTTTTTTTTTAAATATCTCATTGACTAATGGGTTTATTACCTGCTTCCTTGTTGTCATCCTTGCCCTCAGCACCGTCTGAGGATTGCACAGTAACGCTAACTGTTGTCTGCCCACATGGAATTCCTTCTGAAGACTCACTGATATTTCCCAAGTTTTTATCTGAGATTTTCTCTCCTGTATCTGTCTTCTCTTTTTCTTCAAGTTTCTCACAATCTTCAGTCGAACTTGTAAACAGCGATTCTGAATTCCTCTTCTCTTCGGTCAACCGTGATGATTCCATGACATCACTTCCTGTTTTATTAATGGTGGATAGGTCTCCGACGTGAGGGGAGTTTTCGTAGTCAGAGGGCTGGGTGGAGCTTCTCCTTGTTACATTTGTCTCTTCATCCTGTTTTACTTGATTCAACTTCTCACTTGCTCGTCTGACTAAGAACAGAAATTTTCATAAGAACTTCCAATTCAGGTACTAACAAAACCTTATCAAATGAACATCATTGATACAAACACACAGATCTTCAATGACCTTTCATTTCATATGTGTCTAAGAAGGTTTTTTTAAGACCAGCAAAAATCAAAACTTTCATCAGACAACTCAGAAAGGTTACATTTTGACAGGTTTTAAAGTCAAAATGTGGAGGACAAAATCAAATGAAGGCAGTCATTTTGTTGCACTACTTTCATTTCATAATGAAGCGTTATTGTCCATATAATGACATCCTTCCAGACCATGTGATATTTAGGGACGAAAGTATTGTATCTATGAAAAGTTATTGGTTAATATATAAGTTTTACTAACCAGGAACTGGCTCAGGTGGAGTGAAGTACATATCCCTTTCAGCGGTTTTTTCTGTGGCAGCTTGTGATATTCCCTCCAGACTGGCCAGGTTCTGTCGAGAACCACGATGACTTCCACTGCTAGAGCGAGACAATGATGAACTGACATCTGCAAGGTCACCTGAGGTCATTGTGCTGGTACTCCGTGACGGTGATAGAGACAGATCTGACATGGAGAGAAGTTCTGATGTCTCAGTTGTCACTTCCTTCAACAATTTTGGAGGATCTTCTTCCTGAGAAGGAAAAAAAATTACAAAAAGTTTAATATCAAAAGGCACATGTGGTTACACTTCAGCCTGGTCAAACATTAACATCTCTCCAGTGTTTCAATTTTCCTCCCCACAGTATGACCCCTCACACACTTTCATTCAGGTCAAAATGAGTGATTAATATAACTTGATAAAACTTGATTTGCAATTGTGTTAAAACAGACTGAGTTAAAAGTTTAAAGACAAAGTGTCTGCATGGATCTAGTGATTGCTACTCCTTGACTTTGTAGGGTATACTATCAACAGGGCTACATCACATAATGATAGACAATCTGTGTTTCATCTAACTCAAGTAAGCACATGGACTTATCACAGGGAAACATGGATATTCTCACAGAAACTGCAAAAGGTATTACTGAGCTTAGCACAAGACATTGGCTTATTGCCAAAGGGATATGTTATGCTGCTATTGGGTAGCTACCTTCTTGAAAGTCGTTCGGAGGACACCTCCACCAGGACCAAAGAAAGTCTGTGTGATTTCCTTACTTTCATACAGCCACATTCTGTACACAGTCTTAGTGACCATTGTCTCCTGTTGCTGGGGTGGCACTGAATGGCCAGATGTTGTCATGGACAATGGTCCAACAACTAGATCCTGACAAATAGGAGTCGCTCTCACTGGTAGACTCTGCGTGACTGTAGGTGGTATTACAGATGTGACTTGTACTGTGGTAGGAGTTATCACAGATGTAGAAGAATTAATCGCTGGAGATCTCACAAGCAGCTGACCTTCAACTGATGATTTTGTTTGTTCTTTGTCAGTTGACCCTGAAACACTTGTTTTAAATCCTTTGGGAGTCTGTCTTGGGGTTAATGACTTCGGAGGTGTTGGTCTATTTTTCACTGAATTATGAAAAGATACATGCTGTGATGGACCTCCTGTTTTGATTCCTGATTTTTTATGGACGACACGAGTCCATTTTTTCCGTGTTGATGTCGGCGTGGTTTCAACTCCAGATGTACCAGGAGCAGGTTGTTGTTCCAACACTTCTGACGTTTCTTGTCCTTCATCCTTAAAATTATGAAATTCATTGACATATGTGTAATTGATAAATAATATCAGTACCTGTCCCTCTAAACATGAAATTAAAATATCAGTACCTGTCCCTCTAAACATGAAATTAAGATTTTCTTAATCAAAATGATGTCAAATACCTACTATTTCGTAAAATTTACATTTTTATCTTAAATTTTATAATCAAATATTGACTCAATCATATAAAAAAAATTATCAATTCAGACATAGGATAGGAAAGAATATTTGTAAGTGTTGAATATCTCACAACTGAACTAAGCCATCTGATACAAGAAGTATTCACAAACAAGAGATACCAAACACAATGTTTTGTATTTGTCCTTTATATCCAAGTAAACTGAATTTTTTTCTTTCTTTTTTAACCTGTCTCCCTCTTTAAACTGAATTATGTCTTGTATTTACAAAAGACATAAATAAATGAAAGAAACCTATGAAATTAAAATGTAAAATAAATAGTAACAAAGTTTAATAGTCTATTAATTAATGTAAGAGGTCACTAACTGCCATTCCAATCAACAACAGAATGGCTGCTAGTGACTATCTTAAATATCTCATGATGCTCAGAATATGGCATTCATAACTCAGATCCATGCTGATTTTATCTCCCCAGTTTCAAGAGGACCTCTTCAGCATTCTTCAAAAACAGTGGTAACAAACTTTACTATCAAAATCCAAAACAGTCACTTCCAGTCATCATGATTACATTATATAGAAATTCTTCAAAAAAGCTTAACAAGACCTTGTTTACAGCACAGATTGATGTCTCAAAAATCGATCATATTTACAAAATCAGGTTTATTAAGTTATATTCAATTAATGTTGAATTATCTATATCTGACTAAGAAACACTTGTGATCAATAATTCATTCTGTAGATTTTTTCCTCAAGTTCTCTTTTCGTTTTGAAGGCAACATAATGCAATCATCAAAGGTAACTTTCTTGATTTTAAAACTTTGAATATTAAGATTTGAATACCTCAAGTACCGTGTCTGCCTTCTCAGGAGAAATGATCTGGGATTGCGACCCATGGAATGTGTAAGGATCAGGTAACCTTGTCTCCCTCCGTCTCTCTGAGATAACTGTCATTTCCTTGTCATGCTCTGTCCTTTTTTTTAAGATACCCTTGGAACTCTTCTTTCCTTTCACTTTGCCCCGTTTGTGCCCATGCCTAATTGTTTCTTTTACTAGCTCTAAATGTGATATATCTTCACTAACACTGGGCCTATCAACGTTGAGAGATTTCTGTGCGACGTGTTCACTTTCCTCAAGGAATGGTCTAGGAGTATTTATTGACACTAATTGGAATGGCTGCCTGTCAGCTAATGAGTTTGATACATCCTCACCACAAGCTTTTATCTGTGTGTGACTTTTGTCCTTAACCTCCATCAAGAATGAAGGTTCTGCAGAATTGACGGTGATATCAGACAGTTTTCCTTGACCTATGGCCCTTGAGGGGTTAGATGACCCACTATGAACTTTGACCCCAGAAGGTCCAGGCATGGGATCTTGTATATCCCCAGTGTCCATTGTTTGAATAAGCTGGTCAGCATCATAAGTCTCCGTTTCCTGCATCATAACATCCTCTGGGTCTTCTTGTACTTCCTAGAATACAGTAAGTAAATTATACATATTCAAGTGTAATAGAATAACAATGAACAACAGAATACAAGTCAATCGCCCCTTGAATAACCCGGGTCATTCTGTGGCTAGGTATTGATAAAGAGCTTGTGGCTACCTCACAGAATGAAATTACTGGTGGCCCATTGCATGTTATCCAGAGCATTAAAGGTAACATGTCTTGCTCAAGGACACAACCACGACCGCACACACCAGTTCACTTCTCAGCTTCCTGAGAAACACCAATGGCTAGAAAGTGTAAAACCATACAACTCATATCTTCACACGAGGTTTCAAAGACCAAATGTCTATCGACTGAGCTATTCTGGCCCTTGGAGCAGACAACAAGCTATCTAGGATCCGAAACTCTAAACATCTGACAAGTGATGAAACTAGTACTCTGATGGCATAGTAGTTTGTTTTTCTTCAATTTCATGGAGGTGGTATGGCCATCTAAAAGTATTCAATTAGATTTGGCATGTGTTACTACTGCACCCCTGGGTTTATCAAAACTCTTATTTACCACAATTGTGTCTAAAAGAAATCACGTATATGTAACTGCAAAACTAATACCATAATTATTTATTTTCTTTTAACATCCAGATCTCAATACCCATTATTTCTCTAGCTTTTCTCTGTATCACCTCAGTTTGGAAGATACCCAAGACTGAATGACAGAGACATGGCGTATAAGCCACATTTACCATGTGTTCTGTTGGACTAGCTGTATCCATGACTTCTAATCCCTCCATACTGGCCTGGTAACCAGTGGATGTTGCTTCACTTGATAGTGTCCGCGTTTTCTTCAGCTTCGGCATTTGTTGACTTTCTGCTTTCGGTGACAGAGCTTCTTCCCGAGCTCTTTTCTTCTCACTTCCAACAGGTAGGCACTCATCGTCACTGAAACAGTAAAGACAGACTGGAAGATGTCCTACAGGAAAATGTGCTGACAGAATCTACCGTGTCAGAGAAGACATTAGTTACAATATAATTTAATCTCTAATATTCATATCCAAACAAAGTTCCTAATCTGGTGTATTGGTATATCTCACATGGTGTATTGGTATATCTCACATGGTGTATTGGTATATCTCACATGGTGTATTGGTATATCACATGGTGTATTGGTATATCACATGGTGTATTGGTATATCTCACATGGTGTATTGGTATATCACATGGTGTATTGGTATATCACATGGTGTATTGGTATATCACATGGTGTATTGGTATATCTCACATGGTGTATTGGTATATCCCATGGTGTATTGGTATATCACATGGTGTATTGGTATATCACATGGTGTATTGGTATATCTCACATGGTGTATTGGTATATCCCATGGTGTATTGGTATATCACATGGTGTATTGGTATATATCACATGGTGTATTGGTATATCCCATGGTGTATTGGTATATCTCACATGGTGTATTGGTATATCACATGGTGTATTGGTATATCTCACATGGTGTATTGGTATATCTCACATGGTGTATTGGTATATCACATGGTGTATTGGTATATCACATGGTGTATTGGTATATCTCACATGGTGTATTGGTATATCACATGGTGTATTGGTATATCACATGGTGTATTGGTATATCTCACATGGTGTATTGGTATATCCCATGGTGTATTGGTATATCACATGGTGTATTGGTATATCACATGGTGTATTGGTATATCTCATATGGTGTATTAGTATATCTCACATGGTGTATTGGTATATCACATGGTGTATTGGTATATCTCATATGGTGTATTAGTATATCTCACATGGTGTATTGGTATATCACATGGTGTATTGGTATATCTCATATGGTGTATTAGTATATCTCACATGGTGTATTGCAGGCTGTCAACCAAGTCTTCTTCAAAATATAGGAGGAATATTGGAACAATTTTTCAAAAAATACAAGAGCTTTTTGATAGTTTTGATGCAAAATATAGGAGTTTTCATTCATAGGCATTTATACTAACAACTCTTACTTTTCATTTACTGTTTCTATATTAATCAATGATTAAAAACTACCTTAAAGTAATCATTCACTTCAACAGCATCACAATCCAGACAGACAGCTGCTACATAGTACATCATCATCATTATCATCTCAACGGGCACCTAAAAGGCTAATATCCTGATGTACTGCCTTGCAAGATGCCCATATCGGTGATAAAGAGATGCACTGAATCATTTTCTGATGGCTGGTGATGCTGTTAAAGACTTAAGAATTCACTAACTTGTAAAATAAAGAATCTAAAAGCAGTGTCAAAGAAATATTAACAATCTCTACATTTATCAGCAACAAATTTCGTGAAAAAAGATATTTTTCAAAAAATAGGAAAACAGGAAGTATAGGTTTTTGAACAAAAATATAGGAAAATATAGTGTTATGGGAATCGGCTGACAGCCTGTGTATTGGTAAATCAAATAGTGTATCTGTACAACCAACCTCACATCACTGATGATCTGACGTTTTGAAGGTGACTTAGTCAGCTTGCTTTTTCTGTGACGAAAGACATCAAACCTAACGTCTTCTGTCTGTTCTGATGGCATTTCTCTCATCTCTGGTCCTGTAGAATAAGGTTATAAAGGTCAAGAGAGTCAAAGGTCAAGTAGACATCTTCAAAGTTGAAGGCTGTTGATTGCTTCTATCGAATCTTAAAGTGAGTTCACAGCTGATGTGGAAACAATAACAAACATTTCCAATACAAAACAATCTGAAGGAAGTGATCATAAATGTTTGTTTTTCTTACAATAAAACAATTATTTGTTTCCAGCTACTATTACACAGATTCCATGAGAAATTGAAAGATGAAAATCAGAGCAATTTTTATTCAGGTAGTTTCGATGTAACTTACTCTGAAGCGTGAAGCTTGGGTCTGACATGGATGGCTGAGTGTCTATCATGTCAATGGTGAGCGATGGAGCACGAACAGGTCTACAACCAATTGTTTTAGTCCCATCAGTAGTTAGTAGTCACAGTATATATCATTAATGTAAATTTGTTCTTCTGGTTAAATAAAACAGTTATCATGATGACATCACAGTATATAAAAGAAACCATATAACATATCCACGATCACATCACATTGTAACCATGATTATATCATAATTCTCCCTGCCTCTCACATACTGTATCCACGATCACATTAAACTTTATGTATTTCTTCTCAGCATGTTGTCAGTGTCTCACACTAAATCCAGGATTGCAACACTGAGTATTTCTTAATATGATCCTACTGTATTTTCAGGGTCTGAAAGTGGTAGATAACTTTTTGGATATGATCCTACTGTATTTTCAGGGTCTGAAAGTGGTAGATAACTTTTTGGATATAAACCTACTGTATTTTCAGGGTCTGAAAGTGGTAGATAACTTTTTGGATATAAACCTACTGTATTTTCAGGGTCTAAAGGTGGTAGATAACTTACTGGGCTTCACAAGCTTGTGCCTGATGGGACGGTCCAGGTGACTTGGTAGGATCATGTGGCAAGTCAATTTCAGATGCTGGCTGCTTCTGTCTTGTTAGAGTGGGAGAAATTTCAACAGGATGAAGCAGTGTACCTGTCTTGGGCAGTGACAGATGGAAGCCAGCTGAAAAAAGAAAACCAGATGGATGCCTCATGAACATAATAACAAAATGTGTTTAAAATCAAACACAAAAACACAAAGTAAATGAAACAATATATCTCTTCAGATATTCTCTATAAATTTTTCAATTCACTCTATATCAAAGCTTCAGATACCGCCACAGAAGAGGAAGGACATGCTTAACATATGGGCAAGATTATCAGTGAAACTGATGAATGCTCCCAAAAAAACGACTTTATTGGACACAAAATTGAATCAAAGGGCAATAATTCTGTAATTAAAAAGTTGCAGGCCCTGAATTTGATATACTGCACATTCTCTTAGTATGACCAATGTATACAGAAAGTTTCAATAACTCGTTAATTCTGCAAAAGAGAGTTATGGCTCTTGTACACTGCACTCTCCCTATCGAGATCTTAAGAAGTTTCATGGTAAAACCTCTTATCGCTTTTGTGATATGCTCCAGAAAAAAATATGCTGGACAGATGGATGGCCAGGACTATATGCTCTCCCGTCAGGGAGCATAATTATGATAGGGACATACTTTGAAGTCAAATATCATTCAAATCAGACATTGAAACAATTTTCACCTGAAGAAATAATACACTTTTATAGGTAAAAGCATAATTTTTAAGTTACATTTTGTACATACCAGAATCTGAACTTGATGTGTCAGCCTTGTTTTTCTTATCAGCATTATCTTCCAAGTCTGTAATAACAGATTCCAATATAATATCACATCAAGATTGAATTATTTTTACTACAAATGAGTCCAGGTTTCATTTCCACAAAATTTACAGTATTCTGTTATCTACATTATAGCAAACAAAACATGTCCCCTTAACGAAGCTCTGTATCATATGATCTAATTACCAAACATTTCTTTCTGAATACTTTTTTTCTTTTTCTTTTCTTCAAATAGAAAAATAATTTCGGACTATTTATTCATAAAAAATAAATGGTGAATATTGCAACAGTCATAAACTTTTAACAGTATTCCAAATATCAAATGAATGTTAGAGAAAATATTCTCTAATACCTAAAGAGATTCTACAAAGAGACAAGACTGAGAATTCCACCAGCATATATACCCTTATTTTCTTGCTGTTCAGGATTCTGACTTGGTGAGTGTATTTTACTCTTTTGTGTTTGTGAAGATTTACTTCCCCTTAATGAAGACTGGCTTTTGGAGTACTGTGAAGGTGTAAGATGCAGCACAAGGTCTTGTGATTCACTTCCTTCATAGTTTTCCGTAACTACAAATCAATATCACCATCATTAAATTTTACAAATCTTTACTTATAAGTAAATGCAATCTATTGTGTACAAATGTTGATCTATTACTCTAAGTTTTGTGTATGGGACTTCATACAGAAGACAGTAACATCAATTATTGGCACAGAGATGTAAAATACAGGAATTATATAGACCGAAGTTTTCAGCAGCATCACAAACATAATAGCTCTTTGAGCAGTGATCCCTATCGTAAGTCTCTATACAGAGAACATATTTTCCATTACACACAATGAATATTAATTCTGGCCATGTCTGATACGTTTCATACCACAATTAACCCAGGGAGCTAATATACATATTTTTATCCAGGAGGATTTAAGAAAATGAAATGTCATTTTTTGGTAATTTTATTGAATAGAAATATATATTGGCTTGAACAGGTATTAACTTATTAATGGATAAACACCATACACACCCAAACTTCTCTGTGTTTTTTTATTATCTGCCTGTTCTGTATCCTCATCAAAACTGATTATAATGACACTGTCGTCTTTCATTTCCTCCACATAAACCACCTCTACAGATTCTTCTTTCTGTAAAATTTAGAAGATGACAAATCAATCAACAGTTATAATAAAAAGCAAAATAAATAATTCATTTTTCAAAATCCTCTAAAATAATATACATTTGTATTATGTTTTACTCTCATTTTAAGTCAACAATCTTTTTTTTTAGAAATACAACTTAATTAATTTTTTTGAAACACAGATGCCTCCATTTCATTCCAAATAGATTTATTATTACTTTCCCCTTTTATTGTGTATTCATTCAAACAACAAAACATGTAATTACAACTCCGATCAAATACATTTGTACTCAGATCATTCCATCCTGCGCATGTGTACAATAATACCCTTACTGACCAAGCACAAGGAATGATGATAAAACGAAATTAAAATTTGCTTTTGATATGCTACAAGAAATTATGTATGAAGCCACAGATCATATCAATATGACTTTATTATGAATAAATATACATATGAAAAACACGGTACTAGAAAGTTTTTATGTGTTACAGAAAACCATGTACAAGCACTAGACTTAACAATTAAGCACAGATATAGACTTTATCGATGAAAAATTCTTTCAGCATTTCATTGTCCAAACACTAAATCAAGCAGAGTGCCTGATAACAGTCTGTTAGTAAACAAGCTCAAAATTGGTTTCTTTTGGAATTGTGGCGATCACATTTCGTAAAAAAATTCATACTGGTTTATTGGTTTCAATTTTATCGTTCCTGAAAATGCACACGACCAAGCTAAATATTTTCATGCTTCCTGTAAAATTGTTACTTTTTTTATCATACAGGTAAGTCACTGCCACAGGATGGTGACACTAATTAAGAAGCAAACCTTTAATTGGATGATAAAACTTGTAATGAATTGCCAGAGACCCAACGTTTTGTGTGTGATGGACTGATACACTGTAATTAGTCATGTGCTACACACAAGTGTCTTTCTACTCTGTGACTGTATTGACCGATTTTGTCAGAAGACATGCCGATGTTTTGACAAAAAAATTAATTTTGAGACAATGAATGACTTTCCCCTTGCTTTACCATTGATGGGACTGAAAAATCACTTCAACTCAACTGAAATTTTGACAATTGGAGTCATCAAAAACTAAGAATACAAAAATATAGAAGGGAAAAAAAAATCAGGATTTGAAAATTGTTTTGACTCAAACGGAATTTCAACTCAAGCAATTCGAGACAAGTTTCAACTGTATATGGAATACTCACTATATGCCCATGGCAACTACATGACAATTGTATACACTATCATCAAACCACAAAGACAAGAATTTTTAACAATTCAGACGAATCCCAACATTAGGATGATATAATGTAATATAAAGGCTTAAACTTATAGACAAATTAGCAAGATTTATCCAAGTATATCAAACTATTTGTTTAAGTAACACTGCACAAGGCTGACCTGCTGGGTGGAGTGAGATTCTGTAGCACTGTAATATAGATGTAATGACTCTCCACAGGTTTCTACATCGTCAGTAATCAGTGTTTTCACTTTGTCCGACTCCTCCTGTCTCCCCTGTTACATCCAAGGAATAATATAAATATATAATATATATATAATGATAGAGAACTGTAAAGTAAATATTGTCAGAGATAGATAATAGAGAGCTGTACAACAGATATTGTCAGTGACAATCTAATGATAGAGAATAGAGAGCTGTACAACAGATATTGTCAGTGACAATCTAATGATAGAGAATAGAGAGCTGTACAACAGATATTGTCAGTGACAATCTAATGATAGAGAATAGAGAGCTGTACAACAGATATTGTCAGTGACAATCTAATGATAGAGAATAGAGAGCTGTACAACAGATATTGTCAGTGACAATCTAATGATAGAGAATAGAGAGCTGTACAACAGATATTGTCAGTGACAATCTAATGATAGAGAATAGAGAGCTGTACAACAGATATTGTCAGTGACAATCTAATGATAGAGAATAGAGAGCTGTACAACAGATATTGTCAGTGACAATCTAATGATAGAGAATAGAGAGCTGTACAACAGATATTGTCAGTGACAATCTAATGATAGAGAATAGAGAGCTGTACAACAGATATTGTCAGGGACAATCTAATGATAGAGAATAGAGAGCTGTACAACAGATATTGTCAGTGACAATCTAATGATAGAGAATAGAGAGCTGTACAACAGATATTGTCAGTGACAATCTAATGATAGAGAATAGAGAGCTGTACAACAGATATTGTCAGTGACAATCTAATGATAGAGAATAGAGAGCTGTACAACAGATATTGTCAGTGACAATCTAATGATAGAGAATAGAGAGCTGTACAACAGATATTGTCAGTGACAATCTAATGATAGAGAATAGAGAGCTGTACAACAGATATTGTCAGTGACAATCTAATGATAGAGAATAGAGAGCTGTACAACAGATATTGTCAGTGACAATCTAATGATAGAGAATAGAGAGCTGTACAACAGATATTGTCAGTGACAATCTAATGATAGAGAATAGAGAGCTGTACAACAGATATTGTCAGTGACAATCTAATGATAGAGAATAGAGAGCTGTACAACAGATATTGTCAGTGACAATCTAATGATAGAGAATAGAGAGCTGTACAACAGATATTGTCAGGGACAATCTAATGACAGAGAATAGAGAGCTGTACAACAGATATTGTCAGTGACAATAATGTAATACAGGGCTCTCACCCCATTTTGGGACTGGGGCCCGGGGCCCGGGGCCCTTAGAATTGGGAAAAATAGCAGCGTTTTCCTTAGAATTGGGAAAACTTGGGGTCTAAATTGGAAAAAAAAATTTTTTATTTTGCATTGGAAATGGGGCTGAATATTGGCCCCAAATCTGGCAGATCAAGAGCCCTGTAATATGAAATTATACAATGGATATTGTCGATCATAATTCTATTTTCACATTGTTTTGCCTTGTGAGAAATTAACATGAAAGTTGGTTGCTCCTTTTATCTTACATTACTTATCTAATGTCTATATCAAAGCTGGGTCTTTTTATACTTCTGTATAAAACTTTGTGTAAATGTAAGTGAACGTAAAAAGCTATGACATCCAAACATCCTGTCGAAATATGGATATTTATAAGCTTCATTTACTAATTTCATTGATCTTTGCAGTCATAACAAAAGTTTCACTTGACATACACAATAACATATTAAGTATTAACCTACCTCCTTGGATAACAGATCTCCGTCTGAAGTCCTTTTTACAGTGACATTTTGCTCATCTGACTTTCCACTACTGTCCTGGTCCAAACCACTTTCCTCAGAACTCTGACAAACAAAATATGTTGATGATTACTGTACATGAATTAATTAAGAATCTACTTTTATCCTAGATAACATATGTTCCAGACTGGCAAAGACTCAAAAACACTCTAGGGTCTAGGGAAACCATTTTGTATGTACAAAATGCTAAAATAGCCAAAACCTAAAGCTAGTACATCACAAAGTTTACATCAAAACAGGAAAAACATAGATCCCAGTAAAAACTTTTTTTAAAATTTTTACATTGACCAAGTACTAGTTTAGTTTTCAAATAAGCATCACGAAGATTGATGACTTGCAGTGCTGTAGTTATTTGAAAATAAGCTCAATCCCTGTAATAAGCCCATCTCTTGAATTTAACAATAGCTGTCCTATAACAACCCAACCCCTTACTATGAGAAGAAGCGTTGGCCCCTGGGCTTAAAAGAGGTTAAATGCAGTGGGTACGAGAAAGGAAGAAACATGTTCCTATTATTTTTGAGAACTATACCTGAACATGGTGGGCTTGTGGTTTATCAGCGAAAGTACTCTCAGCTGCAGGATCAAAGACACGTTCATCAAAATCATCTAAATCAGAATCTGAAAAGAGACCCACAAAGTTTTCATACATTTTTGATATCATAGCAGTGTAAAGTGAAAGTGATGAAGAAATGAACATCAGAAAATCAATATCATCAATACACTATGCTAAGTAAGTTCATCAAGAAATCAACATGGGGAATTGTGTAATATGATGATGACCTGAAGAATAATTCCTAAATTTTTTCAAGATGTATCATAAAGTTTGATCATACAATGAATATAATTTGTATTATTACATCCATATTGTTCATCAATTTCTCAGCTGCATATCTGGTGACTGTTGATGATCTCAATGATTTCGACCAACCACAGCAGATCATGAAAATGACACCACGGCCAAGAAATGTTGCCTGAATCTGAGAGTTCCAAGCATCACATATCCTGGGCACAAAATCATGATTGTACTATTGCAAATATCACTTTGATGTCTCTGCATAAAACTAGCAAGTTCAAAACACGATAGTATTATCTCCAAACTATGTCACAATTTGTACAGTAGTATTTGATCAGTTAAAAGGTGCCTGGCAATATATTGCTGCAATCAAAATGAATGTATCTAAACATCATACAGAATCATTTATTTGGTCATTTTTTTTTCATAATAACTTAACGTGACATTAAATATGACAGATAAGGGTTTTCGAATGAAACCATTTATCTACCTGTAGTCTTTTCATCTGTCGGTGATGAGGGAATAATTTTTGGAACATTTCCATATGCTGTTGGTGATGGTGGAATTGCATTCCTATTAATTAATAGAAAAACATCAATTTAACTTATACACTGAGTGTCTGTGAATACACAAAGAATAATTTATGCACAGTGTTACATAAAAGACAAGTTTTTTCTGCATGTTAAAATCAATGTAAATGTTTGGAAACTGAATGTAAAAGTTTGGAAACAGACTGAAAAAATTTGGAAACAGACCGAAAAAGTTTTCGAAACAGGCCAAATAGTTTGGAAACAGAATGTAAAAGTTCGTAAGCAGACCAAAAAAGTTTGGAAACAGACTGAAAAAGTTTGGAAGCAGAATGTAAAAGTTCCAATGCAAAAATAGCATGATTTACAATTATATAACTATTGTGGCACATGTACTCTACCTCTGACCTCTGACCTATATTTGAATGTTATATTGACAGGTGCTTGAATTTGAAAGTAATATACATATCTAGCAGATTTCTGTGTGAAAATATGAGGTACATATAAATTCAACAGAATTGTAAACGAAATTAAAAGCAATTTAACAACTAAATAACAAGGACGTCATCCAGAGATTCAAACAAATAATCATGAGAGATTTGAATTATGATTGGTTCTCCTTGTTTATTAATGTGAAAATAAGTACCACATAAAATATATATAATTTACAGCACAAAACAGATTTTTACTATTGTGAATAAGCCTAATATTGCTTCTCTATAATTCTGCATTTTCAAGCAATCCACATTTTATGATTTGCTTTAGAAATTGTTATTTTAAAAACAAACTTCACATACAGTGTCACTTTTAAATAAAAAATGGTTTCTGATTTAACAAAAATTATATAGAAATTTCTCTTCATTTTTCAATACAAATATACAGAAGTTCTAATTGACTTTAGACAGAAAAGTCATCAGATTTTTTCCCCATTATGATAGGCAAGGGGAATCAGTAGGCTCTGTCTTATCAAATCCATTGACTTTAGAACAATTTTAAGTGTAAATGACATAAAATGAATGAGGAAAGCATTATGAATGTACACAAGCAATGATTCTATATCTGGGTTACTTCTTCAGTACTCACTCGTCCTCATCAACTGTCTCTGGAACTAACATGGGTTGGTTAGACAGTTGAAGACTTCCAATAAACTCCGATGGGGTTGACGATTCTCTATCATCATCTAAAGAAACATCAAAATAAACTGTTATAGAGTCATCTTTTCCCTCATGCTTTATAGCTGTTCAGAGTAACAAATTATCATTGAAACCCCCCCCCCCCTTTACTGAAATCCCTGTTTCATTGTTAGCAATTTGCACTCCCTTCTAAGTCACAATTTCCCCTTCCTCCTTTACTAGAAGCCTTGTTTTCTTGTTAAGTCACAATTTTCCCTCCATCCTCCTTTATTGACAGCCCTGCTTTTTGTTAGGGCTCAATTTCTCTCTCTTCTACAGTGACAGCCTTGTTTTTATTAAGTCACCATTTTCCCTCTCTACTTTACTGACAGCCCTGTTTTATAGTTAATCACACCTGCCTTTAAAGTCACTTAGAGGAGAGGAGAAAAGTGGCCTTTATAGAGAGATAGTTATTTACACATGGGTTTAATAACAATGAATTGCATAACATTTGGACCTGGAAACAGTGACTTTTATAGACAGGTATTTGTCAGATAAATGTGTCTTCATAGACAGGATTTGGTTACATACCTTATAAACAGTTAACCTTCATAGACAGGTATTTATTATACACAGGTGACATTTACAGACAGACATTTGTTATATAAAAGTGGGCTTTAAGGCATGTATGATTGTAATTGATTAATATGTTGAAGATCTAAAACACCAATGTGATTCCCCAAAAGCTGCAGCAGCTCTGACAGTCAGAAATTATGACTGCCATTTTAAATGAATGTTTCACATGGTATTATGAAGACAGTCTGTTAAGTGCTGAATACTAGAAGCATGAGTAGATCATACTGAAAGAATGAAATATACGACTGTATAAGTATCAACCAATCAGAAGTGACATAGATTATATTTCATGATACTCATCTACTTCATTATTATAGTAATTGTACTCAACAATACACAACACTTGACCTTGACATTAAAACCCTGATCAATATAATTGTGTACATAATTTTATTATGTAGTTGATTAACACTGTGCGATTTCATATGAAATTTCAAAACATGAATATTTAAAGATTCTGAAAGAAGAGTATCAGTGAAACTAATGAATGATTCACGAAAAGGACTTTATTTAACAAACAAGAGAACCAGTAGAACTGATGGATGCTTCCCGAATAAACGCTAGTTCCAGATGGGCCAATTATGCAAGAGAGAGTTATGGTTCTTGAACACTGCACTTCTCCTTATCAAGATTTATGTAACTATTAAGTTTTGTGTTGATAGATGTTGGACAGTCAGACAAAGCTGCGACTATATGATTCCTTAAAATTTTTTATGGGAATATAAATAAGCTAAATTCTTTTACTTAAAAACATAAAAGAAGCAGATAAAAAAGAAAATCTGAACATACACAGACATTTAATTGGGACTCAAAGAATCAGAATGCTTATCTACAATATACCAGGGTCTTCCTGGAAGATGTCTTGTGAGAGAGTCTCCTGGAACATTTTGAACCGATGACCTCGGACACTAGGCTCCTGCCCCGTGTGGGACATTTCTGCCTGTTGGTAACTCCCTAGTCCCTGTCTACTGTTGGAATGGAAACTGAGAACAAATAGCATGAGCCAGTATAAATCAAGATTAATTGGACTTCTTATTTTTACCTGTGTAAAAATTACCCTTTAAAGTAAAAACAAAAAGTGGATTCAATCCAAAAACTACACTTTATCTTTATCTGTGTCATGCCACAATTCAGATTATGATGTATAGATATCTAAATGCCCAAGCTTCAATTCTGGAGTTCTGAATGCTATCAAAATAACACTGGGTTGTGCATATCATGTATCTTCTAGAAGACAATGAATCATTTAACATTAATACATACATTTTAAAATACTGACCTAGAGTCACTGCCATTTATACAAACATATTTGAATAGAGTCACTGCCGTTTATACATACATATATAAATACTGACCTAGAGTCACTCCGTTAATACATACATATTCAAATACTGACCTAGAGTCAGTGCCGTTTATACAAACATATTCAAATACTGACCTAGAGTCACTGCCATTTATACAAACATATTTGAATAGAGTCACTGCCGTTTATACATACATATATAAATACTGACCTAGAGTCACTCCGTTAATACATACATATTCAAATACTGACCTAGAGTCAGTGCCGTTTATACAAACATATTCAAATACTGACCTAGAGTCACTGCCATTTATACAAACATATTTGAATAGAGTCACTGCTGTTTATACATACATATATAAATACTGACCTAGAGTCACTCCGTTAATACATACATATTCAAATACTGACCTAGAGTCAGTGCCGTTTATACAAACATATTCAAATACTGACCTAGAGTCACTGCCATTTATACAAACATATTTGAATAGAGTCACTGCCGTTTATACATACATATATAAATACTGACCTAGAGTCACTCCGTTAATACATACATATTCAAATACTGACCTAGAGTCAGTGCCGTTTATACAAACATATTCAAATACTGACCTAGAGTCACTGCCATTTATACAAACATATTTGAATAGAGTCACTGCCGTTTATACATACATATATAAATACTGACCTAGAGTCACTCCGTTAATACATACATATTCAAATACTGACCTAGAGTCAGTGCCGTTTATACAAACATATTCAAATACTGACCTAGAGTCACTGCCATTTATACAAACATATTTGAATAGAGTCACTGCCGTTTATACATACATATATAAATACTGACCTAGAGTCACTCCGTTAATACATACATATTCAAATACTGACCTGGAGTCAGTGCCGTTCATACAAACATATTTAAATACTGACCTGGAGTCAGTGCCGTTCATACAAACATATTTAAATACTGACCTGGAGTCAGTGCCGTTCATACATACATATTTAAATACTGACCTAGAGTCAGTGCCGTTCATACAAACATATTTAAATACTGACCTGGAGTCAGTGCCGTTCATACAAACATATTTAAATACTGACCTGGAGTCAGTGCCGTTCATACATACATATTTAAATACTGACCTAGAGTCAGTGCCGTTCATACATACATATTCAAATACTGATCTAGAATCACTGCCGTTAATACATACATATTCAAATACTGACCTAGAGTCACTGCCGTTAATACATACATATTCAAATACTGATCTAGAATCACTGCCGTTAATACATACATATTCAAATACTGACCTAGAGTCACTGCCGTTAATACATACATATTCAAATACTGATCTAGAATCACTGCCGTTTATACATACATATATAAATACTGATCTAGAATCACTGCCGTTTATACATACATATATAAATACTGACCTGGAGTCACTGCCGTTAATACATACATATTTAAATACTGACCTGGAGTCAGTGCCGTTTATACATACATATTTAAATACTGACCTAGAGTCAGTGCCGTTCATACATACATATTTAAATACTGACCTAGAGTCAGTGCCGTTCATACAAACATATTTAAATACTGACCTGGAGTCACTGCCATTACTACTGTGCATTGGTTTGATATTTGAGGCATCAGCTTGTTTATCCTCCTCCTCCTCTGTTGTTGATTTTTCATCCCCTGGAGAGATTTCCAGAACTAACGGTACAAACGTGGTCACCAACTTACAAATCATTGATGATTAGTTCAAAAAACGTCTGTATTAACTTTTATGTTACTTTTTTAATTACTCAAAATTAACGTTTTTACTTAATAACAGTTACTTCAAATTCTTCTTTATTTTGTTATTTAATCAACAAAGTACAGAATAATGCCATGCCTTTTCTGCTAAACATAGGAATAGTACTTAAAATGCTCTTAAAACAACAATTTAGATATGTTTACCAGTATAGAATTTTGAACTCATTCTTCGAAAAACTCATGAATTAAACAAAATATGAAGAATTTTGTAAACTGAAATAGCAAAATTCTCCAATATCAATTTTGCTGACACTTTTTACCTTTGGGTGGTCTTTCTACAACTGTCTCATTCACTTGGTCCTCCGACTCACTGATCACTTCATCAGCATCACTGAATTATAAGTATCACAGTGTGTTATATTGATTATAGAAACTTTTCAATTCATTTTTAAGAGTTATTGATATCTTTATAAGGGAAAATTATTGAAATTCTACTAAATTAGCTAAAATCCTAAAATCTTTTTGCGTTTCAGTATATTTTTTTTCTAAAAAGGAACCTCTTTCAGTATGTCAGTAATTGTAAAGTTAGTGCTTTGATTCATCCTATTTCAACAAAATTATCTGTGGACATTTTTCCTGAGGTGTATTAAACCTTGGTAATTGATACACATTTTATGACTTTTACAATACCTTTGAAGGAACTGCGCTTTAGTAAACAGTATATACTTAGGAATGTAAACAAGGTAACCTCTGCCTCCTGTCACCCCCATCCCGTAGGATATTTACCTTAGTAACTATATCACTCTGTTGAAATCTTAAATAGGTAACTGTGTCTCTTATATCAACCCTATCTGAGTTACCTGTGCAACCCTGATTCAAAATTTACTTAAGTTACCAACACACTCTCTGTTCAAACTTTGACTAGGTAACTGTACCCCATTAAGGAACCTTAGTTACTTGTGTAACCCTGGTAGTAAACATTAGGTGACCAGACCCACCTTTACTTTTGGATTCTGTACCCTTTGTTGGAGCTTTACCTTAGGGTCTGTACCCTTTGTTAAGCTTTGCTTTAGGAGTGTTTACCCTGTGTTGGAACTTTACCTTAGGGCCTGTACCCTTTGTTAGAACTTTACCTTAGGGCCTGTACCCTTTGTTGGAGCTTTACATTAGGGTCTGTACCCTTTGTTGGAGCTTTACTTTAGGAGTGTGTACCCTTTGTTGGAGCTTTACTTTAGGAGTGTGTACCCTTTGCTGCTTTACCTTAGGGCCTGTACCCTTTGTTGGAGCTTTGCCTTAGGGCCTGTACCCTTTATTTGAGCTTTACCTTAGGGCCTGTACCCTTTGTTGGAACTTTACTTTAGGAGTGTGTACCCTTTGTTGGAGCTTTGCCTTAGGGCCTGTACCCTTTATTAGAGCTTTACCTTAGGGTCTGTACCCTTTGTAGGAACTTCACCTTAATTTACTGTACCCTTTGTTGGAGCTTTGCCTTAGGGCCTGTACCCTTTATTAGAGCTTTACCTTAGGGTCTGTACCCTTTGTAGGAACTTTACCTTAGGTTACTGTACCCTTTGTTGGAGCTTTGCCTTAGGGCCTGTACCCTTTGTTAGAACTTTACCTTAGGGCCTGTACCCTTTGTTAGAACTTTACCTTAGGGCCTGTACCCTTTGTTGGAGCTTTACATTAGGGCCTGTACCCTTTGTAGGAACTTTACCTTAGGGTCTGTACCCTTTGTTGGAGCTTTACTTTAGGAGTGTGTACCCTTTGTTGGAGCTTTACTTTAGGAGTGTGTACCCTTTGCTGCTTTACCTTAGGGTCTGTACCCTTTGTTGGAGCTTTGCCTTAGGGCCTGTACCCTTTATTTGAGCTTTACCTTAGGGCCTGTACCCTTTGTTGGAACTTTACTTTAGGAGTGTGTACCCTTTGTTGGAGCTTTGCCTTAGGGCCTGTACCCTTTATTAGAGCTTTACCTTAGGGCCTGTACCCTTTGTAGGAACTTTGCCTTAGGGTCTGTACCCTTTGTAGGAACTTTACCTTAGGGTCTGTACCCTTTGTTGGAGCTTTACTTTAGGAGTGTATACCCTTTGTTGGAGCTTAACTTTAGGAGTGTGTACCCTTTGTTAGAGTTTTACCTTAGGGTCTGTACCCTTTGTAGGAACTTTACCTTAGGGTCTGTACCCTTTGTTGGAGCTTTACTTTAGGAGTGTGTACCCTTAGTTGGAGCTTTACCTTAGGGTCTGTACCCTTTGTAGGAACTTTACCTTAGGGTCTGTACCCTTTGTTGGAGCTTTACTTTAGGAGTGTGTACCCTTTGTTGGAGCTTAACTTTAGGAGTGTGTACCCTTTGTTGGAGCTTTACCTTGGGAGCCTGTACCCTTTATTGGAAAATCTCTGTCTGTGCAAGGTGGTCCCCTCAATCTCGCTGTCTGGCACTAACACCTCTGCATTTTCTATGTTTTTGAAAGGAAAATAAAATATTGCTGCAATCATTAACCAGTAAAAGAATTACCAATATCTATTTTAATTACAAGTATTCTTTCTTTGGTATGAATGTTAATATCATTTATTCAAGCCATTGCCAAAATTGTTTTCTCAAGTTTGTTGTGTTTTACAGTGAATACTGTAATGCTACAATTGAGAGGTTCATTGCTGTCAACAGCCAGGGTCCTTGCAGTAGCTGATGGATTCCTCAATAAGAATCATGTGGGAGGTCCATTATATGCTAGTTAGAACAGTCTAGGTAGTTTTTCTTGTCCAAGGGGATAGCAACAATAGAACAGGATGATCTCTGATATTTTAATTTCTTGAGAACTATAAATCTCCCTTGGTATGGATTATACCATAGACCATGGATCTTCACCGAAGTCTGGACACATCTGAATTTCTTCTGAGCTATACTCTTGGCCCTAACTGGGATTGAAAAACCTTTTTTTTCTCTGAAGTTGAGCTATATTGAGTCAATGTAACATTGATTCATGTGTGACTTTATTTTACTATCTTCTTATAAATTTTTAAAAAATCACCTGATTTCCTGTCATCTTCAGAAAGGTCCTCAAGACTTAAACGCCTACCCTTGATGGACTGTTGATTATTATTAGACTCTTCGTCAGCCTGTTTAAAAAGAAGAAATGCTCGATAAATGCATGTATTTCCTCATTGGTAGCATGATGTAGTTCTTTTTTTTCCTTTTGTACAATTGAAACGGTTCCAATTACTCAGATTCAATTAATAGGATTTTTCATCCAAACTCTTGTAATGACATGGTAACTTCTGAAAAAGGACTACGAGCTGATATCATTTAAACACACTGAATTTGTTATGCAAGAAAATGGAAGGTAAAAGTAATAATGTGATAAAGCTCAATAACCTTGTTTGATTTTTTTTTTCTGACAAATTGTTGACAAGAACATCCATATCAAAATAAAAATTTGTTACTTGTTTTCCATTTATGTGAGGTTTTTAAAACTTACTCCATATTATCAATTAAAATAAATTGTGAAACAGCAATTTACAGTACAACTGTTAGTTCACAAACAACAAAAATATATTGTACCATTGTAAGTTGTAGTGCAGGCCAGTCCCCTTGTGAGTTGTCAGCCTGTTCTTGAGAATCAAGGATGATGAATTTAGATGTTCCTGACTGACTTTGCTGTGTTTGATTGAGATTAACACTCCATTCATCATCCATCTTTAGTTTTTGATTCTGTTTGGCTTTTCATTGCTCTAAATTACACTGGGAAGGAAAAAATTAAGGAAAAAAAATAATGAAATCTTCTTCAATATAGAAATAATTTATGAAGCATTTCTTCATAATCACGAGGGTCAAGGCCCTTAATGGTCATCTGGCTATTGATGGATTTGGGGACAGACCCCAGAGTTTACTGATGATGGTCTAACAAATCTGACTAATTCAAATTTGAACATCCCTAGAAAGTATCAGAAACTCATAAATGGTAGGTTTTGTTCATGAAAAACAGTTATCCATCATGTTACAAAATGGCTACCGAGGCTACTATGCTGAAGTTTTGAAATGGCTAAAAAATCAACAATATATCATGTTTCTTCTTTACAAATTAAACACTGCAAATATCTTTTCTCAATTGTGCGGATGAAATTTGAGAAGCAGTTCATACTATTTGTATAAGATTAGCTATGTTGGATTTTGGACCAAACCACAAAATAACATTTGGTTAAGACAATCTCGGGATCACTTCACACACATTTAATACCATTGCCACTCCCTGATAATGTTTTAGACCAAATTTAGTGAAAGCTACAAAGTAACATTTTAAAGCCAAATAAAGTCTTACTTTCCCTTCGAAGCCCTGCTTCTAAGTCCCTGGGTGTCAAATCATCTTTCTGAATTTAAGAGGTAATTACCCACCCCTAATAATGTTTCAGACAAAATTTGAATGAGTACTAAGGAAGAATAGTGTTTTGAAGCAAAGTCTTGTCTAACTTCTCTTTTTGGACCTCATTCCAAGGTCCCTAGGTGTTGAATCAACTATCTAAATTTAAGAAATGATTCCCTGCCACCAGTGATGTTTAAGAACATATTTGGTAGCAATCTGCAGGAGTAAGCAGGTGTAGTGTTTTCAAAGAAAAGTTCACAGGCAGCAGACAATTATCAACTCTGAAAGCAATAGATCAGGTCAGATGATTGATCAAAACATGCATCAGGATTTTTGTTTTGATCACTTTTTGTAAAACACTTCCAGCAGTTCACTTTTTGAAGACAAGGTAATTGTCTTGCATATCCACTTTGACTAACAAAAAGGACTTCACAAGTTTTTTCTCAAAATTAGCAAGTTTTTCTCATTTCCACACTAAATAATGGAGCAGTATATAAATAATCCAATAAGATCACACAACTTTAAAATTTTAGAGCATTCCAGCAAAAAAACACTAAAGGTAGACAGTAATACAAACACTCAGTAAATGATACATTTAACTTATAAACAAAGTTCCTACAAATTTAATTTGTCAGCACCTAAAAAGTATTTACCTATAAATAAACATAAAAAAGTATCAACCCTAGTCACTTTTATATATTTGACCCAAATTTCTGTCAATAGATGGTCATTAAATGTTATTATTCACCTTTATTGCAAAAGATGGATCCAGGGGGAGGAGAGCACTCCTGGTGCCCACCCTCTCTAAAATTTGCAGTGACCATTATTTGCAGGACTTATGAACTGAACTTCCATCACCACACATTTATATATGCCTTGAGGCACTTCAAATAAAAAACTGGGGACATTATATGTTAGTATGCATGAAAAATAACTTTTTAAACCCCAAATCCTGGATCCACGCCTGATTATGTTATTAATTAATACTTACTTACTGATTGTGCTCATTTTGTAGATACTTAGAACTGATCAAAGTCAGTACATTGTTAATAGTATTGATATAAATTTTCATGATATTTAAACAGCATTATATATGTGAATATTGACATTAAAGTGTTATTTTAAAGACAAATTTTCGGTCTATACGTGTCCCGTGAGTAGGTAAATCGTGTCCCGTGCTTGCAATCTCTGCGATTACCTTACTATGTCATTAGGTTCGTTGTTACCACCGCTAATACTGACCATTCTCGGAAATTGGCATTTTATAGCAGGTTGCTCATGCCTGAATTGCTTAAGTTTCATTTATAGAACTACATGATTTAGCAAATTCTGAAATTCCCGCGTTAAATGTCATGCTATCTACGCACTTCGACCAAAATTACACACGACCTTTGTCGCATGTGTCAAAGCAGCATGCATGTATGATAACCAACTATCAGTTTGCATCTAATTCATTATAAATACCATTGTGACCTTCACGGGTTTCATAGCTGCATGTTTGACTAGCAAGTGTTTATGTTTACACTTTCCCCTTTTGCAGCCTATAACAGGAAGTCACGTTGGAAACGTCAGAAAACGAGACTATCGTTAGTGTCCTTTCTTCCGGTATAAGCCATACTGATCGGTACCGATCAGCATGAAGGTGAAAACAATTTAATTATCTAAGAATATCAGCTAGGATAAGGAAAAATAAAGTGATATAAATTGTCTCATATGTTTATTTTAGCTATTCCATAGAGAAATTTGATGCGATATTTCCTGGTTATTGCTAGATTGATCGGATTTTCTTGCTCATGAACAGATCTGAAGTACGTCGATGTGAAGGGGGGGATGAACAAAACTGAACGACTGGGGCAATATAAATGCATGTGGTACCAATGATATTATAATACGTTTTCACGCTTAAATTTACTATTATAGCAATGTCTGTTGAAATTATATTTCGTTACATGGCGTTGTCTATTACTCAGATTCATATGTATCGTGTTAGTAAAATTATTCATAAATGAACTGTAAAACTGACTTGCTCTGTTAGATTTAAATCTCGTGCATTGCTTCGTTCTCCTATATAGAATCCCTGCTTGCCTTGTATCCCTGTAACTGATGTGACATGTATTACCGTCTTTGATATCCATACCTATGCATGTCCGGATATTCCATTTCCCAAACGTGTGAAGTATTAAAATTAAATGCTTTTATTTTCAGCTGAATATCTCATATCCGGCCACTGGCTGTCAGAAACTTATTGAAGTTGATGATGAGAGGAAGTTGCGTCCATTTTATGACCGACGCATTGCAACTGAAGTGACTGCAGAACATCTGGGAGATGAATGGAAGGTAACAGTCAAACAAGTCGGCAATATCCTTAAATTTGAGAGAAATTATATCATCATGTATAGCCAGAGTACACTACTATAAAAACATCTCTTCTTTTACACCACTTTTGTTTCAATATTCGGTGTGATCACAAATAAATCTCTAGTGACATAACACATGTCCTTGCATGGATCAATCAATTATATTATCATTTATCCCAAATCAATCGGTTGTAAGGCCTAATTCTGATATATCGGCATATGTCATGCCTTTGTGCAGTTCAAAATTTTTACACTCTAACTGGTCCTGTGATGGCAGATATTTTTTACTGTATTGTGCACTGGGTCTTTTGCTTTTTTACTTGAAATATCAAAATCCCCTTAACTCTTGTGTTCAGGATTTTACTACCGATGAAGGGAAGGTGTGAACGTTTCAAGTACTGTAGTACTGAACAAAGTATTGATAGTATTGTACTGAAGTACTTCACCAATCGAATTCCTTAAATTTATGCAACAAGCTCTCTGATTGGCAGAGCCAAGTCTAGATCGATTGTGGGTGGAGCCAGGTGAAAAAATACTGTGCAGACATCGGCATTTTACAAACACTCGACTGTCGCGAGAGGTTAATTGGAAGAGTCCAAGTCACAGGTGGCTTCAGATCAGACCTAATTGGGTTGTCCCATTTGTTTCGTTCTACACCCAATGATACCTTGCTTTTCCATCGATGGTACAACGAGAAAACGAAAGTTACTCAGTACTAAACTAATTTACGTACAAAATATATATCAACAGGTTAGATCATTGGGACCGGAGAATTCATAACATCTTAACAGTGAATATAGTCATATAGTCATTCTGTACTAGTTTTATTTATTTATTTATTTTTTTGAAAGGGGGGGGGGAGGGTTGGCTCAAAATATTTCGGTTTAAGCCCAAGCTCTATTATATGTAACAAAGAATTACGATTTACCTGGGACCTCCTGATATATGCCGATAATTCATACTGCATTAAAAAGTAAAGGAATTCTGTGGTCCCATATATTTTTTATTTTATTTTTTATCTTTCCATCGAAAATTATACATATCGGCAACATGTGAAAAAACTTTGAAGTTGGTTTGGCGGAATATCTAGAGCATTTACTACTGCAAGTTCCAGAAATTCTGACACAAGTCGGGTATTTGCCCGAAGCCTCTGTCTCATGACATTGAATACATATTCAGTTACGTTGTATCCCGGGGAATAAGGCGGCCGAAAAACCAGGGACACGCCATATTCTTTCAGCATATTTCTTAAAATGCGCTCTCCCTGTCTATAGTGATGGAATCCACAATTATCCATCACAACCACATCGCCTTGTACAAAAACAGGATTCCCCATATCGTTCGTATCGGACATAATTTCGTCGAAGTAAATTTTGCGTACTGTTGCCGTCGTCAGACATTTTCCCAGCGATTACTTAGTAATTGTTATGTAACTGATAGTGTACATTAACTCCGCCTACCGGAACAAATTGGGTGTCAGATCAACTATTCAGGTTGTCTAAACTCCGCCCCCGACTCGATTATTTGAATACTTCAATACAATAGTATCAATACTTTGTTAAATACTATAGTAAGTGATTCGTTCACACCTTCCCTTCATCGGTAGTAAAATCCATTCAGTTCAACACATTGATTTGCAGGTAGACACAATTTTGATATTCATTTTGATCATGAACAGGAATATATGTTATTTGTATGGTTATTTTCAAAAAGCATTTTGTTACTTTAGTTTAAAACAATATGCCATGGGTTGATAATTTGTGTACCAAACCATATCCGACTGCCTGATATATCTGGTAAAAATCTCCATTGAGAGTGCAAGCCCTTTCTTCAAAACCAAAAAATCTTCCCACCCTATTCAAAAGAGAATTTGTATCAATTTTGTATATCATAGTCTGCTTCTCTTTATCAAATTATGACATGTTCCTTTATAAATTATTTTTCAATTTAGTCCATTTTATCAAGAAGGAAATTCCCATTTTGCCTAAATTTTTAATTGTTTATTGACAACATTTATAAAGAAAGGAAAAGCTCTGTATTATGAAGTTTTTACTGCATTTTTTTACAGGGTTACATTCTAAGGATAACAGGAGGTAACGACAAGCAGGGATTCCCCATGAAACAGGGAATTCTTACAAACGGCAGAGTACGTCTCCTTTTGAGCAAGGGTCACTCTTGCTTCAGACCCAGGAGAAGTGGAGAAAGACGCAGGAAATCTGTCAGGGGCTGCATCGTAGACAGCAACCTTAGTGTTCTTTCTATGGCCATTGTCAAAAAAGGTACATTTAAAGGCATTATTCAAGAATTTACACGTTGTTCATATCTAAATTTTGTTGAAGTCATTGGATGATGTACATCTGTTGCCTATTCTAAGATTATTTAACTGAAAACAGCAGTCGCAATGATGACAACTATACACCCAGCTCGCTTAGAGATTCAAAGTGGATCTGTGAAGAGAGAAAAATCTGAGGACTGTTGTTGATATGTTCTTAATCTCAGGGCATCTTTCCTGGTAGTATGATAGGGTTTTTTGTCCTATGTTGCAAAGGAAATTATTTAATCAAAAGCAAGTCCTGCTTTCATTAGCAACATACCTATTTTTATTTGTGGGTCATTTCACTTTTTTAACTGATGGTATTACTTGAAAAAAATGGAATTTAATCAGAATATTCTTTTATTATCCAGTCCAGAAATATCATTGATATTGATATTCTGAAAAACATACCATTCATTTCTTAGCTTTATCTTGATTTCTGTAAAACAATTGTGGACATTGTGAGTATAATTACATTTTAGTGTATCATGTTCTCATGGTCATTTTAAATTGTGAATATAAAGAAATCTGACTATCTAACATACCTAATCTATTAGTGTGTTACTACAAGGAAACGTATGTTTCACTACTGTTTTCAACCAATAGATGTATAATATAAAAATACTTTTAAATGTCACAGTCACCATGGTGACAACTTTATACCCGGCCTGTCTAGAGACACATTGAGTCTGTGAAGAGAGAAAAATCTGACAACTCCTGTTTGAAATCCAGTAATTGAAATATATAAGAAAGTCCATGAAAACTATACAGAAGAGCTTCATTCATTGGGATTAGGCCCAACCTGGTAAACAGAAATTTTTCAGTAGAAAACACCAGATTTGTCATACTAAGATATTTCCCGGTTTTGGATTTAGTATTGATATCCTAATGGAATGATGGTATGAACGATGGAACCAAACACTGGGAAATGGAAATAGTAAATTGTTTAAAGCTTCACTGAAAACTTTTATGGTTGTTGGTGTTGATATCTGATAATAAGCTATCCTCACTTATTGAATGTTAGACTTCACTTATTTTACAACAGTTACGAAACAAGGTTTTCATACTGATAATAACCCCTCTTGTTTGCACGGATGAAAGTGCATGAAGGAGTCTTACTGTTAAAGGAACTTGTATAACCTGTGGGTAAAAGCCAACTGGTCAGGCAAGTGACCCTTCACCTCTTCATACCCATTCTGGGAATCAAACTTGAATTTCTATATGGAAGGCAAGTGCGTTAGTATAATTGTACTTCACAGTTTCAATGATGACAACTATATACCCAGCTCGCTTAGAGACTCAAAGTGGGTCTGTGAAGAGAGAAAAATCTGAGGACTGTGATATATTCCGATTTCAAATCCAACATTTGTAGATTTATTAGAACCTGTTAGTTTCATTGTCATTGGTAATGCGTTTTTACAAGTTTACAAAAAGCTTCTATAATTTTACTAACCCTCGTACACTTTTCCTGTAAAGATGGGTAGAGTTCTTGACATATTAGGATCAGGCCCAAGCTTGTAAACAGCCATTATTCTTTGGAAGACCCACAGAATCAATGAAAAGTTTTTTTATTTGCCATTGAATGTTGGTGGTCTAATGGAATTGTACAAATTTTGTTTAAGTTATGAAGCCCTATCAGAAAAGTAAGATATGGTCTGAATATACAGAAGGGTGTATATTTTAGGAAGCTACTCTTTAAAAATGTTGTTGATGTTGTTAGAATCAGCATCTGACAACTAAGTGTGTTCAATAAGTATGATTAAGTACATAAATCACAGTTTCAATGATGACAACTATACACCCAGCTCGCTTAGAGACTCAAAGTGGGTCTGTGAAGAGAGAAAAATCTGA